AGCTGCCAGAGATTATTTGGCTATACCAGCATCTGGGGTATCAGTCGAAAGACTGTTCAGTGGGGGAAGAGATCTCTTAGGAGTGCGGAGGAGCTCAATGAGTGCAGAGACTATGAGGCGTCTTATGATGCTGCGAGATACATGGAAATAGCTTCAGAGATTTACGAATAATTACGAATAATTACGAATAATGCGAATATTATTCGTACGAATATTAGTAAGCGGAAATTCTAAATTTTATTCGTATTCGACTACGAATATTCGTACGAATATTCGTAATCGAATATTCGTGTCCAGCCCTACCAGTCACACTGTCACCTGACCCAAACCTCACATGACTCGACCTCACATGATAAGGCCCATCCCTTTCATGTGACGGCGATGTCATTGTCATTCCCGTGACTCCTACCTGAGGTCCTTTTCCTTCCTTTCCTGCTTCATTCAGTTTCACCACCAGTTCTTCCTCCCATTTCTTCCCTTGGCTTCATTCCGACATCGCCGTCATTGCGGTCATGGCCGTCTTCGCAATGCAGAATCCCCCCCCTTCTTTATTATATATAGTCTATCCCCCTCTGTTTCAGTATATAATCCTCTCCTCCTTCACTTCCATCCCTTAGAATATAGTATAGTTTCGTTTCTTACTCCCTCTCTCCTTGTCATTTTAATGTTTTAAATGCATTTTGCATCTTTTCCTTCCTTTCTTACTCTCCTCCTCTCCTTTACTCTCCTTCTTTATATTGCATTTCGCATCCTTTTCTTTTTAACACACTCACGCTCTCCTCCTTTATAATGTATTTCGCATCCTTTCCTTCCTCACCTCCCTTTTTAGTATATAGCATCCTCCCCTCCTCACCATCCACAGTCCATTAGAATTCAACCTTTTGGATTGATTTTATATTAACGACTATATCAATATAGTGATTATAGAAAACTCACATTCTATTACTTCGCGGAGAAGTACATAGACTTCAACACGCTGGTGAACGCATTGTTCCGAGCCTTCAAGACTCGCATCTGGATGTCGGCGATCAACCCGGCATCATTTGCCATCATGGCTGAGCGTAAGTGTCAAGTCTTCCAATCAGTTTCCTTTCATGCTTGGTACTAAATGATTTCTTTCAGCTGGTCCTCGACCCAGCGGTCCGTATTCTTCTTTCCTTCCGATGTCTTTCTTCTAACTTGCTGCCTTTCGCAAACTCTTGTTCGCCAATTTTTGTGTTGCTCCGTACCTAAATTCCTTTCCACTTTCCCACTTTCCCACTTTCCTGGAGCAACAGTATTTCTCTCTTGCAAACATCAAAGCATTCTCTGCTTCTTTTTCTCTTCAACGTCCTCATCACCTATCCTCGACTCACTTCCCATCCCCTCCCATGGACTTCATCTAGCTTGGTTTCACCATAGTTCGCTCAGTTTCTTGCTCAGAACTTGTACTTGTGTTCACACAACCTTCACCGGGTCTGCTCCGTCTTCCTACATTTCATCTGCGCTCAAGCGCACCAAAACACGTTTCACTTCCTGGCAAGCAACGCCTTTGCCGAACATGGTCGGCAGGGTGATTAACTTTTCATTCTGTAATGCCTTTTCCCAAAAATGTAAACTGCTTCTGCCAAATATCTCTTCTATACATATCATACTTGTTTTTCCATTATGATCATCAGCTAACTTTTCGTCTATAGAGAGGGCGCATCGTGGTTTGGCTGATGAAAAGCGCCGGGTGGAAGAGGAAGCAGTGCGCTTCCACAACTATCCAGCGTTCTTTCATCAGGCCTTCGACACGCCGGGCGCGGGGCCGTTCTACGGCCCTTATGCGCCGCCGGCCATGTCCTTCGGCCAATACCAGAACTACGCTGGGTATGCGAACGGCCAGAGTTCCACGGTCCACCCTGCCAATACCGGGCCGTCGTCTCCCTACATGCCTGCCGGACACAGCCATGCCGTCCCTTCGTTCGCTCCCGCCGCCGCCTCGTTCGCTCCCGCCGGTCAACAATCTCCTGGGTTGGGGGGACGTATCGCGTTCGGGAGTTTCCCAAGCTCAGCGTCGTACGGGTACCCCCAGTCCCAGCATACGAACCAGAGCGCGGACAACGACCTGGAGGACGTCCAGAAGCACCTCCGCGGCCTCGGCATTGGAAAGGAGCCTTCGTTCAGTCAGCACGGTTCTCGACAGGGCACAGCGTGGTGAGCGGTGACGAGCTCATCGCCGCATAACCCTAGGTCATCTCATGTCACAGCGGTGGCCTCATGATGGAATAGACTCGAACTTCTTCACCAGAATCCTCATGCGGCGATCAGCAGCTCGACTCGGTCAGCGCGGCACATCACCCTCCAGAATTCACAACATCACTACGCCCCCGGAATCCCCAAGGTCGAACCCTACCTACCCAAAATCCCGAGCAACACCACTTCCCCCAACACAATTCTCTCGGCGAGATTTTTCCTTTTCACAGAATCGGAAGTGGTTTTCTGAAACTACACGGCGCGCTTCACATCCACTCCGCGCATTTGATTTTTTTGCTTCTCGGCCCGGTTTGCTTTCCATTCGCTTTTTGCTCGCCGCTGGATAACTGCTCTTCCGAGTTGACGGATTCTTCCCACACTGATGGATCAAATACCTGAATCCGGCCTACCGAACATTGAAGGTTGCGAGAATCATTCACCATCGCACACCATGAACGTCTCTATATCGTCTTGGGGAACTGATCCCGAAACTGCCTTTTTGCAGTAAACCATAACATCACTTACACCAATACCCCTCCAAGACGTAAGAGACGACGCTACCGTCGACGTTTTCCTTTTCTTTCATCGCACACACGGATTCCCAGCAACGGTTCAGAGCAACACTCCCCTTTGTCTTTCTTTTCATAACCATACGAAGTTCACAACACCAGGTTCAGAAGCGGCAGGAGGATTGACGTCTACGAGACAACGGACGATGGCTCTCAGACACGGGTGGAATGGGTCACTTCGCAACTTAGCTTACTTGAGTAATGCGCTTTGTTCTCCCCTTGCGATTCGCTATGCCTTGCCTTGCTTCTCGCGGAAATCAACTAAAATGGGTCACGACACAGGAACGACTTCGATGGGAATGTCGATAGAATCAATGAATAACGAAGTTCTGAGCTTCCATCATGGTGTCCTTTGTGAATCTTGCGTGACTTCTCAAGTGATTGTTTGCCCCGATGAAAGTTATCGGCAGCTATATTTTCGCTGGATGCTTCCTCTCTTTGGCCTAGCGATCCTAGTTCTGCCAATCTTGTATTCCTTCCGGGTCCGTGAAGGTAAACAGATCTCAACAAGGTACCCATACCCTTCCACCTTCGTAGTGATGATACCTATATCATTCTAACCCGGCACCAGCTAACTACGCTCCGTACTTCGGAGCAAACGCAGTCATCTCAGCGCCCAAGATCGCCATGAGACCGCATTCGAGTGCGCAAAGAGCCATGCACTACCTATCCTCCGACCAAGGCAGCACTTCGCTGTAGATCTCCTTACCATCACGTCCCCCATCCCAATGCAGCAGCCCACCGACTCTCGGATCATCCACCAAACTCTCCACTTCCTTCAATGCTTCTGCATCCCACCCTCGCTGCGCTCTCTTTGACGCCAGCACGTCTCCCGAGCCATACAAATCCTGCTCCCATCGACTTAAGCCATTCTCAAGCTCTCCCCGTTGGTTAAAGTCATGTTGGCTTGCTGGAGACTGTTAGGGACTGCAAAATTCAAGGACACATGCCACACTTACCAGTTTGAGGCGGATTTACCCCGATGACGTTGAGTCGACCCTGAGGCCATTGGATGGCTGGACCGTGGTATTTCTATTTCCGATGACGGTCGATTAGATCAGCCTTAGATGGATTCATCTCAGAAGCACAAGAACGAGTTCGGACGTACCAAGAACCGCTGCTCCTTGAACGCGTGAGTAATTACAGTGATGGCTTCAGGTGGGTTCCCAAACTGTCTCATGAATATTAAGATCGAAAACAACAGGTTCTGATAACTATCTGTCGCCAGTTCTTCTAGCATTGGCATGACTTTAACGCCTCGTTTCTCCCCCAAACCGCCCACCACCTTCACATCTCCACCATCCCCGCTCTCCGTTGAAGCCACCAGCTCCCCCCTCCCATCCAACCACCCCAGCCTCTCCGCAACCGCCCAATAACCCCTCGCCTCACTTCCCCGCAGGCCTTCTGACCGCCTCGTCCGCCCGCCAGAGATGACGAGCGCAGTACTGCCTGGGGAAGCGCGGTTGAGCAAGTCAAGATGGAAGAGAGAGACAAGCAAGTGCTGGCAGAACGTCAGATGTTCGGCGGGTTTCTGGAAAGGGGCGAGATGCCAGTGGTCGGCGTTATACGGGTCTGCGTGTGGGAGGGAGGGGTTGAAGATAGCGTGGCAGCAGAGGATGATGAGGTGGGTTGGCGGTTGCGTTGCAGGGCTATTTTGGGCCATGGTGATCAATTCAAATACTGGAGGCAATTCATGATGCTAATCGACGATGGCATGCATTTACAGGTACCTTATATCCTCGAGGACTTGAAGGGAACGAAGTGCTGTCTGGTGGGGAGCGAAAGTCGATGCCTTACCCTGTATCGCAGTGCGGTACGGTATAGCTGTAGCAGTAATTAGTGGAGGAGTAGTGGAGACATCATCTACCCTGTCAACTCTATGCATTTTTAACAATCAAGAGTTCAAGACGCAAGGAATATCAGACAAGTAACTAAGTCAGCTAGTTATTTTTGAATGAATCCTCGCAAGCAACCACCATCTCAAAGAGATCAAGAGCATCTTAATCTTTGTCCGAGACTGTCGCGCGGCATGACTTCGCCGCACAGGGGCATATGTTTGCCCAGACTGCAGCTCCATCCCAACAACCTTTTCCGCATCCTTCACCCATCTACTATGCAGCTGAATACCGCCTAAAGATTCTGTCTTTGTTCTTTTGAGACTTGTTGAAATTCTTGTAGTTTAAACATTAAAATGGTAGTCTTACCGTACGATGTCCTCTAGATTTTCACTGAAAGCTGCGATTTTCATGACATGGCATCGGATCTTCCGTGCCTTACGGTTTGTAAGACACGGTCGAATGCAACACTTCGGGTTCTCTATCAGCATTTAGTTCTGGACTTGCACGCTTTCTTGAGTATCATGCACTCATGCCACCCGGAATGGGCTTCGAGCTACCTCTCTTACCATCCGTCTGCTTCCTCGCCGCTGTGTTCAAACGCAAGAAGTATGATCTCTTGACGTGCTAACTTATGGAGACCCAATGATGCTGTAGATGACTTAGGATGACTGGTGGATTGGATACGACGATGAAAAATCTCTAGCTCGCAAGCTATCCTATGCCACCAGCCGATACTTGGGCGGACCATGGCATGGAAATTGTACTAGTACATCTAAACTGTTTTAACCCGATGGCTTTAGATATGGAACATTTGCTTTGACTCCGGCGTTGGAAGTTAAGATTTCCCTGGCACAACTTGGGGGGCGGCGAAGGCTCATCCGTCACCGTGGAAGTACTCCAGACATATTTCCCCACGAGACCATAGTCAATTCGGGACACAATTCAACGGGACAATATGCAATGACAATGGTCCCTTTGGTGGCTGTTAATGCATCTAGCTTACTGCGGATCATCGTCAGGTCACTGTGCAGTGTACAACAGCTGCACTGGATCAGATGGCAACCCGCCAGGAAACGAAGCCGGTGGCGATGTCTACATCCATCCGGCTATTTGGAAATCAGTGGATCCAGCGGTATACGCACATGCCCTTGCCAATTCATACTTCCACTATGGCCATTAGGGACACTGACCACGATAACTCCCAACCCATTGTCGACAACTTTCGCAATGTATCTCACTTTTACTTCATCAACAACCCAGTCGTGAATCATCAAGACGCTCTATAATAACGCGGACTACGATAACCACCGTCTTTGTTTTACCGCCCCTAACAACCTCGGGGATGAGGTTGAGGCACTGATAATGTCTACCTCGCCAAAGCTTAATCCGGTCAAAGAAAGCGCGGCGTCGAACCTACTACGGAGGCAACGTCATCACCAAGAACTATGCCTTTGTTGACCGATAACTGGATGTAGGTATCGCTGGACTTCTGGACTTCGATTACGATTTCATAGCGATCGAGCAGCACGGAGGCCCACATGAGGGTTGTGATAGAACTCAGAGACGCGCGATTGATGAGTTGTACCAAGGTCGGTATGGATCTTGTATATTTGGGGTGATTTGGAATAGGAGCGAGTGGGTCTAGATAGCACAGAGGGGCATGGTGGAACCCGATGGTAAGCCCAGAATATCTCTTTATTTCCAATTTTCCCTTTGAAGGCACAGGCCGAATATCCGTTCACTGATAGTTCTACGGATCGACGACGAAGTTCAAGAAGGGGAGTCTTCAGAGCTATAAGATACGTGTAATTGATCTGTTTTAAGTCCCTACTAACCATACATTTTCCTTATCCTCCTCATTCCACAAACAAATATGAAGATCCGAAAAACACTATGTAAAAACAACGCCATTCGGGAGGTATATCCCTCGCTGAGAGGTATATGATCTGGCGACTCGGAAACCACAACGGGTACGAACTGGCAAAACGTATGGAGATGACCGCAGATGGGCGTTCGACGTTAGATTCCGCGGATTTAACGCCGAGCAAAGCAGCACATCAACCCGGTCTTGCTCAAGAAGACTATGCATCCGATAAAGCGAATGATCGACAGGCCAGCGGTGGCCCAGAGCAGCGCCTGGAAGAAGCGGGCGGTACGTTGGGAGGCACCGGACTATTGGCAGTCATTAGTATACGAGCCATCGAACCACCCCAGTGGGGATGGAATAGGACGGAAGCAAAAAACATACCGTAAACCCGAACTTGTCGAAGTTGTCGCTCATGATCACCACGGCTAACGTCGCGTTCGAGAAAATCCATATCGTCACCAACTTCGTGCGGAAGCTCTTGTACCCGTCCTCGAGCGTCTTCTCCGTGTCCTCTGGGGGCGCCACATACGGTGCGAGGGCGCGCTTGACGGTCGCCTCGAACTGACTGTCGATGTCGGCCTGCGGCAGGTCGATTTCCTCGATGATTTGATGCTTCCCGTCGCCGCCCTTCTCGGTTTTCGCGGAGGGGAGGGCGTCGGCCTTGTCGGCGCCCTTGGTACCCCAGGAAACGTCGTGCCAATTGGAAAAGGCGTAGACGTTGAGGATGTTGACGTACGAGGGCATGAGCAGCATGGCCTGCGGGAAGGAGGTGAACATGTGCCAGGGGTCGAGGTAAAGGAAGCTGGCGAGGAACCAGAGGCCAAAGGTGGCGGCGAGGGCGATTAGGATGACGCCAGCGGAGTCTTGGGAGAAGAAGGAGCCGAGATCGTCCATTTCGGGGGCTTTGGACTTGGTGAGAGCGCGCACGACGAGGAAGATGGAGAGGACGATGATGTAGAGCTGGATGAGAGCGAAGACGACGAAGGAGATCATGTAGGAGATGCGGGAGCCTTTGGGACGGTTGCCGAGCGCGAGGATGAACTGTTGCAGGACGAAGGCGAGATAGATGTACTTGAGGACCGTGTTGAAGATGGGCGTGACGGTGTTGCCGAACGGCCAGGCTTGCTGTTGGTTATTGTCCGAGGGAGTGCCGACGAGGTCCATGATGACCGCGGTGGTGAGCCAGTAGGATGCTGCGACTCAATCAGTACATGTCGAAATCAACCCCTGGGAGAAAAACTTACCAAGCATGAACCAGGAGAGAATGACCGAGACGATATTGTAAAGAAGCTGGATGTGCAAGAAAATCATGCGGATCAGATTATGGCCCGACTTGTACATCCGGCCAAAGTGCATGAGCGAGTAAATGCTCGCCGCGAACGATCCGTTCAACCAACGACGTCGCTGTCCGATGAACTCCGCCGCACCTTCAGGCACATCCGTCTCACCCTTCGAGGCCTTGACGTACGAAAGATGCCACTTCGACCCCGCCTTGGCCACCAGCTCGAAGCACAGGATCCGATCCTCAGCCAAGAACATGTTCTTCTTGAAGATACCCATGCCCTCGATCCCCTTCTTCCCTAAGATCTTCGAGAGCGTGTGGTCGCCGTGGAAGTATTGATCCAGCGGACGGCCCATGATGGCGCGGTACCGGTACGCGGAGAAGGCGCCGGGCAGCACGCTGACGTAGCCGAACGACGACTCGAGCGGCTTGTCGAGGATGTTCGAGATCTTGTACTCGAAGTTCTGGGCAGCCACCAGCGGGTTGACCAGGTTGCGCCAGCCGCGACCCAACATGGCGTGGATTTCTCCGCATGCGCCGCCGAGGTCCTTGTCGTTGTAGAAGGCTTCCCAGAGGGCCAGGAGGGACTTGGTGCCGGGTTTGGTACCAGCGTCGAGGAGGATGCAGATTTCCGGATTGAGAATGCGGCCGAATGCGGTGAAGAGCCAGCGATGGGAATTGATCTTCTTGCTGTTCTTTTGTTTCAAGCAGAACATCATCTGGACCGGAGGAAGCGTGCTAGCGCTGTCGTCGTGTGGTCGAATGAGTTGCTGGTTGGCGGTGACGGAGAGCTGGGTGGTGTATTCGAACTGGATTTGCGTCAGCATCCCGAACCGTGTCCTCAAATAAGTTCCTTACAATGTGCGCAACCGTCTCACGTCCGTCAATATCCCTCTTCATGATACCATCCTGATAAATACCAATGGTGGCAAGGATATCTAATGTGCCCTGGTCACACGGGTCGATTCCATCGAAAACCAAGCACACTACGATCTTTTGCCATGCCGGACCACCCTTGTTCCAGAATTCGGATTTCTTCAGGTTGACAATATCTCGAATGTTCTGCATCGCACCGTGCAGGGTTCGCGCGGTGAGGGTCTTGTCTTCGTTGTAGTAGGTGATGGCGATCAGCAACTCGGTGTGTCGGTTATACATGTTCGCTCGAAGATTATACCCATTCTTCAGCGTGAACTCGCTGGGATCACAAGTCGCTGCAGTGTCTATTCAACCCGATGTTAGCCAGCATTCTCGTCCACCACGCCACCTGTCTGTCCCTTCTACGATCCCATCGCCTCCTCATCATGGTTTTCACGGGGTGCACGTACATCTCAAATGCGTAAACTCCTCGCTCCCAATCTCCAAATCGTTCCGATACTTCGCTTGGATCGCATTCTGAATCGCGCTGGGCACGGGGTAATCCGCACTCAACACCGCCCCCTGCACCAACTTGACCTTCCTCGTCGCGTTCCGCTGCAACCCTCCGGACGCTTTCGGCGGTTGCTGCCGCTGCCGAAACGCCTCCACGCTTGCGGTCTCGTTGCGGTTGTACGGGTCTCCCGCATACGGTGGGACCGGGGGAGTGCCTGGGCTGCCGACGCCATATTGCTCGTTGAACGGAACGGGCGGGGTGGTGGTGTGGGTGTAGGCGCTGTCGGCGTAAGTCTCGGTGAGGGAGTAAGCGGAGGTCGGGCGCTCGGAGGGGGTGGTGGTTTGCAGGCGGTAGGTGGGATCTTGAGGAGGGATGTTGTGGGAACGCATGCCGGTGGGATCGCGGTGGAGGAGCGACTGCTCGTCTTCGCCCTCGGAGGAGTCGTGGCGATTATGAGGCGGCGGGTATTGCTGTGGGAAGGACATCAGCGGACGTGGTCCGAGAGGAGGGCGTTTCTGAGGATCGATGGTGTATGAAGATTGAAGGGTCGTTGAATAGAAAATAGGGGAACTGTGGGTTCACCAATTTCATCCGCGAGGGAGATACACGTACATTATTACCATGTGCGTCGTAGCCCGGTTGGCCTTGACCCCTGTATGCCATGTTTGAGGAGGATGGGGGGGTGGATTGTAGTTTGAAGTATCGATTCCGGAGTTCTGCCAGCAGACGCGCGGTGTTGAAGGGGGTAGACGGGTCGTTAACACCGTCGGTGATGAAGAAACGAACGTGATGATGATGGCCAAACCCGCAACGATGGACGGAGCGAGAATAAGAACGTGCTATCCGAAATTCAGGGGAGGACAGGAGGAGGTTCAGGTAACGCTTGGGAAAGGTTACGGTAATGAGGAAAGATCGATGGCCGAGTTTCCTGGAGGGGATGATGACGGATAAAACCAAGTGGATGCGCGGAAAGAGCCCAAGACACCAAAGACACAAAGCGGTACAGGGCCAACAGGGGGTGTTTCTTGTTACACGCGATCTTTGGAGGTTAGTGTTGCCCGCCGGCTCGATGGGTTCGGATGCTGGTGATGGGATGGGCACTAAGCAATGCGAAAAGCAACGAACGTGAGCTGGGATGGGTAGGGAGGGTTGGATATGGTGCTATTGCTCTGGTTGGATAATGGTGTAACGTTGTAGCACATTTGCATTAGCGGATAGGTAAGAATACGGATTACCGGCATGGCGGATGTTTCGAACGTTTACTACGCAGTAGTGCCCCCTTTGAATTGTTGAAGTGGAGGTGGAGGAGGTGAAGATTTTGATCCCTGCACCTCCACAGGAAGGGATTAATACCAATCAGGGCAGCAATACGGTAATATACTGTAATATACTGTAAATTCCACATTTGCCCCCCTAACTTGGCGGTTCTATTGGCCCAGTGGGCTGTGTAAACCGTGTCAGGGTTTCATCTCCATCTCCATCTGCACTTCCGCTCTGCGCGCTTCCTCCTGAAATTTCACCAACTCATCCACCAGACCAACAAGGCAACAACTCCCACTCAAACATCCGTTTCTTGATTCCTCCCCTTCATCCCCCATAAGTTTAATAACCCACTCTCATCTCTTCCCACCTGCCTCACCACCATCAGTCGCCCTGTTTATTCCTTTGTCTTCGACCGAATCTATGACCCTGACTCCCCTTCAATGTTTCAAGTCGTCTCCCAATTATGTGCGACGCCCGGAGAGACACTTGTTTCGTACCCGCCTGCCAGTCCATCCAATGAACCACCGATAGTGAGAGGAGCAGGGCAGGGGGGTCGCCCCAATCCACATGCTTAGCCACGCTTCTTAAAATAGGCTTACGCAATGGCAACGTCCAACAGAAAGGTTGGTGGTAGGGATTCAACCGCTCAGGATTAGCATTCTAACAAAGGGGCACATGATTTTTTCAGCTGTGAGGAGGTTCCACTACTCAACGTCTGTTTTGGAATGGCGGGTTTGGAACGGCTGGCTGCACTGGTGCTGAGGTACGAGAGCACAGCTGCGGCGCTTACGGAGTTGTGGAAAGACATTCTGGAATGAACGACTGACCACGAAATAACAAAGGATCCGCGGGCTTGGAAATAGGATGTCAGAAGATGCTAGTTTCGGCTCTGTCCGGTAGTAAGCAACAAGCTCCGTAACACGGCATCCTCCTGCCGGGTTCCTTCGCTCTGCCATAAGCTTCGTCGTACGGGGTACGTCTTACTTGATCATTTAAGAATATGAAGATCCCACAAGCAGCTAAATATCAACGTTGCTCGATCCTCGGTGGTATCCAGTATCCCTCATCAGTCATCGGGCGTCATCCCAAAGGAAGGGATGTATGCAAGGGCACTGTCTATTCCGCTGCCCGGACGTTCTTAGTTCGCAGCTGAAAACATGCATAATACGTAGCTGCTAAAACTTGACATATCTGACATTTAATCCTGCCATAAAGATTTTGTGGGTTTCGTGGCGCTACTGAGACAGACCAGGAAATGATTTGCGATCTCTCAAACCGTCCAATTCCTTGAAGTTGGCGCTCCGTGCAGAACATGTTTGCAGGATGACAGGATCTATGATGTGGCTGGGGATACATATTTTTCGGCCCTTGCTGCTGTTGGCGCGCTGTTTCGCGATTGACAGCCGGTTACTGCCTGTGTCGTCAATATTTGAAGTGCTTGAATCGATAATAGATCGATTTGAGATTTGCGACGCGTGCTTCTGTTCTATAGAACATAGATGGCTGTGTTGGGCAAGATCTGCGAGCACTGCCACACGCTTAGCTCCGGTGCCCTATGAATCGCTGTCAATTAATCGTCTCCACAGCAGATGCAGGAGAATATTGACATCCTGTTTGATATTCAACAACTTCATCTTCTTGGGTCTCATCAATCAGAGGAAGGCATTGATCCTTGATGGTCCTGAAGCATATTCCCCGGTGTCGAAAACTCTCAATCGTTGCTTTCCGGCTCTTGTCGTCTTTCGTTCCCTTCGGGATGGAAATATCCCATTGGACCCCTTTAATGAGATGATTCCAAAATTGTGCGATTCCATGCAGGAAGGGTGGAGGATAAAGGTGAAGGATTGTCCATTTCTTCTATTGTAGATGCATCAGTCAAGGAATAGGAGGTGCTCTGGACTAGTTTTACACGTTATCTTTATTAAGAACACTCGATTTTATACTGCGTACCATTTAGCCCCCCCAGTTGACTCCCGAACCAGCACAAGAATGCCCTTTGCAAGTTCGTACGGCTTTTGTTACAGTTGATTTTCTTTATATTCTTCTGCTTCTCGAATTACTGGTGTCATCTAGAAGATGTCTTACCTATTACGGTTCCCACTCCGTCTATCTTCTATTTGCTTGTTGGTGTTTCGTCGATATCATTATACGGTGAATGGTATTGTGCAGTGCAGTGAGCGACATTGAAATTCTTTCAATCCCGGCGACGGCTACCCTCACAAGAAATTCAATCGTGGCCGACGCATCCCCGTTACTGTAGCTATTGAGGTTATGGCTTTCGGGACCTTGACTTAGACATTTCCATATAGGTATCTCGGTGCTGAACTTGGTTACACACGCGGCTTCTGATACCTAACGCATCTCGGGCTCTGGTTCTATGTTTCTGCAATTCCCGGCGATGATTCCGTCCACAGGAGATTCAATAATGGCCACCGAATCCGCGATCGCTGTTGAGGACGTGGCTTTCGGAAACTCTGCCGGCTCTCGCTCCGACTCTGTGTTATGCCCCCGCAGCGTCTGGTAAGATAACATACCTGGGGGTTTGATGTTGAGACGCCTGGTTCCGCTTGCTTTGGCTATCTTATCGCTGGTGACTGAGTGCTCGAAGTCTGGTACTGCGCCAGACATACATGCAGTTCGCTGGTCGGTGTTTGGTTGAAGCAGGTTTGATGGGACTGGGATATTGCTTGGTTGGTATACTACGTGTACATGGCGCCAGGAGTTCCTAGGATGGCGGTGTCCACTACTATCATGACAGATCTGTTTCAAGTTGTGAGCTTCTGAAGAGTCGGATATGAACATTAATCCGCTGGGATGAGTCTACCCGATGGGTCGTGTGAATCTTTTTGTTTTGTTTTCATGTTAACTGCCATTGTAGGACGACGGGTGCGACTTACCCGATCATCGACCGACTCGGACGGTTGTCATGTCGTACAATGAAGTCTTGCGTTTACAGCTCCTTCCATAGCCACTCGTGTCCCTCTTCGCCATCGACATTGATCCTTTGATCTTCAGTTGTTTATCTCTACTTATCTAACGAGGAGAAAAAACTACTTTAATGACCCCAGTATCATATTTTCTGCAGAACTCCTCACTCTTGTCTGTCCACTGAAATTCGTAATGTCATCTTCATCCGCTTTAGCTGAGGCTGCCGAAGAGCATCTTCGGGCGCATAAGCGTGGCACTGAAAACCTTACAGGCTTGGCCGAGAGGATGCATGGCAAAATAGAGCGCCGCCGAGGAGAAACGGACCTGCTTGAAGCGAAGGTCCAGAAACTATAGGATTAGGAAGCCCTGTGGAGAGCTGGTTTGCTGGAATTTCAAATAGAACAGCAAAGAATGGGCGAGCTCGAAGAAAAGATGCAAGAACAACGGCAAAGAGTTCGTGAACTCGAACGAAATAACGCATCAATGGGGTTGCAAATACCAATCATGGGTACGGAAGTACGGTCGATGATGGGAAGAATGCTGATCGACAAGGTACGTGTAATCGAACATCAAACCCCATTTGCAGACATCTCATCCTGATGTGGCTACTAATAGGAACCCGAACATATAGGAGCCGGATCCAGATATGCGATCAGGCAATCCGGCTGACCATAACTACAACCTCCGGAAGAACCGGAAACCAACCGCTAAATTCCCATATTAAGCAACCACAAAGTGATCAGTTCGATCGGTTCCTCCACCCTCAAACGACTAGGAATAGTACAGTTGCCATATCCGCATCTCGGACTGACCGTTCTGACGACGAAAGAAAAATCCCACAAATACCATGCAATATACAATGAGGACAACCCCCCTAGGACGGTGCATCAGCAGCTCATCCGTGAGCAGCAAGCGAATCCGCGGGGTCTGTTGGCTTGTGAATTGAGCACGGGCTCTATAGTTCAAAAGGGTTCCGTATGCATCTGAATCAAGTAACGCCACGTTTGCGCGATGTTGGACTGGAGCATGTTGTACGATTCGGCGTAAGCTGTTTCTATAGGGAAGCAGGAGAATGTTGAAATCACCATTGATGCTGTATTCAACAACTTCATTTGCATTGAATCTTGCCCGTCAAGGAATTTGACACCTAGTATTGGGTTTCCAAACATGGTTTATTTAGAGAAGACTGTTTTTCAGACTATATCTAGCTAAGTGATTTGACTATCCCACGAAGGATTTCAGTCATATCAGTGTTGCCTGATTGGTTCCCCTTCAATGACTCCAAAAAGTCCTATGTACATCCTCATAGTAGCAAATAACTTATTGTTAGAGCACACAATATGTAACTTGACAAGGTTATGGAAACTAAACTCATTTTAGGGGAAATCAAATTACCTTTATTATTATAGCGCCGGGGGTCTCTTATGAGCTATGATAGGATACACCTAACTAGACTTAGCACATAGAGGACGAACTTTCCGTTCTTCTTACAAGAATCAAGCTCGTCTATGTATTTAGATTCCTGCATGCGGATTGAAAAGGATCGATTCTAGAGGGAATTAGAGCCCACAAATGGAGCTAGGATTGTATCATAGTGAGAGTAATTACGTTTGAGGATAGCAGGTTAGATTTGTCGAACGCCATTATGAATTGGCACATACGATTGCTATCTGAAATTTAATCCAGCCTCTACCGGCCATTCCGTAACCGAAAAAGATGGATAACTTTCTGGATGCCATCAGCCCCTGAATGCCATGACCGCACCAAATGCTCCAGACAGACCATAGACCAAACCAACATTCTCAAAGCGCATAACTCCCCCATCCATTACCAAGAACTCCCCCGGCTGAAAATCGCAAGACGTCCAATGAGTTTCTCCCCTTACCCTCAAACACACTCCCACTCCGCAAACACGCACCACCTCGCACTCCGATCCGCCAACACCAACCCCCTCCACGTCCCCAACTCCCCAATCTTCACCACCGTCTCCCACGTCCCCCCCGCCGACTGCCCATCCCCCATCTCGCTCCGTCTCGTCAATCGAATGATTTTCCCCGCGGGACTCTGCACCGCCAACTTCGCCGGCTTCCGCTCCCCACCGCCGCCGCTCGACGTGCTCGGATGGCTGAACTGGCTGCCGGCGGCGGAGACGCTGGCCATGCTCATAGCGGAGGCGGGGCGGGCGAAGGGGTTGGGCGAGGGGGCGCGGGAGGGGGCAACGTTCGGGTTGGGGGAGGCGAGGAGGGTGGAGGGGTGTTGGCGGACGGAGAAGACGAAGGTGTTGTTGCAGGCGAGGCGGTGGCATTGAGGTTGGACAACGTAGAGGTCGTGGCGTTGGGCGTGGGGAGTGGGATGCCGGGTGAGGAAGGCGTAGGGGGGGTTTTGGCCGGTATGGCGGAGGGGGAGGGCGAGGGCAAGGGAGTGGGGGTTGGATTTTATGGAGTGCTGGGGGAGTTAGTGAGAGGAATTGAGCGTGTTTGGAGGGTTGGATAACTTACCTTGAGCCCGCGCTTGCCGGCATGGACTTTCAGTACGCCTTGTCCCTCATCCCCTGGTAAAAGTGCCTTAATTGTATACCGCTTCTGCCCATTCACCCAGTCCGCCTGCGCCAAAGCCGGCTTCCGATGTACTTCTCCGCTCTCGAAAAAGTCGCCATCCACATCTTGCGCGAATGCGCGCACCTCAATCTCTGCTACGCACTCCACATCCTCGGGCACCTCGAGATGAATATGTGCCATCTCCAGATTCTCTAGGTGCAGCTGGCTAGTGTCGAACTCGGTGATATGCAGCTTGTGCTTGAAGTACGTCGGCGACGCGCACGGCAGTGCCATGAGCACACCATGCGGCATCGGCGGGCAGATATGCTGTTGCTCAGGGAGCAGCGGCACATGCGTGTAGCACAGCTCCGAAGGCCGCGTCAAAAACCACCACGTCTCTGCCACCTGCGATCCGGCGCTCGAGTACTGACTTCTCCGCGGATTCGTTGGGCTCGCCAGCGCGCAATCCAACAGCCGCCACTCCCCATCGACAATCACCGCGTTCCACCAATGATTCGGCCGCGCCACCATATCGATATCGAGCTCCCCGCCCGGCGCCTTGAGGAACCCGCGGACCACCTCCGCGTGGATGCCGACGGCACCGCACATTTCCATGACGAGGACCGCAATTTCCTCGGTGCAACCGCGCTTGCTTTGGATGACGCGGCGCGTGTCGATCTCGCCGTCGAAGTCCTCTTCCCAGGCGATGCGCTCGGCCACCCAGGTGAAGATGGCGCGGAGGCGCTGCACGTCGGAGCGGTAGGGGCGGCAGATGTAGCCTTGGACCAAGCTTGCGGCGTTGGTCATGGGGGGTAGGTTGGCGACAAACCGTGCGGTCTTGTCAACGAGGCTGAGGTTGCAGCTCGCGAAGTCGGTTGGCTCTTGGATTGGTAGCCCATCGAGTCCTTCATCTCCTTCCACCGAGTGGAGCAGCGTTTCCACTGGCGAGATGACCGCGAGATCTAACATTTGGCATCGTTCCGCCCTCTCCACCCTCTCGTTATTGCTTAGTGAATTCGACCGGTTCACATCTCGCCGCACTTGCATCCAATCCACCATATTCCCCAGCCCCATATCCCTCGCGGCGCTCGATGTCGGCCTCGACGGCGTCGCCGCCGTCCCTCCCGCAATTGCCGTGATCCCATTCGGGATCGCTGACACCTTCTGCTGCCGCGAGCCAGGCCGGCTCATGCTCTGCGCGGACGAGATCGTGCTCCTGGCCGACGCAGCGACCGTCTTGCTAGACTCGAGCATCTTCTTCAGGAACCCGGACTTCTTGGCCTTCGGCGCAGTTAATCCGCCGAGGACGCTGCTCCCTTCTGTCCCATTCCATTCTTGTTGACTGGAATTGTGGCTGGAGTGGTAAGTTACTCCCGTTACTGGTGTCTGTGGCCTCGACTGGCTGAACCCTAAGCTTGTGTGCGCGTCGCGGTGGCTCGCGCTGCTTCCTGGTCTGCTGCGGCTGATTCCGAGGGGCCAGCGTCGTCGTGCGAGGCTACCGGCACTGGTGGCGCTCATTCCCGTGGCGGAGTAGCCACTCATGAGACTCTGGCTGGTGGCATGGGTGCTGTTGCTTGCGTTCGTGTTGGCGCTGTTCGATGTGGAGTTGGTGGCAGTGGATTTCAGCGTCAATGTGCGACCAATCTTGTGTCCGAGTTCGTAAGCCGATTTGCGGGTGCGCAAGGAGCGTCGGGAGCTCTTTCGTGAGAGTGAGTCGTCGTGTGAACCGTGTGAAGTGCCAGGTCGCGGAGATTTGGGAGGGACTTCGGGAGCGAAGGATGGGTTGAGCGATGCCGCTTCACGCTTGCGGTCTTCTTCTTCGTGGAGTTTCCGGAGGCGCGCTTCCATACGCTGAACATAGTTGCCGACGTTGGGAGCGGCATTGTAGTTCTTTTCATCGTCCACGTCATAGCCTTCGTCGTCATAGGCGCTGGTGTCGTGCAGGGACACTCCTAAGGATGTCTGAGCACGTATCTTATTTGTCTGTTGCTGTGAGATGACATTGAACGACTCTGGAGACCAGATATTTGGTGGTGTGGGAGGCTCGTTTGGTGTATCAACGTCGCTTTGCCGACGACCAAGATTGTGGAGGGAGGACATGACATCATTCATGGCGCTTGTGAGAGGTGAAGGTGTGAAGCCGTCTCTGCTCGGTGAGCCTGACATCTCAGGAGTATGTGATCCATTGGTGTACAATGGTCTTGGAGAAGGAGCACGGCTCGGATTGTAAGCGACTCGATGAGGTGGCGGAGGAGGTGGAGGTTCATCAATGTGGTAAGGTTGAGGAGAAGCTGCGCGAGAATGCGGTCGAGCAAATGAGTAATGTTGAGGAGAAGGTCCACGAGAATGCGGTCGAGCAAATGCGTGTGGGTTAGGAGAGGCTGCACGAGAATGAGTTCGGGCATATGAGTGAGGGTTGGGAGAGGCTGCACGGGAATGTGTCTGAGCGAATGAGTGAGGATTGGGAGAGGCCACACGAGAATATGTTGGCGCAAATGAGGGAGGCGCAGGAGAGGCCGCTCGAAAATGTGGTTGATAAGCAGGGTTAGGCGACGCAGCCCGTGACTGAAACCTGCTTGGAGCAGGAGATACTGCGCCCAGCCGCGATGGGCCATTAAGCGACGGTGTAGGCGGCGCCGGTGACGTTGCTCGACTCCCACCAGGCGGTTGCGCTCGCTTCATCGACGAAAACGGTTTATGCGACGATCTCAAGCTCCCTGGCGGTGTCATTGTCTGCCGTGCCGCGGCCTCTGGATTCGGTGACCCCGCCGCCGCATACGCCTGGAACGGTTTCCGAAACATACTCTTCGACTTCTGTGGCGTAGATTGGGGGTTGCTCGGATTCGGACTGTTTGCTCGCGAGATGCTTCCTCCGCTATCTCGCGATGGTATTGGACTTGGTGCGAAGGACTCGTCGAGGACCTCGACGAAGTTCGAGGGGAAGAGGCCGACCATTCGTTTGTCGCGACGTAAGCGTCCCATCCACCAGGACCCGTCGCCAGCATTGAGGCATTCTATTAAGTCGCCTTCGATGAAGCCAAGGTCACGTTTGGTCTGCGTAGTGGGTTAGGATAATGGACTTTCGTTCGCCAGGTAAAACGCACCTCTCCTCCATATGAATAGACGGCTCTACACCAACATGGGAACCGCATAGGGAGAGGCGGAGCGGTGAGAGCCATCATAACAGGCTTTTGCTCTAATTCTTGTTTGAATGATCGGTAATGCTGGACTCATTGCATGGCGCACGATTCCAGCGTTAAGTGTAAACAGACAGATGAGGACGCCAGTTCGATGTTTCCAAACGATGTAGTCCAAACGAATATCGCAGAGATGAATGACAAACGTAAGTGTATGCGCAAATAGCAGTCGGACAATGAGCGAGTCTTTATTCCTGGAGGTTCATCGGAAGTGATGACGGTTTCACGGTTTCAATATATGAGGATGTCGTGCAACCGAAAACAATTGGTGCGTCGACGTTGCTATGGGCTGAGCCACACATGGAAGAGTGGGGATGATGGTGTTTGTCGTCCGCCGAGAACCATGCACCGCCGCATATGCCCCGACTCCCTGAATCCCGCTGACCTCCGTTCCGCCCCGCTCCACCCCTACCTGCTCTTTTTTCGACTGATCTTCCGCCACCTTCATCGGACCTCCTACTAGCTCGCGTCCGCAATTATTAATCCTCGATCTCTCAAAAGCCAAATATGACGATGGCGACATCAACATGAGTTTTCCCACTGTCCCTTCAACCGCCTTGACTATTCCGAGAGCTTCATCCCACCATCTTCGCCCGGATTGACCGAACGCAACCATGTCTCTCCAACAAATCCCCCATATCATCCTCGTCCTCTCCGGCAAAGGCGGCGTGGGGAAATCCAGTGTCACGACGCAGCTTGCTCTGACACTGTCTTTACAAGGCCATTCGGTTGGGATCCTCGACGTCGATCTCACCGGTCCCTCCATCCCACGCTTTCTAGGTGTCGAGTCCGCAAAGATCACACAGTCGGCCGGCGGGCTATTACCAGTTACCGTCCACGAAGCAAAACCGGCGCAACCTACTGTACCTACCTCTTCCGATAACCCCTCCACCACCCCATCTTCAAACATCAGCTATGCCCGTCTCTCCGCCATCTCCCTCGGCCTCGTCCTCTCCAGTCGCTCCACCGCCGTCATCTGGCGCGGTCCGAAAAAGACGGCCATGGTCCGCCAATTCCTCACCTCGACCGTTTGGCCGTCCGACACCGAGTACCTTCTGATCGACACCCCCCCCGGAACGTCCGATGAGCACATCTCGCTTCTTGAAACGCTGCTGAAGGAAACTGCTGCGACCCCCGCTCAGCTATCCGGAGCGGTGGTGGTCACTACCCCGCAGGCGGTCGCGATCTCGGACGTCAAGAAGGAGCTGGATTTTTGCCGGAAGACGGGGCTGCGGGTGTTGGGAGTGGTAGAAAACATGGCGGGGTTCGTGTGTCCGCATTGCAGTGAGTGTACGAATGTGTTTAGCAAAGGGGGGGGCGAAATCATGGCGAGGGAGGCGGTGGTGCCATTCTTGGGGAGCGTTCCTATCGATCCGGCATTTGTGGCTTTGATTGAGGAGGGGAAGAGGCCGGTGTATCCGAAGGGAACGGTTGTGGGTGGCACGGAAGCACAAGAAGCGGAGGGGAATGGGGAGGATGCAGGGACGAGGGATGATGGGTTGCTGGTTGAAAAGTACACGAGTTGTTCAATATATCCTCTGTTTGAGGGAATGGTGAACAGTATATTGAAGGATATAGAGGAGCGGGATAGGAATGGGGGGACTTGATGATATGTACAGTATACAGTCATGTTCGGAGCATGCATGATCTTGATACCCACCAGCTATTGTCATGAATATACGAATAGAGTGCCTTGGGATTCTGAACAAAGCATCCATCGGCTCCAAGTCCAATTGATGGATCTAATATAATATTCCCATGCCAACCGTCATCCAGCAGCAGATCAAGCGGAGTGTCGCGTGCTGATCAAATTGCTGATCGCAATGTGCAACGAAAAAACGCACCTTGCCCCGCTTTCTGTGGCTTCATCTTCTCACACAATTCCCGCAATATTTCAACACACTCGACTAAAAATTCTTATACTCCTCATACTTTCTGCCTCCACGCCAATTTAATCACTGCATATGTGCAGACCATATTCCCCAGCGTCTCTTCGAATCGACTATTAAAGCCGATTCTGGAGAGATTCACCCACCCACTGCGTGTTCCTCTAAATTTCAGGGCTACCCTCGGAACGGACCGCGTCAAGAATTGACACTCTCCTCCGAACCAACGATCCGAACACTTCTTTTTCATCATCGGCAGACGGCATCCTTCAAACTGGCGGAGCTGCGAGATAGTCTCCTCCAGTTAAACAACACTTGGCTGTTGTAACGCCACTACCGCCACTTCTTCATGCGTCGGGAAGATCTCGTACGGATCCTGTCCAAGCCCGGGAAGTACGTATAATTTGTTCACATCAATGAGTCGACGGCAAACAGTGGCTGACCATACGATTCAAAGACCTAGATAACACGGCTTACAACGATTTCCTATAAACCAGCTGAATAGCAGATCTCCTCATCTGCGGACCCGATACTTCCAGGTATCGGAATCTACCAGATCGAGGCCACCCCGGTATCGCCACGATTACGCCGCCAAAGGCCTTTTTTCTACCCCTCTCTGCTCGCCCTCCTTAACCGCCTTCTCCGTCCTCCTACGACGACTCCGCTGGGTTGAACCAGCCGTTCTCCTCCCCATCGTTCGTGGGCCTCCTCTCCTCAGACGGACAGACTCCTGTTCGTCTGGGTGGCAGCGTGAGCTCACCACTCCGCTCTCTCCGGTTTGACGCCGCCAGCATCGAGGCACGAGAAGGAGTTGAAGGGGGTTGATCCGTCGAGATACAACGGAGATGGTCGCGCTGGATATCAACCACATTGGGACTCCGGCATCATTCGTCGGAACTCCAAGCGTCAGCATCAACCATGAGGCGATCAAGGATTTAGATTCCTCGAACGCGTTTGAAGGTGAGGGTTTCGATGGGATCAGGATGGGGTTTTAACTGACATGTCTCAGGACCGGAGAAGCTCCTTGAGGTTTGGTTTTCCGCCACCGCCCACGACCTGCCCGCCGGCGTCGCGCCAAATGGGTTGAAGGCCGTTTCGGAGGACACATGGAAGGAGATGCTGGATCTGGTCAGCTGCAAGGTCCTCTCTATCGTCAAGTCCGAACATGTCGATGCATACCTCCTGTCCGAATCTAGCATGTTCGTTTGGCCGCACAAGCTGGTGCTGAAGACCTGTGGAACGACGACCCTTCTCTACGGAATCCCTCGCATGTTGGAAATCGCATTCCAAGACGTCGGATTTGCCGGGGTGCCGGCCGATCCGCATAAAGGACTGCTGGCGGCGGCGGTGCCGTACCGAGTTTTCTACAGCCGGAAGAACTTCCTCTTCCCGGATCGCCAACATGGACCGCACCGTAGCTGGGGAGACGAGGTGCGCTACCTCGACAAGACGTTCAACGGTGGCAGCGCGTATATGATCGGCAAGATGAATGGCGAGCACTGGTTCCTCTATGTGACGAATCCGCCCTTGGGACTTCCCCTTCCCACGGCGTCCGGAGCGGCGGACGCGAGCGATCCCCTTGCGCAGAGCATGGCCCCCGAAGTGCTCTTCCCGCATATACCGTCGGACGAACAAGAAGACGAAACCCTCGAAATCCTCATGACCGACCTTGACGAAGAAAACGCCAAGCAATTCTACGTCGCGGAAGCCGAGCTAACCGCCCAGCGCCTCCGCCACAAGGTCTCCCCCTCCCGCGTCTCCCCCTTCCCCGCCAACGTTAAAAGCCCCTACACACCCGCCGACTGCACTTTCGACGCCAGCTCCGACGTCTCCACCACCACCTCCGCTTCCCCGTCCGAGAAATCCGACCTCGACGACGACAAAGGCCACGCCCTCGGCACCGTCGTCTCCGACACCTGCGGCCTCGCCGACATCTACCCGACTGCCGACTTCCCCAACGCCCGCGTCGACGCCTACCTCTTCCCCCCGTGCGGCTTCTCCGCCAACGGCGTCATCCCCGTCACTGCCCCCAACCCAAAATCCACCACCCCGTCCTCCCCCTCCGAAACCCACTACTTCACCGTCCACGTCACCCCCGAACCCGGATTCTCCTACGCCTCGTTCGAGACGAACGTGCCCGCGCGCCAGGGAGGTCGACAGACCGCGGACCTAGTGGCGCAAGTCGTAAAGATCTTCAAGCCGGGGCGGTTTAGCGTGACGCTGTTCGAGGCGCGGGTGCGGAGCGAGGAGCGGGGGGGCGGGGCCGAGGGGGGACGGGCGAGTGGGAATGCGCGGATGGAGGAGATTCCGGGGTATAAGCGGGTGGAGCGGATCGTGCATTATTTGGATGGGTATGATTTGGTGTTTCGGTATTATGAGCGGTTGGGATGGATGGGGGGGCCAGTGAGGGTTGGGGAGAGAGGGTATTAGTGGGTTGATGAGGGTAAGTAATGATGGTATTGTATTTCTTTGGGTATACCCTTCATATTCTCATGGGGAAAACGCAAAATCATGAATGGTATCTCAGGAATATATTGAAAAGCGCTAGTCATTTGGAAGTGGGGAACTGGTCTCTTCCCTGAAGACTACAGACAGCAAAGCATGATCAATGAGTTTGTTTCAGACCTTTCAATTTCTCGACCGTGAGATCCTAGGTCGCTATATCTGCAGCGAGATCTACCCAAAGCCCTCGACCCCAGCAATTCGTGACCATTACATCTAAATCCCCCCCTTTCGCCTCTCCGCATCCCTCCGCAACTTCGTCATAAACGATTTATGCTTCCCCTTCCCCCCCGCCAACTCTTTATTCCGACTCTTCCCATACTCCACATACGCCATATCCTGCCCCCCGCTCAAATCGCTCAACATCCCCGCCGTCCGCTTTGCCTTCTTCTTCCCGTACCGGCCTCGCGCCTCGCTGAACAGATCCCCCTCGATCCGCTCCACGTCGCCGAGGCTCGCGTCCGACTCGATCTGCAACATCACCGACATCAGCAGGTCGCGGCGCTCTTGCGGGGTTTTGAACGCGAGGTTCGGCATCGCGTCGATGCCGTGGAGGTGGGTGATCACTTTGAAGGCGTAGCCTTGGTCGACGAGGAAGGCTTGCCGTTTAGAGGAGTAGTACATCTCCGCGGTGTCTTTCGAGACCAGCGAGTAGAAGAACGCGTTGAATCCCTCGTCGTTGCGGCGCTTCGCTCGGAGGATGCGGCCGAGCCGCTGCGCTTCCTGGCGGCGGGACCCGTAATGCGAGGAGATCTGAATGAGGCAGGTCGCCTCGGGGAGATCCAAGCTGGTGTCCCCGATCTTCGAGAGGAAGACGGTGTTGACGAGCTCGTTGTGCTGAAAGTTCTCGAGGATGCGCAGGCGCTCGGCCTGCGGAGTGCCGCCGTAGATATAGGCCTTGTTGAGCTTCTTGGCGTAGGCTTCAAGGGCGTAGACGTTGTCGGAGAAGACGATGACCTTGTCGCCGCGGCGCTCGTGGTAGTCGATGAGGAACTGGCAGGCCTGGAACTTGCGCGGGTTCATGGTGAAGAGCAGGGCCTTGCGACCCTTGGAGTTGAGGTACTCGGTGTAGAATTCGGGGGTCATCGGACACCACACCTCGGCGCACTGCACGCGCGCGATATGGCCCTGCTCCGAGAGTTCCTGCCAGTTGGCTTCGTAGAGCTTCGGGCCGATGAGGAAGTTGAGGTGTTCGATCTTGTCGTCTTCGCGGAGCAGCGTCGCGGTCAGCCCGAGCTTGGAGTGCGCCTTGACTTTATATGTGACGCGCTTGAACATCTCGGCGGGGACGACGTGCACCTCATCAAGGATCATGAGGCCCCATTCGCGGTTTTCGATGAAGTCCATGACTTTTTGGGACTCGTAGGAGCGGCCTTTCGATTGTGTGACCATGGAGTAGGTGGACACGATGATGCCAGTCGTCCCGGAAAAGCTGTCTTTGTGGTCGGCGGTGAAGACGGCAATGTCTTTCGGATTGACGTTCGACCATTTGATAAATTCCGCCCGCCATTGGACCACGGACATGGCACTCGTGCAGAGGACGATCACTCCTTTCTTGATCGTGCATGCGGCCGTGATGCCAACCAAGGTCTTGCCCGCTCCACACGGCAGAACAATAATGCCACTCCTCGCACGACCGTTGCCAAACATTTTGCTGAGGGCCTGCTCTTGATATGGTCGAATCTGCGACGCGGGTTTTAAATCGATGTCGAGATCCGCATTTGCGTCGTCGTTCCGGAAATCGTACTCCTCCGTCAACGGCAAATCAATGGCGCGACACCGCCTCGACACCTCCTGGACCGACTCCGCGGCGATCTCGAAGGAGTGGACTTGCTCGCGCTCCTCTTCTTCGTCGTCTTCATCCAGCAGCGTTGCAGTCATCGCTTCCGCTTGTTTCTGGGCATCGTCTTCTTCCTCATCATCCTTTGGTGCTTGCTGCACGGCTTGCTTGGCGCCAGCTGCCATTTTAGTGCCTGGAATCGCCAGATTGCCCATCTTCGGCGCTGCCGACTTCGTGAATCCCTCTGCAGTGTCAACCCGCAACGGACCGATGATTTCGTCTTGCAGAAGTGTTTGTAGGACCGAGGGATCGGAGCTTTCCACAAAATATTTCGTGTTCTTCAAAACCAACCTCACTTTGCCAAATGATCGTGTAGAGGCGACGATAAACTGCCGTATTGATTCCGGAATCGGGGTTTTGGACAGAAGGTCCAACTCTTTGATGATATCCTCCGTCGTCAACCCAACCGAGACCGCTGCAAAGAGACTATTGCTCGTTAATGTATACTCGTGGATCCGCGAAACCCTCGACTGCGGCTCTGCCACGTTGATGAGGAAATTCTCCGCATGCTTGAACGATGGCGAAAACGTTTCCATAATAATCTTCCCTTGATCCGGGTCTATCCATAACGGTCGGTCTTCATGATCCGGCTTCAGCGCTAAGTGCGAATGGTCTCGGTTGCCAAAGAGGCGCGCTGCGGCATCGTGGATGGCAGTTTCCTTGGCTTTCGCCGGTCGACTGTAGGAGTTCACGGTGAACTTCTTGACAAGATGGTCCATCCCCTCATCGTCTTCGTCGCTGACGGGAGCGGAGGCATCTTCGGCGTATTCCTCGTCGCTGTCACGGCTGCGGGGGGTGTTAGTGCCGGAGGCAAGCCGTTTGGCCGGACCGCCTGCCTGAGCTACCATACAACATCAGAGTTAATGCATCGGGTACCTTGGAGTTTAGACCATACCTGGATTCTTCCGTTTGGGAGGCATTTTCGAAGACGCGGTTGAAGATCGTCGGAAGCCCGCTTGGAGACAGAGGACGGAATGCGGCAGGCGGGAGTCTCTTTAGCCTCGATCTTCGTTAAACGTAACGGGTTCAGAGGTAATTAATAGAAGAAAGGATTAGTACTGCCGTCCTCCAGTCAAAAGGATACTCTGGACGGAACGGTGCGATATTGTAGAGGTTGACAGCCAGAAGTGACTCTGATGTTGAGACCTTTGTCCTACGTAAGTAAAGCCTAGATCATAGTCGATAGATCATATTAAATGCCGCCCCATGTCTCCTCTGTCGTATACAAACTGTGGGGCGCAATATGTCACCGCAATCTGGCCGCACATCGTTGTCTGCTATTAACACTCCATACTCTATATCAGCAACACCACCAACGTCATTCCAATAAAAGCATCTAGGACTCCATGATCCAAGTGCGCGGGACAATATCTTCCCTCTTCTACCTATCATAAGGATACTTATTTGCACCGTTACCCTCCAACTCCTTGTCGTATCGGAAGCAAAGCCGCCAATTGAACCATGACATTGACGGCTCTATAAGATCCATTCCGCAACTGCACTCCAAGCAATGTCACGATGGGTGCTTCCGACTCCAAGTTGACATTCAAGCAAGGCATATTCAAGCTTTCCGAGCAACGGAATATCCCCGCTGACGATCCCTACTGGCGTGGAGTATGTATCTTCTCGTCCGCTCTTTGAACCGTTACGGGATGCTGACCGTCGATCCATAGTTTTGGGAGCTCCCCGAGTCTGCTGAGGATGTGTTCTCCTTATTTTCTCCCATCGATGTCCGGAGGACAAGAGACACGTTCCTGGAGAACCTGGAAACCCTCCTCCTCGCCGTAACCTCCAGACTCGTCGTGTTACGCAATCACCCGTCTTTTCCGAACGACGACCTGGCACCGGAGCGCGATGCGCTGAATTGCATCCGGGTCCTGACGCGGATCCTCCCATATATTTACGAGGCACCCCATCTTGACGATTGGGAGGCGAAGTTCTTTTGGGGGGCGCGAAGGAAGCGCACGCGGAAAAGCCAGCTATCATCACGGTCTGAGGTACTGTTCGACGGGACCGATGCCTCCGCGGACGAGCCACCCGAGCCAGAACCTGAGTTTGAAGATGCAAAACCGCTTGCGGAAGAGCTGATTGACACGCTCATCGACCTGCTGTTCTACTCCGAATTCACGATCGGCAAGTCTCCGCCGGGGAAACAACGGGTTTCGTACGCCATCTGGCAAAGCGGAGTGGGCTGCAACACCCCGGTCATCTCGACGAAGGAATTCGAAAGCAATCGTACCGAGATCATGCGTCTCCTGCTCGTCCTGACAGGCAAGTCAATGTACATGAATTCGACCGTGCTGTCCCAGCAAGGGGTCAAGGCCATCAGCTACATCACAACATGCCCGGACAAGCAGATCGTGCTTTCGGTGCTCTGTTCTATGCTGAACACGACGTTGAAATACAACCCGGCCACATGGCGCGTGCCATACGATCATGTTGTATTCAAGGACAGTAAGCAACTTCTCGTTGCCTATTGTCTCCAGCTACTTCTGGTTCTCGCTGTATACCCAGTCCCAGAGACAGGCAATGGCCCGCCGCCGAAGAACTTCTACCGTCACTTTCTCGGTCGCCTCCATCGACCCCAGGACTTCCAATTCCTGGTCGATGGGATGATGAGGATATTGAACCAGCCGCTACAGGCAACTTCATCCTATTTGCCCGGAAGTCAGAAATCGATAACGTGGGCGCCGGAGATGGTCATGTTGTTCTGGGAAACACTACAGTGCAACAAACGCTTCCGGTCCTTCCTCATCGATACCGATCGCGCTCATGACTTCGTGATCTTGATGCTCTTTTACATCATGAATAACCGGAACGACCCCTCCGCTCAAGGAGTCTTGAAGATGTGCGTCTTCATCCTGCAAACCCTGAGCACCGAACCAAATTTCGGGAAGGGATTGAATAAGGTTTTCGAGGGGCAAGATACACTTCCTCAAACGATTCGGATTCCTAACTTTCACGGTTCTTATGCGGATTACCTCATTACAGTAAGTATTGTAGCTGATCAAACAATATCTGACGTCGCTCACTGGTTTAGATGGTCCATGCTCTCATCACGACGAGCAAGGGAAAACTAGACACGCTATATTCCCCGTTACTCGCGGTCATCAACAATATTGCGCCATATCTAGAAAACCTAGGGCGAGCGCCATCCTCCAAGTTGTTGCAGCTGTATGCATCCATGTCTGCACCCAGCTTCCTACTTGCAAATGAAACGAATCATGTTCTGCTTCATTCTCTACTAGAGGCGATGAACGCCATCATCGAACACAAATACGAAGGTATATCAGATTTCCATCCGAGAGATCTTCGCTAACGATTGTGGACAGCAAATCCCAACTTCGTTTACGCCGTCTACCGCTCGAAACGCAAATTTGAAGCCTTGCGAGCTTTCACTCTCGAGAGCGGAAGAGAGGAGATCGAGAAGCAGAATAGGTTGAAGAAAGAACGGGCCGCCTCCGCACAAGATCCACGAAGTCCCGTCGATAGCGCCCCCAACTCGGCCATTCCTACTAGCCCCACCACCAGCGACCCGGCCGAAGCGCACTCCGCGTTCGCGATCGGCGATGACGAGGATGAAGAGGGAAGTTATTCTCCGACACTCGTCAATCCTTCCAATATCCAGTCCGCCACCAGCTCTCGTGCCGGCTCGGTCAGCTCGCCCGCCGACACAACCTTTCCACTGCAGCTGCGCGGGATGTCCGAGAAAGCTCGCGGCAAGCGTCCGGCTGGACAACCTGCTTTTTCGCGGCAGAGCAGCACGACCAGTCTTCTAAGCGCGGTGAATACAGGTTCCTTCTCCGGTTCTGGAACGTTTCAGCCAACGGTCGAATGGGTAAGTACTGAAGCGCTCAGCCGACAACCAATCCACACCGAGGCAACCCAGCTAACCCATCCAAATTTCCAGATCGAACAATGGCTCCCCCAACTACCCCTCCACACCATCCTCACCCTTATCTCCCAACTCTCCCCCCACCTCCCCTCCGACCCCTCCCGTGACATCCCCACCACCCTTATCGCCATCCGCCGCGCCGAAATCCACGGCATCGACCCCTCCCCCCCCCGCGTCCACTCCTTCGAATGGTCCTCCCTCTCCCTTGGCTGGTATCAGTCCCTCCTCTGGGGCTTCGTCTTCACCTCCGAGCTCACCGTCTCGAAGGGGCCCGCCGGCGTCTGGAACGGCACCGGCATCCGACTTTTCCGCGTGCAGGAGACGGCCGCGCAGACGCCGTCGTTACTGGCGCCGAGGGGCGCAGTGGATGCGGTGGGGAGTAACTTGGTGAGTATGGTGGGGAATTTGAACTTGCGGGGCGGAGCGCCACAGTTGGGGCAGGGTGGGCGGACGGGGAGTGGGGGTGGGAGCGGGGGGAATGGTTCGCCGATGACGGTGAGGGATGTGTGAGTGTCGGGTACGGACTGCTGGTATCGTGTATGGCCTGGTATCTGCTATCCTTCGCTTATCTCGAGGCTGTTTCTAAGGAGGAATTCTAAAGCGACGATCGTGGTACCTTTAATCATTGGATTGGAGTTTGATTGAACCGCAATATCGGTGGGTCTGGGAATATAGAACGAGCAGTTGGATAATGATCACGAACTTTCGTCAGACGCATGGCTATTGAGATCTTACGTATAATGGCACCTTTGCGTTTCGTTCCTTGCTGAGATTCTGGTGCCTGTGCTTAGGCAGATCCTGTAGCGTGACTTGGGTCTTGCCAGCTCCTTTCTTTCGCAGCGCGGTAGCTATGCTTTCATAATCTCGCCATAGCAGCTCGTGATTATAATGATGGGAGTACTCAGCTTGTGATGTGTCTTGTCAGGATGCGTCTACTGGCCTTGGTAAGACGGTTTCTAGGATACAATGTAGTAGGCGGTCAAGTCAGAAGAGCGCGTGCCCGTTTCTGATGACACGGCTATGGAACGCTGTGACGAAGACCGTTTCAGGGTCGGAGCATTATCTATAGAATCCATCTCTTCCCCATTGAATATTTGCAGGTTCTTCTCCGGGAGCTCAAATTGGGGCAGAAGGCTTTGGGGCTGCTTCGCATCGTGCTCGTCCTTTGGCTCCTCGGCTTCAGCTTCAGAGACTTCTTGAGAACGCTTCCGCTTGGTACGCACCGGCGGTGAGATACATGCAGGACCTATAGGTGATACTTGGACAGGCTGGGGAGCGTGGGAAACGGACGACTCCGTAGAATTGGGAATTGGGAATAATTGATAACTAAGGGTATATTCCTAAAAGGGATAATTAGTTTATCTTGGCAGACGTCTACGGTACCCTCTCTCTATGGATGGCGATTGGACAACACAGCATACCAGCAGCGATCTCGACACCGGACACCCTGGACCAGATACACGGTACGGTCGAACCGTTCTCAATCATCCATGAGCCCAGCGGCGGTGGCCACGCCAGCAACGGAATCTAGGTTAGAAGGGCTCGATGATGATGGGCTAATTAATGGAGGGATTGCGCCGCTTACCGTGTTATTGAGTGTCGCGATACATGGAACGAGGGTGGTATATTCCGACTACCACGGGATTGTTCGATGGATGGAAAGAGACGGGATTCATCGTGTGCGGGCGTTCGAAATCCCGTATGTCTGGGTGGATTCTGACACTTCAGACCCATCGGATGAAGAATATAAAACGGCCGATTTCATACAGACAATCACTCCAACGGTCAACCCTAGCATGGCTTTTGACCACGCAGCTTCGTCGAAGCATGGTGAAAGGGGGGTGGATATGTCCAACCTCCTCGTATTGACGAACAAGAGAAATGTGGGAATGCTATCGTTTGGTATAAGAGAGTTCGACGAGACAGCTAGAACCAGAAAGGTTGGATAGTTCGCAGGAAACGGAGCGAGCGGAAGAGAAGAAGATAAGATATTGGTTGTAGGAGAAGGCGGACGACACGTATGGAGGGACTTAACTGGCGAGCCAGGACCTCTGGATTACGTGACATTTTTCTCACCCATGGACGAGGACGGATATTAAATCAGCGCATTATTGTTCAACACTGGATATTCTACCCCTGAATCTAACTGTTATCTCGTGCATCATCATCATGGAACTCACTCACTACCGTCCAATCCGCCCTCGTTGCATGCGAGTATGAATTACACCCGGTGATATAAAATGAAGAACGTCCAGAGGAACGCAAGAAGTCCAAAGCAAAAGAAAAAAAAAGCCAACCTAAGCAGAAATTGAGCTGCCGACCTGCCAAAACTTGGAGGGTGGACCTATTACCTGGATGGCTTTGTTCTCTCTACTATATAAACCTTCTCCAATTTGACGAACAGGAACCAGGGCAGTTTTACAGCAGTACCAACGACCTGGACTGTCTTCCGCTGGCAGATTTTAAAGTAACTCAGTATATAGTATAGATCTTTTGAGGCCCCTTTCGGATTCACATCATCTGGCGGTGGATATGCTTCGCGTTATACGACATAGGCGGTTTGGCAGCCCTTTCAGCGGGATAAAACACCTCGTTTGGGTTTCATGAGTGGATTCAGCCAACATTGGGAAGCGCTGGCTCCATTTCTAAAATCTCTACCTTGATCTGGATGCCGGACTCCCTTAGGTAGACAATGCTGTAGATGAACATTAAGCTCAAATTGGACAAATCAGTCTTCCATTGAGAGAAACAACCTCCTAGATGTAGGTATCAAACCCAACCACCGAACACCTCGCAATGCTAATATCCCAGCGGACTCATCGTGTCTAACATTTCCGTCCCGCACCCAACCCAAATAGCCCAGAGAAACTCCACAACCAGTCCCCATCAAATACATCCATGTCATATCAGTACCCAGACAATATGAACATGAACTCAGCAAATAAACCCTACCACTCACGCCTCCCCCTCCTCCCCTCCCTCCCCCCACGTCTCCTTCTCCCTCTCTACCAACCGCCGAATTGTCTCCTCATCAAACACACTCTCCCTCGGCACCCCCGTCCTCCCAAAATTCACCACCGGCCCAATGATGCTATTCCACTTCGCCCTCCGTTCCATCAGCGCGCGAATCGGCTCCCCTACTGTTGGCCGCGTCACCCCTGCGGCTGCGGCTGCCGCCGCTGCCCCCTGCGCGCCGACCGGCCGCTTGACGTTCTTCTTCCCCTTGCCCATGGTGCGGTTGCGCTTGAGGTACGCCTGGTTGAGCTGGCCGTCGAGGTCGTCGGAGATGCTGCCGAACTCTTGCATGGCCATGGATTCCTCGGCGAGCTCGTATAGGCGGGCCTTGCGGGCGGCGTTCATGATGATTTGGGTTTTGAGCTCGGACTGGAGGAGGCGGAGGCGCGCGGCGACTTCGTCGTCGAAGTGGGAGTCGTAGGAGGGGGTGTCGTCGGGGCCGATGAAGCCGATGTGGCGGAGTTCTTGGAGGGCGCGGTCGTCGAGTTGGGTGTAGGTTTGCTTGGTGGGGGGGAGGGATTTGAGGGAGGGGTTAGTGGATATTTCGGCGAAGGCGGTGGAGGAGGGGAGGGTGGGGTTGGCGGGGGTTGAGGAGGTGCCGTTAGCTGCGCCATTGGTGAGGGATTCGCCGGAATCGGCGGCGGCAAGTTGGGCGCTGATGTCGAAGTCGATGTCGTCGATGTTGGTATCGCCGTTGGTTTCTTTGTCGGTTTCAGAGGGACGGCCTTCGGCGCGCATGGATTGGAGGAGGCGAGCGAGGACCGGGCCAGCGGAGACTTGGTCTGTTTGGGCGACCTCGTCGTTTATGTTGTTGACGCTTCCACGGGCTTCGTTTTGAGGGAGCTTCTCGTCATCGCTGTCCACGTCCATGGCGCCGTCTTCGTCTGCCCAGATATCTCGAAAGTGCCGCGGTCCTCGTGGAGGCATGACGAAGGGTGTCACCCGATCTTGCTTCTCTCTGAGAAATACAAGATCCTCCTCTGTCAAGGGTCTGATGTAGGGTTCCACGTAGTTGGCGAACGCTATTGCGCTGACCTGAGTGGCCGGCTTGGCATTGCTGAAATCTCGATCGGGCGGTGTCCCAGGGGTGAGGTCATGCAGGTCGTCATGGGGATATGAGGCAACGCAGTAAATCTCCTTCTGTTCTTCTTCGGTCATGCCAGGGCTGACATCTCTTATATGGTAGACCGTGGGGTCCGGAAAAGTCGAGGGGTCGGGTCCAAATGTCTGGTACTGGCGGACGGCGGGAGCAGGAGACGGCTGATGGGAGTCTTCCGAAGAGATTACTGATGCGATAGATTCGGCTCGGGGGGCGGTGGCGGCAACGGAAGGGGGAGCTGCAGAAGCTGGAGATGATATTGAGGACGATGTGTCCATTGCTTTAATGGGCGAAGAGTTAGACTTGATTCTGATTCTGGTAACTTTGCGCATCCATTCGTCGACCACCAGTCGCGCGACCTCTTGAAGAGACCGCCTTCGTTTCGTGCGAGTATCCATGACTTTGAACAAAATAGGAACGGATAGAGATTCTTGCGGCAGCAATACACTGACAGACAACACATGGTAATTTACACGGCCGAAGAACAATAGAAATGTAGACAACGTTTGAAACCATATGGACTTACCCTTCATTTCGGCACCATCCTGCCGAGTGACCCCATGGGCTCCCACAGCAGGTGGCCTCTCATCATCTTTCTCCCTCTTCTTTGTCTGCTTCTGCTTCCTCTTCCTTTCCTCCGCCTCTCTCTCCAATCGTTCCTTCTCTCGATTCCGTTCAATGCGCTCCTTCCGCTTTTTCGACAGCTCCCGTATCAGCCGCTCACACGTCTCTCCGCGCGCATTCAGAATTGAGACCACCTTCGACTTGACTTCGTCCTGCATGCTATGGATGGCGGCGGCGGAGGGAGGGGCTTGGCCCGCGCCGCCATCGTCGAGGATGTCTTCGACTGTTGCCGGGGCGGAGGAAGGGGCGAGGTTTGTTTGGAAATAGGAGGAGGAAGGCGGGAGGTCGATGGAGACGGAAACAGCGCTGGCGCTGGCGGGAGTGGTGTTGCGACTGGCACTGCTCCGGGGGTGGGGTTTACCCCGGGTCTTACTGCTGGTGGGCGCCATGGCGAGGATGGGGAGAAAAGATCGAGGGAAAAGAGGGCTGACGGTTAGCTCGCCGAGACTAGCGGTCAGGATCGTAGAAATTGTAACATGGGCGGGTTGTGTGGTATGGATGGGTGAATCTGGAGAAGGTGGAAATGATGAATTGATGTTCCATCGCGATGAATTCGATATCACGTGAACTAGAGGTCTTTCGATGCACGTGCCGGTCTTGGCAGCTTAGGTTCAGGCGTTCAGCTAACTGAGTCACGTGCGATGCAGCCTCCCAGCTCCATGTCCAATTGTTCCAAGCTTCGACTCATTATTAATTGATTTCTTTGTTATTGTACATTCGGTGACCCTCCTGGATTTGGTCTAGACACGCGATATATGTCCTTGTAACCCCAGGTTTGTCGTGATTAATCCTCATCCACAATCGCCTCGGGAACGGAGCAAGTGGCCCTGGTACAGTTCATTTTAGCACTACTGCACTAGTTAAGCTTTCCCACAAGCTTGGCTCCGTGGAGAGTCGCAGCACTGAAGGAAGCGCTAGCCCCCCGATTTAGCTTCGAACATGAATAAGCCTGGCGGGCCTTCCGCCTTTCCGCCTTGCCGCCTGGTCGCCTTCCCTCCCTACAGCCAATCAGCGTCTCCTTCCCCATGAGCCCTCGACTCCTCAGATTCTCCGCAACATCGCCGTATCATCTCCGTCACCTTTGAATCTCCTTGCGTTTGAACCGCAGCACCTCCCATCTCACCGCTCTGCTCGGTTGCTGTCCTTTTCTCTGCCATTGCGCCGATCTCTCGCTGCTGCCATCTTGCTTCGTGTAAAAATGGATGGTTCGCTGTTGGGTCTGTCACGTCTTGTCTAGTAATTAAGTATCGCGAGAGGACTGGATCCTCCATTGAGCCGCCATCATGTGTATGTTCCCAATCGAGTCCCAGATTGAAGTTCATAGACTAATCCGCCTTCGACAGCTGCGGTCAACTTTGCTGTCCTCACCCTCGATATTATCGATCCAAATCATCCAGTAGGAAATCGCGAGGAGTTCACGACTCTCGACGTACGATATCTGACCCGTTGATGCTTTCTCCTCGCTGACGTGCCGTGTAGAGTGATATTTCCTTCCAACACATGAGCTATAATAACATTCGGACGCTATCCACGACCGGATCGAACCCCGGGACTGACATTACGGGCCTGCTTTATGTTCCTGAGGTTGCGGACGGCCGATGCAACTCAACCGGATATATTTCCGCGAATGTTGTCCGAAACGGAGATCTACCTCGCAGTCCTGGCTCGAATTACCAGTCGATCGCTTTTGCGCCCTGGATTTCCTCTACTTGCACACTTGCTTTTCTAGATGCTGTCCCAAATAAGGATGGGTGGGGCGCATTCATGTTCTACCTTCCGAATAATGGAACGGGAATGCCACCAGCACCGAACATGATGGATTGGTATATTGGGGATGGCGGGCAATGGAGGTCGCATTACCTATTTCCGATTTACGCTATCCCCGGCCAGGCTGGCCAAATGGTGATGGACCAGTTAGGCCTGTATAACGGGAACATATCGTCGGTCCCAAATGGTCAGATCCTCTCCAGGATGTATCCAGGATCCGACTACATTCGGCTGGTGGCCCAGATCGACATGGGAAAGACGAACTCGCTACCGAACCTATGGGTCTTCCTGCTCATCGTCCTTGCGATTCTCCTGTTTATCATCAGTTCGACGTCGTGCGCCATGCACTGGATCCAACGACGAAGGAGAAACGAATTACGCAGGCGTGTCGTCAATGGCGAAGTCGATATCGAGACACTTGGTATCAGGCGTATGACCGTGCCAAAAACCATCATCGACACTTTCCCGTTATACCTCTATTCCGTCGATTCCGACCCAACCCCCAACCCTTCCAACAACGGACCTCCGAACGACCCCTCAAAAACCGCCACCGAAACCACCTCCCGACCCTTAACCCCCGAATTCGACCCCAAAATGCCGGCGCACGCCCCCTCCTTCCCCCAACCCACCTGCCCCATCTGCCTCGACGACTACACTAACCAATCCACCGTCCGCGAACTCCCCTGCCGCCACATCTACCACCCCTCCTGCATCGACCCCTTCCTCCTCCAAAATTCCTCTCTCTGCCCCATGTGCAAAAAGACCGCACTCCCCAATGGCTACTGCCCAGCCCGCATCACCAACGCTATGGTCCGCCGCGAGCGCATCGCCACCAACCGCCGCGAAAACGATCAACTCGACTGGCGCCCCGATTCCGCCCACGGGACTGCCCACCCTCTCATCCGCGCCTACCACGCCCTGCGCAATCGCCCCACCCCATCCCAAGCGCACGCCCGCCTGCACTCCTCCGCCGGCGAACCCCCTCGCACCGACTACCCCTCCTCCCTCCGGCGCATCAACCCCTTCCAGCGCCCTACCCCAGACACCTCCACCCCTTCGCCCGTCGAAATGCGAAACACCTCTATGACCCCGCCCATCGCCACGCCACCCCTCGCATACTCCACTCCCACCACCACCGCCGCCGGACACCCGTCCCCCGATCGGATCACTCCCCTCGCGGACCTTCGCGCCAGCTCGCTCGCGCACGCGCCACCACCGGATCAGCCGCAAAGGCGGGCGGAGTGGCTGGGACGGCGGGCGGAGGCGCTGTTGGAGCGGGGGGGAGGGCGGGGTGCTGGGGGAGAAGACGGGCGGACTGTGGAGGAGGAGGATGAGAGGAGGCCCGGGTGGCGGAAGGTGGTGGGGAAGGTGTTTCCGGGGTTTGCGTGATGGATGAGAATTTACGGGCCTTGGGCGAGGAGGGTCGTGACGACGGTTGGGAGACGGACGGCGTAATCGGTTGATCTGATACGGGATATCTCATGACTCATGAGGATGGGATGGCGATGGCGTTGCGTGGGTTGATATCATCTGTTTCATGGGCGGAGTATGGTTCTGGATTCGGGCCTACCTTGTTCTGGCGACGGGAATGCAGTCGCAGGCTGTATATAGCAGGTTGTGTGGCTCACATCAGTGATGTGGTATGACGCCCCGTGAGAAAGATGGTTTGAAGGATGGTGAACAGACTGCATAGTATATAGCAAGTAATTCAAGATGCTGAGAAGCATCTTTTTTAATTGGACAGCAAGCTGAGACTTCGATCCGTTACTAGTGACCAATGCTTATAACAATGCCGGGCCTTGTGGACGATTGTGTCGTAGATATCTGTACCATGTAGACGACCCCAGCAACCTTTCAAGGTGACCTCAAGCCGCTGTACAAAAGCCAAACCTCAACATCTCACACCTCCCGTCCATCCAGTTCATCCACCACATCGTTTCCGCATCTCACAGCCCTCCATATTCCTCCCACAGCCTTATCAACATCAATGCCCAAGATGGATTTCCACCAATACAGCAGCTGGGCGGTGAAGCGCAGCCTTGTGCTCAGTTCGATCGGAATAATCTGGTCTGAGACATCCCCGCCGTATTTGCGATGTTATCAGGTAGGCGTTCTTCGAGGCGTTTGGTCCAAGTCCATGTTTCTTCTCAAGCGACAGCAAGATTTATGTTCGATGTTGTTGAGTTATTCTTCTCAAAGTTCTCTCGCGTGATACTTCTAATCTTCTACTTCCTATTTGATCTCTTGTCATCTGCGGTACACACTCTCGTCGGACGCCCTGAAGGGCGCACGATAGTTTCTGTCATTATGATGCATACGGCAACTTTATCGACCTTTGGCCGTTCTATCCATGCGCACACACAATCTGTCCACATTCCGACTAGTATGTCGAGGGAATTTCAGATGGTTGCCATCGTTTTCGCTGGGATCCGCCCAACTGGCCGTGTTCAGTTCACCAGTGCGAGTTCAACCACGAGCAATTCGCTAGAAAGCAAAAAAAAGAAGTTGGCGAAGCAAAAGAAAGTCGCTGGTGACAAGCCCCTGAAGATTCCGATGCCTGGAAGTTGGACAGAATGAATGGAAGGATCTGGCCGTGGTACATCAGAAAAAGCCGTGGGGATGAGGATCTATGGAGAGTACGGCGTATGGATAATGGAGTTGGTGGGCAAAAGGATAGACTAATCTTCAATGTCATTGCATTTCTCTATCCAGTTCTCCCTTTTACCAGGAACTTTTAATGAACACAACATCCACTTCTCAGCATGACCTCCCGTCCATTCAGCTCCCTACAACTTCACCAACCGCAACAAAAACGTCGCCTTCTGCACCTCCTGCTCCTCCTCCGCAATCACCTTCTCCGCCACTCCCTCCGGAATCACCCCCTCCACCTCCGTCACCACATGCCGATCCATCGGCCGCCGCAACGCCTTCTCAATCACCGCTGACTGGCTCTCGAACACCTTCTCGATGCCCGTGCTCTCCGGGTCACCGAGCATGCGGTATTCCATGCCGACGTCGTCCGTGGGAACTAGCCCGGCCTTCTTCCGCAGCTTTTGGACCCGGTTGATGATCTCCCGTGCGAGGGCTTCGTCGTAGAGCTCGGGGTATACTTGCGTGTCGAGAATGATCAGGACATCGTTGTCGGTGTGGAATTCTTGGGTAGTGTCGCCTTCGGCGGCGGCGATGCCGCGACGGACGACGAGGTCTTCGGAGGTGAGCTCGATGCCGTCGACTGTGATCTTCCCTGTTGCCAGGTAATCTCGGATATCGGCATTGGTCAACTTCGGTAGAGCCTTCTTCACTAGCTGGACCTGTTTCTTCAACTTCTTGCCTAACGTCGGCCAATCAGCGTTGCAGGAATACTGCACGTGATATTTCTCCTCATCGCTGCTTAGCACCAAGTTTTGGACGTTCAGCTCCGTGGAGATGTACTGTTCTAAGCTCTTGAGATCATCCAGATATTGCTGGTCGCGATGGATCACCACGAGCGTCTTCAGCGGCATCTTCAGCCCAATGGTCCGTCGCTCTCGGCAGACGCGGCAGAGGTCGATGACGGTTTGCATGCGCGAAACCTGTCGCTCGATGTCGGGGTTGAAAAGCTCTTCGCGGACTTGAGGGTACGGGAGGAAATGGACGCTTCGTGGATCGATGGCACGGATTTTCTCGGGGATGAATGGGAGAAGGCGTTCGTAGATGTTGTCGGTGATGAAAGGCGTGAAAGGCGCGAGGCCACGGCAGAGAGTGTAGAGGACTTCGAAGAGGGTGTTGAGCGCATGCTGGGTGTCGTCGACGCCAAATTCGCCCTTTAGTCTACGTCGGTTGAATCGGATGTACCAGTTCGTGGTGTTATCGATGAGCTGGAGTAGCCGGGGAACGACGGTATACAGTCTGTAGGCTGCCATTTCTTCGTTGACGAACTTGAGGAGACTCTGACAAGAGGCCAAGATCCACCGGTCCATGACGTTGGTGTTGGTTTTCTCAGCATCGGGGTTGAAGAGGAAGTCAACGTTTTCGATCTTTTTGAGGAGAGAGACTTGCTGGTCGAAGAAATTGTAACTGTTCCATAGAGGCAAGAGAACGGTGCCGACAATCTGCTTGACTCCTGACTCTTTGAAACGGAGTGGCTCCGCTCTGACAACTGGAGAGTTGATCATATAGAGTCGAAGTGCGTCGGATCCGTATTTGTCCATCATGAGAGTTGGGTCGGGGTAGTTCTTCAGTCGCTTCGACATCTTCTTGCCATCCTCTGCAAGAACGATACCGTTGACGACGCAGTTCTTGAAGGGCAATGTCCCGAAAAGGTGGGTTCCCAGCACTGCAAGAGTATAAAACCATCCTCTGGTCTGGTCAAGGCCCTCTGCGATGAAATCGCCCGGGAAGCCGTCCTTGAAATCCTCCGCGTTCTCGAAGGGATAATGTTTTGATGAGTAAGGCATGCTTCCTGACTCGAACCAACAGTCGAAGATTTCCTCCACTCTCCGTAGCTCGCCTTTGCCCTGCTTGCTGGGTATGGTGATTTTGTCCACAACCTCACGATGGAGGTTGCTGAGGTCGCCTTTATAACCGCTCAGATCCCTCAACTCCTGGATGCTTCCCACACAGATCACCTCCTTCAAGTCGCTGCTCGCCCAAAGAGGGATAGGAGTACCCCAGTACCGATTTCTCGAGACGTTCCAATCTCTGGCGTTCTCGATCCAGTTCGCAAATCGCCTCTCTTTCACAAAGCTGGGTACCCAATGCGACCCCTCAATGTTCTTCATTAGTTGTGGGATGATCGGTTTGACCTTGATGAACCATGATGGCACCGCTCGGTAGATCAATGGCGTATCTGACCGCCAGCAGAACGGATAGCTATGCATGATCTGGCTCTCGACAACTATACGCCCCTTGCCTTTGAGGTGTTTGATGATGGCTTTGTCCGCTGCTTTGACGTGCTGTCCGGCAAAATCGCTGACTACGGCGGTAAAACAACCCTCGTCGTTGACAGGGTTTGGCGCTTGTCGCTTCTCGTTTATGACGCCGTGATCCATGGCAATCTTGTAATCCTCTTCACCGAATGCTGGTGCTTGATGGACTATGCCAACACCGCTGTCTGCCGTCACATACGTGGCGTTGAGCACCTGGAAACCGACATCCTTGAACTCCTCGTAGAAGTAGTCGAACAGGGGCTCGTATTTCCAACCAAGCATGTCTTTCCCCGTGAACCGCTCCACAATCTTGAATTTCGCCTTCTTAGGATCCTTGTACAGAGTCTTGAGCAACCCTTCTAGTAAAACGTAGTGCTTCCCTGACGCCTCGTCTAATAGCTTGATATATTCAAAGGCCGGGTGAGCGCAAAGCCCGGTGTGTGAAGGTAGGGTCCATGGCGTGGTCGTCCAGGCCAAGAGGTTGGTGTTGGGGTCGTCTAGTAGCGGGAAAGAAACCACGACCGCGGGATCTTGAGTGTCTTTGTAATTTTGGGAGGCTTCGAAATTGCTCAAGGGTGTGGTGAGAGCGGTCGAGTATGGCATGACCTGGTGTCCTCGATAAACCGCATCCTTGTCCCATAATTGTTTGAAACACCACCACTCCGACTCCATGTAAGTATTGTCCATCGTCTAAAGAGCGTAATTAGTTTGCGGTTCGGATGCAACCTCCATCGAGTCACTCACCTTGTAATCATTATCAAAGTCGACCCAACGACCCAAACGATCAATGGTCTGCCTCCACTCCGTCGACAACCTCATGACGATCGCCTTACACTCCGCATTGTAATTCTCAATCCCAAACTTCATCACCGCATCCCGTCCCGAGATCCCTAGCTTCTTATCAATCTCATGCTCGATCGGCACGCCATGCGTGTCCCATCCGAACCTCCGCTCCACATAGTGGCCCTTCATCGTCCAGTATCGCGGGATGATGTCTTTTATGGTCGACGCCAACAAATGGCCGTAATGCGGCAATCCCGTCGCGAACGGTGGGCCATCGTAGAAGGTGTATGGCGTCTGGCCTTTGGAGAGCTCGACTTGTCGTTGGAAGGCGGAGATCTCTCGCCAGAAGGCGAGGATGCGCTCCTCTTCCTTAGGAAAGTTGATGGACATTTTCGATGGACACTAAAGCGGTCCTGAATAGCACGACAACGGATCAAGGTAGAGATGAAGGTTGTAAGTGTCTAATGAGTGGGTTGGAAGTACGCAGGGTGGTGGTGCGGAAATTTTGGCAGCTCCGCATTGAGTCATTCAGACGAGGGGCGACCCTGGTTGGTGACTCACACATTACCTACTCCTTCATTCAGAAGAGAGGAAATAACACGGGACGGTTTGATATTGCAGTCTAATGAGCCATCTAACCAGAATGGATGCTTGTATAACTGGTTCAATTAAATACCCTCGCTGAGGCCGTCTACAAGTGATGAAATAGGTCCCTCAGCTGCTAGTACCCCTTGAGGACCATCCTTCAGTGCATGATGAGGAGACTCTGGCTGGCGCAATCCGTTTTAATTCCAGGAGATCCTCCACCGAGCCGTACATGGGACATGCTGCTGTGCAGTGATCGCAAACGCTAGACGTCTTGGAGAGAAGAGCGTCAATGACTCCTCAGTCGACTTCGTTCTCATCCTCATCGTCCTCATTATCCTCCGCATCTGAGACCTCCTCACCAAGTTCCTTTAATCGCTTCTACTCAAGGTTAGCGACCATGTCCATAAAACGGCACTCCACGCAGGCGGTCTTCACACATACCTTGTCACTTGCCCTCTTCTCCTCCAGATCCGCCAAGATCATCAACAAATCATCCAACTCCGTTTGCGCCTCCTTCCGCTTCTGCTCCGTCTCCTCCACCTCCGCTTCCAACGTCTTCACTTTCCCTTCCACGTCCTCCTTCGCGGCCCGCTGATCGTCCAACTCCGCCTGTACCGTCTGCATCGCATCTACATCCTTTGCGCTCGTCTCCTTCAGCTCGTCGAACTCCCGTTTCACCTCCGCCAACTCCGTCTCGCGGGTTTTCAGTGTCCGCTCAGTCCGCTCCAGGCTATGTCTCGCTGCAGTGAGGTTATCGCGCGTCTTGTTCGCGGCAGCGGAGAGCTCGGACACGGCTTTGCTGATCTGCTGGCTGTTCCACTCCGCTTCCTTGGCGCGTTGCTCCAGCTCGGCGTTCGTGCGGCGGAGCGCGTCGAGTTCGCGGTCGGTGGTGGCTTTGGCGCGAGCGGCCTCATCGGAGGCGTTCTTCTGGAGGTGGAGCATCTGGTTTTCGAGATCGTGCTTTTGGGCGGCGAGTTGGGATTCCAGAGTGGAGATACGCTGTTCGTAGTCGGTGGTGAGGTGGTCGAGTTCGGATTCATGGTTTGTTTGGAGGGCTTCGTTGATGTTCTTGACTCGGGTGACTTCGGTGGATGCGGTCTCGCTTTCTTTTCTTCGCCCGGCAATTTCTTGGTCGAGCTTTCGTTCGAGATCCAGCACGCGATCTTCCGACTTCTGGAGAGCGTCTGCTTTGTCTTCGAGTTGGGACCTGAGAGAGTCGAGGATATCGCGATCAACGCCTTCGATATGCGTGACTTGGACTTCCATGCCAGGATCACGGTCAATCGCCTTGGTGATTCGGATAAAAGTATCCTTCAAAAACTCGACGAAAGCGCTGTCGAAAAATACTTCAGGTTGGGTACCTGAATTTGGAGGGACCGAACCCAAACTTTGAGGCAACACTTCGAAATCTCTGAGCAGCGGATGCTGGCGCAGCTGGTTGAGAGCATCCAGAAATTTCTCCCGCCCAAGGCCTGACAGTAACACCGACTGAAGCTTTCTTCTAGGCAACGGAGAGTCTTTGGTGGAGAACTCATACACGATGCCTAGTAATACAGCACACATTCCACGTAAGAGTGTGTGCTCATCAAAACCGCCAGTCGCGGTACCGCCCAGCGCCCGTGAAGTGTAGGCCATGAGTATCTGGAGAGTGCTGCCCTCGCTCAAGAAGTCGTTCACGCCGACACCATCCTCGAAAAGCAAGCCGCAAAGCAGCATGAGGTAGCCCATGATTTCCCGTGAAGCTCCCGCACCAGCATTTTGCTGCACGTCGTATATCAGCTGTCCCGAAATTTCTTGGATGAACGTGACTTCTTCCTCGCCCTCTTCGCTATTGCCATACTTCACACTCTGTAACAGCGCTTTTGCGTCTGGGTCGTCTTGGATGAGGTGAAAGAGAAGCACCGCGGCAAACCACTGCCGATAAGGATCTATGTGCGTCCGTACGGTCCCCGAAGAGCCCAGGCTTTCTCTCTGCATGAGGATTGAGACCACGTTTGCGGTCTCGTCCTCGCCGCTACTGTAGCCATCGATTGCACGGTTGAGAAAGTGCATTTTGATTTGCGTATGCTGAGAGAAGTATGCTTTGATGCATTCCGCCGCGGCAAATCGGACGTCGAATAGAGTCGTCGTGGAGACACGGAGAGTGAGATCAAGGAGTGCTTCAATGACGTAGACTTGCTGGATCGGTTGCGGACTTGTCTTTCTTGGCTGGCCGTTCGGAGTCTGCGTCCTGGACGTACCATTAGGGGCTCTGAGACTGTCGGCCGGTGATGCAATTCGAGTATCAGGCGATGAGTCGAACGAGATGAACGGGGTGACAAGCAATTGCGCGAAATGTTCCTGCAGGGGGGCATTACCCCAGATCATGTCGGCGCACGTACTGAGGGCCTATTCAGTGTCAGTCCCGGCGCTATGTATAACAATCTTCAAACCTTACCTCCGCTCTAATTCGAGGAAGAGTTGATTCTTTGAAGGCAAGATTCAGAACTTGCTGCAGCAATCCGTTCTTGAAGAAAGCGTTCTGATTTTGCTGCGTGCCTAAGCTTCCCTTGACAAGGAACATACGCAGAACCGCGAGAATTCCCCAGATATTCTTATCCCGCTGTGGATTCGGAAACGCATCATCATCCTCCTCCTCCTCCTCGTCCGGCTGCGGAGCACGTTTCTGTGTTCTCAATGGGCCTTCAGGCAATAGATGACCGAGCTTCGATATGCAGCCGGTTTCGCGGAAGAGTGATTGGTTGGACGAATTGTGTCGTAGAAGGTTCGCGAGCAAGGACAGGCAGTCTTGGACAACAATCCCGCCGTGATTGAGAGCGCCTTCCTCGTCAATGAGGGCGAATAGTTGCTCAAACGCCCCTTCAAAAGCGACAAGCTTCTGGAGCTCGTTTGAGGATGTGGTAAGGTCGGTGAGTAATAGAATGCTGGCTGTAGTTGTGGGTTGATTAGTCGGTGATGCAAGAAACTGCTACAATACCGTCCAGGACTTACCGTTTCTGACAGCATCTCGGGGGTCTTTCAACATGGATGCCAGCCGGGTGGTCCCTAATGGAGCCGACAAAATGCATTCTTGCGTTCTTTCCAGTCTTGCTTCTTGTATTGCCGATATTAATTGTATCGAGTATAGTCGTGAATAGAAGTCGCTGGTTTCAAGGAAGTCGAGGAGGAGGGTGATGTTATCTTGCCGCTAATATAAGCTCAGTACCAGCGAGACGGGCACGGAGGTTTGATCATACTTGAGTAAACTCATCAGCGAGCCAGAGGGTTATGTCATCCGAGGCTTCTGGCTATTGAAGGTACTTGTAAGTATCTTCATGGAAATGTTCCAGGGGAAATGCGTACAGAGTCATGATTGGGTCTGAAGAGCATGAGCAATGTCTCCAGAACAATCTTTAGGGTATCAACATCTTCGGCATCTTTCGTCAGGCTGCTAATCAAGCCCCGTAATGCTCCAGATGCTACAGACGCAGGATACTCTTTGGCAAAGCTTCGGAGGCCCAGGATAGCTGCTCGGCGGTCCTCTAACAAAGTGGCGGAGAGTAAGCGACCGCTAAGCGTGTTGATGGTATCAGTTGCCGTTTGTTTCGGCGGAGCCTGGGATTCTAGCACCCGTAACATCGCGTCGCCTTCTCACAAGCTCTCTACTATAAGAAAGGCAGTGTTCGTGATCGAGGCATGGAGGTCGAAGCTACGTTGCAGTTCAGGGAGATGTGGCTGGTTCGCTGTTGCGTTGTCAAAGTTGGGAACAAACTCGTATGCTCCTTGGCAGTCATTCACAGAAGGCCAATTCTGAGTAAGATGAAGGATTGAAAGTCCAATGCGGCCAAATTTCGAATGGTCCAATGCTCCAATATCTCACGATGTCTTGTGGACTTTCTTAAGGAACCCTTGATTTTGCACATGTGGTGGTTCCAGTCGACCTGAAATATCGGTAAGGCAGCAAGGCATTATTCTGCACATATGGCGTTTACCGCCTACCCGAATCAGAATCGTATCAACTGTTAGGCAACAAGGCGACTGATGCCTAAGAGATTTCCGCTCGTCGCCTTCAAGACGTCAAGCCTCAACTTTCGCGCAGGTTTCCATCCATCTCGAACCATTCACAACGAACCACCGCTTGGAACACTATCACACCCTGTTTCAGACGCGTGTTACGCATTTTGATATCGCGCCAGCCAGTTCACGTATACCATACGACGATACCGTTTGCGACGCATGGTACCATCGAAGTAGCCTTCCCTGACTTCACTCGAAGCGCAACCTCTGAGCAGCGCATTCAACCGCGACCATGGGTGTTCCAGCCCTTTTTCGCTGGCTCTCGCAAAAGTACCCCAAGATCATATCTCCGGTCATCGAAGAACATCCGCGAGAAGTCGATGGAGTCGAAATCCCCCCCGACACTCGAGGTGTCAACCCGAATGGCGAGGAATTCGACAATCTGTACCTGGACATGAATGGCATTGTCCATCCATGTTCACATCCCGAGGACAAGCCGGCGCCAGCAGATGAGGAAGAGATGATGATGGAGATTTTCAAGTATACCGAGCGCGTGGTGAACATGGTGCGCCCGAGGAAGTTGTTGATGATCGCAGTCGGTATGTTAGATTCGGCGTGGGAATGCTGCTATGGAGTGAAGCCTCTCCCTTTAGGACGAGTGCAGTATTAGATTACTACATCGATGCGTCTTTAAGGGAGGTACGGCTTTTTCTTTTCTCTTCTAGGTTCTACGCGATTCACGAACTTCTGCTAACATAGTCTAGATGGCGTCGCCCCCCGTGCGAAGATGAACCAGCAACGATCAAGGCGTTTCCGCTCTGCCCAGGAAGCCCAGGAGAAAGATGAGGAGAAATTGGAATTCCTTAGTTTGCTCAAACAACAACATGGAGGCGAGGTACCGCCGGATGTTCTGGCGTCAATCCACAAGAAGACTTGGGATAGTAATGCCATCACCCCCGGCACTCCTTTCATGGATATCCTCGCAGCCAGCCTGCGATATTGGATTGCTTACAAACTGAACACCGACCCGGCATGGGCGAAGCTGAAAATTATTATTTCTGACGCGACTGTTCCTGGGGAAGGAGAGCACAAAATCATGGAGTTCATCCGATCCCAACGACGGCAGCAAGACCACGATCCGAATACCCGCCATGTCATCTACGGATTGGATGCTGATCTCATCATGCTTGGGCTAGCCACCCATGAGCCGCATTTCCGCGTGTTGCGTGAGGATGTCTTCTTCCAGGAAAAGAAGGCGAGGACATGCAAAATCTGTGGCCAGACCGGTCACATGGCTGCAGAATGCCGAGGAGAGGTCAAGAAAAAGGACGGCGAGTTCGACGAGAAGCAAAGCGGGGTGGTTAGAAAACCGTTTATTTGGCTTCACGTTTCTATACTGCGGGAATACTTGAAGGTGGAACTCGAAGTACCTCATCAGAGTTTCAAATTTGATTTGGAACGAGCACTTGACGATTGGGTCTTCATGTGCTTCTTCGTTGGCAACGATTTCCTGCCCCATTTACCGAGTTTGGATATTCGTGAGCAAGGCATCGACACGCTGATTGCCATTTGGCGCGACAACATCCCGGCCATGGGAGGTTATGTCACCAAGGACGGCATCGTGGATATGGAGCGAGCTCAGCTCATCCTCCAAGGTCTCGCGAAACAAGAAGACGCAATCTTCCGACGAAGGAAAGAGAACGAAGACCGCCGTGCTGCTGGGGAAAAGCGACGGAATGAAGAACGAGAAGCTCGTAAGCGACCTCGAATGGACAATGAGGGCAACGGTTCACCTGCCGGTCGTGGCCGTGGACGTGGCAAGCCAGGTGTTCCGACCATCGACCAACTCAACACTTTCAGTCCAGCTGATTACGGTGAACGTCGAGCCGCCTTGACGATGACCCACGACGACTTTGTTAGCAGGGGTCCGACAATTCAGCAAGCAAATGTCGCCAACAAAAGTGCTGCTGCCGTGCTGAGGGAGAAGTTACTTCGCAAGTCCGTCTCTACTCCCGAGCTCCCATTATCCAACGGTGCAGACGACCAAGCCAAGGAGGAGTCTGCTCCCCCAACACCAGACTCCACCGCTCCTGGATCTGCCTTAGGGAAGCGAAAGGCAGAACTGGTTGAAGGAAACGGAAGCACGCCATCCGAGTCCCAAGATCAGACTGAAGCAGAAGAGGTAGACCCGAACGCAGACAATGTCCGATTATGGGAAACTGGCTACGCAGACCGCTACTACGAACAGAAATTCAAAGTCGACCCGAAAGACATCGAATTCCGTCACAAAGTTGCCAACGCTTACGTTGAAGGCTTATGCTGGGTCCTCCGATACTATTTCCAAGGATGTGCTTCATGGACTTGGTATTACCCCTATCATTACGCCCCATTTGCAGCCGACTTCGTCGATCTCGGCAAGTTGGAAATCAAGTTCGAAAAGGGCACGCCATTCCGACCCTACGAGCAGCTCATGGGCGTGCTTCCGGCGGCCTCTAACCACGCCATCCCGGAAGTCTTCCGCGAGCTGATGACGAACGAAGACAGCGACATCCTCGACTTCTACCCGGTGGACTTCCCCATCGACCTGAACGGGAAGAAGTGGGCATGGCAAGGCGTTGCGCTCCTCCCATTCATTGACGCAGAACGGCTACTTGCCGCGATGAATACAAAGTACCCATTACTCACTGATGACGAGCATCGGCGAAATGCGTTCGGGAAAGAGGTTCTAATGTTCTCGGGCAAGCATCCCCTATATGAAGAGACGACAACGCATTTGTATGGCAAGAAAGGAACCGAAGAACATCAACTCGATCCGAAGATTAGCGAAGGGCTTCTCGGCAAGGTAGAAAGGAGCGATGACTATCTCCCAGATAGCGAGTTAAAGTTCCCGCTTCCAACTGGTGGCATGCCTGATCTCGAGAGTGACCACTCAATGAGGTAAGAATTCGCCCCTACCCCATTCGCACCTTTTACACCCTGCTAACACACCTCATAGCGTCCACTATGAAATGCCCCACTCCGATCACCTCCACAAATCCATGCTCCTCCGCGGTGTCGTCTTCCCCCCACCCGCCCTCGATCACGCCGACATCGCTCAGACACGCTCCCGCGCTGGTAAGACCGGCCGCGGCTTTGGCGGTGCCCCCTTCCGCGACAACAACCGTGGCGGCCGCATGAGCTACGCCGGCCCCGACCGCAACCGCGGTCCCCAGGACGACACCTACATTCCCAGCTACGGCCGCGATCGGCAGTACGGCATGGACGGGAATAACAACTACAACCGGTATGAGCGCGAGCGCGACAGGGATCGATACGCCGCGCCGCCGCCGCAAGGCTATGGGCAGCAGGGCGGATATGGCCAACAAGCCGGCTACGGCCAGCAGGGTGGCTATAGTGGAGGTGGACGAGGCGCACCGCCGCCACCGTTCAATCCGAATAATCCGTTCGCGGCACATATGGATCCGAGGTTCGTCGGCGGTGTTCCGCCGCCGCATGTTGCGGCGCAGCAGGGGTGGGTACCGCCTCCGATGCAGCAGCCGCCGTCTGGTGGGGGCGGGTATGGAGGAGGGTACGGAGGGCATGGTCAGAATGGGTATCAAGGCGGTGGAGGCGGACGTGGAGGTGGCGGTGGCGGCGGTGGTTATGGAGGACGGAATGATAGGAGAGATGAGCGGAGGGACGACCAATATCGGCCGCGTCAGGATGGTGGTGGGCGTGGTGGGCGTGGTGGGTATAGTGGTGGTGGAGGTGGAGGCGAACGTGGTGGGGGACGGAATTATGGGCGGTATTAGGTTCTTGAAAGATGCCTATGAAAGGGAATAAGGGATTGGCGCTCTAGGAGGGCAAGCTTGAATGGCGGATCTGTACGAGTACGATAGGAATTGATATCAAATCCAAAAGCCAGCGTGATATTCGATCTATCAAGCGTTCATATATCATCTAAATGTCGTAAAATCTATTAACGCGCGTCACCCTATCCGCTTCCCATCCAATCCATTCTTCACACTAGACGACCGTCCTTCAGCGGTTTCGACACCCCCATCAACATTCTCCCACCGCCTTATCCCCTCCCTCACCCCCTCCTCCACCCCCCCAGTAACTCCCACCGCCCACCAAACCACCAAACCCCTCACCGCCTCCCCCACTCTCCCCTCATTGATCCCCGCCACCCGCTTCCCTATCAACATCCCTCCCTCCACCGCACCAAGACCCCCCGTAACCACCCGCTCCGAGATCCGATGGGCTCTCTCAACCCGGTATAGCCACGCAAGGAGGAATTTCACATAGGGTAATAGGAAAGAGACTAGGAGGAGGAGCTGGGTGGTGGCGGATGCGATGGATCGGTGGAGCATGGAAGGCTCGTGGCGGGGTTGTAGCGTTGTGTTTGGTCCAGAGCACCTCGCAGTTGAACAAGTTGTTATCGTAGTACATGAGTGCCCGCATTCCACGATATCCTGAGACGGACCAGGAACGAGGGCCATGGACGGCGGCAGGCTATTCCGTACGGCCGACATCTCGGCGGGGGACATGTCCGCGGGTAACCCACGCAGTAAGTAGCTGAGGGAGTGGAGGTATAGTTGGCGGATGAGCGGGCGATCGGAGGGAGTTGAAGCGGGTGCGCTCGCGGTTGTGGACGCTGATTTGAGGAAGAGCAGACCTAAGAAGGTAGAGGTAAATTATTGTTGTACGATAGTAAGGGTGGGGATTGATATAGTGATTTACCTTGGCTGGCGTACTTCCAATTGATCCCGCTACTCTCTTCGTACCTCACGGCCGTCGACGCCTCTGCGGTGGGGGTGGCTACTAAGAGCAATGACCGCCTCGGTGGAATACGAAATGCGGCATCTGTCTCGCCGTCACTTTCATCTCCGGATATAGAGCTGAAGAAGTCCTGACTGCCTGGCCTGCTTGTATATATCGGTGGCGGGGTAGCGAATCTGGACAGGTCTTCCGTGGAAAGGCTCGCGCTGTGGCCGGCCATGGGACTGGAAGGTCTGGAATTAAGGTAGGGGAGCTTCCTGAGGCGAGAGGAGAGGATCGTAGGGAGGACGAGGGAGAGGATGGAAGTTTGATTGGAGATGTCGCTGGGTTTGGCGGGATGAGCCGATGGGTAGGGAGATGGCGTGGTCGCGAGGGGATGTCGCTGTAGGTGGGGCATCGTGAGTTGGATATCTAGAGTTGGATCGTAAAGGAGTTGAGGCCTCTGCAGGGCAATTGAGACTTGCTTAAGATCATGAAGTAGGAACTGACTCTTAAACCATGGCTTGACAGTCGTATAAAGAAGACTCTAAGAATAAAAGAAACGACCCGACAGATCACGGAATAGATAAGGACCCAATCCCACCAAGAATATATTTATGGACCTCAGTCTCGACTCCCCAAGACTCTCGCATGTGAAAATGATACTAAACCTTGCTCAGCGGATTCTTCCCGCATTCCGTTGAGCGGGTTTAGGCCTCATCCCTAATCGTTCTGATGTTTCACTTTGGTGGATGACTGGCACATTCCAACGTCTCGGAAGCACTGTTTGCTACTCGAAGGCCTTCGCATTCTCTAGCGTAGCATTGTTTCCGGAAGATCATTCAGAAACAAGTTGGTAGAAGGAAGATAAGGTGAGGTGAAGTTGAGATTGAATTCTCCGAGTTGAAGATGGCGTCAAGCCTTGCAGGGGTAGAGATGCCGGGTTTAAGGCTGGGGGGTTTAGTGATCACAACGTCGTTTTATCGTATTTCAACAAACACACCTAGAGATCTAGAATATTACTAAAGTTTACAAGAGCCTGGACATGGTCGGGAAAAGATGATGATATGACCATTATGGAGCGATAACCGATGCCAGAATTCAGTTGTAGAGTCTTGACCCCACCCGCGCTTAATCAGGTAGAACGCGCTCGATACTCATCAACCATATAATTACTACTCGGCATTCCGGTGAAACGATCATGAACCCCGATCTTAGCACCTCCTTACCTATCGGAGCGTGTTCTGACGGTCCCGATGAAGCGAGCAACCTTCCAGACAAAGGCTTCCCCAAGGACTTCCACGACATAGGGGACCGAGCCTCAGAATCCGACTTCCCGAACTACCATATCGCTAACTCACACTCCCTCTTCGCATACTCCGAATTCCACTCCTTGGAACTAGGTACAGGCGCCTCAATATACGCCAACAGCCTCCTTCAAGCCTTCCTATCTGCCAAGTCCGAGATCATCCTCGTCACCTGCTTCTGGGCAAAGTCCAGTACGCTCACATCGCTCTCTGAAACGCTTTCGCGGCTTGCTGAATTCCGGAAGGAGCACTTGAGTAAGACACCTAGAACTTCAGAGGACGGGGAATCTCCCCCTGTTCTCCGTGTCCGCATCCACCTCTCCTCTCTCTCTGCGCTGCAGAAACTCCTCCATCCGCAATCAAGGGCGGGGTATATATTCCCTCCCTCACAATGGAATTCGAAACTCGGGTTGCCCTCGCAACAGGTGCTGGAAGATGGGTTCATCGACTTGCAAGTCAAGAGCCTGTTTCTACTACCCTTCAGCGTCATGCACCCGAAGTTCCTAATCATCGATCGAGAAAGAGCCTGGTTGCCTAGCTGCAACGTCAGTTGGGAAGCGTGGTTAGAAGGATGCGTTGAGGTGAAAGGAGAGGTGATTTCCAAACTGCTACAGTTTTATTGGGAAGTTTGGGAAGTAGGGAAGGACGGAGTGGTGCCGCCCTGCACGTTTCCGGCGACTTACTTGCGCTGGAGGGAAAACCCTCAGAAGTTCGAACCATTCGAGAGGATGAAGGACGCAGAGGGGTTGAGGAATGCAGGGTGGATAAAAGATATCACCAGTCCTACGAGTACTGTCCTGAAGCCGGAATCTCCGTTGCAGAAGATACCGACGATTCTCCTCCCATCCTCTCACCATCGCAATCCACATTTCCGTCTTCCATTCCAACGTTACCATGCTCCGCCGCCCACTCCACTCAACGAAGCCATCACGAAACTCTTCCACCTCACCACCCGCTCTATCTATATCCAGACTCCCAACCTCACATCACCACCAGTCCTGGAGCTGATAATTCAGGCCCTCCAGCGCGGTGTCGATGTCACCATCACCACAAGCAAAGGCATGATGACGCTCGAGCAGCTACTTACCGCCGGTACAACCACTTCGCGTTGCATCAGGAAGCTAATCAAGCAGTACATCTCTCTCTCCTCGGCCTCCTCAAGCTCCGCCTCCCCGTCCCAGACATCCGACGCCCTCGAATCCCAACCCCCTCTCCTCGGCCGCCTTCGAATCTCCTACTTCCACCCGAATCAAGCAAATATGACGAGCAACGTGCCTGAAGAACCGGTTCAGTCGCATCTGAAGCTGGTCATTTTCGACGGGGTGTACACGGTGCTTGGGTCGGGGAATATGGATCGGGCGAGCTGGTATACAAGTCAGGAGTTGGGGATCTTGTTCATGTCGGAGAAGATTGCGGGACTGGTTAGATCTGCCGTGGATGGGATCTTGGAGGGGAGGCGGAGGGAAATATTTGATTCGTATGAGGAATAGGAAGGGATTGCGAACCTGATCGCGGGTCATGTATCTATAGACTGGCAAATAGGCGGTTTTACCATCCGAGCTGTACAATACGGAATGAATGTGTAGAAGTTTTATCACGTGTGCTCAACTGGGAGGGTTTTGTCAATTCTGCTAATGGTTATCCAATTCTGCCTATGATAATGTCCGCTGCTCTGATGCTTGATGCTCATCGCCCTTCTCTGTCGTATCGCCATGAAAACACTCCACAGTTGTGGATGTTTGGTTGTCCTTCTCTATAGCCCCCCTTGCCTCCCTGATCGAGAAACGTCCACCTCCGCCCCATGATCTAAATCAAACTTTTCAAAGTTATTGAGCCTGTGTCTCGAGCCCGTCACACGAAATGTCGAAATCTGATGTACTGGGAAGGGTGGTTGAATGGTGATGTGCCGTGAAAAAGGGTTCCTGATAATACAAGGTGTGAAGGTAGTCGAAAAGCAAGGTGTAGAAGTGTGGAGTGTTGAGTGACTCCAGTCCCCGAAAGTAGAAAAGAAGAAATACACAATGAGAATTGATCCAAAAATGTAAAAGCAACGTTGTGCGCCCGTCTCTCTCACCCACCTTGTGGGTTTTCCTTTTTTTGGTCTTTCGTGTCGTTTGTTTCCACTGAAAATAACGTGGCGGATCCACTCCCCAAGAGCAACCTGAACGCCCCATGGTGGTCTCCGTTGGTGTTGCATATGACCCATTCTCACACTCCATGTATCACTGGTTTGGTTCCAACCTATGAGGATAGGATCGGGTGGCTCATCTCATGCAATTCGGAGATGATAACGGAATCGAAAATGCACGAACTGCTAGCGACCGAAGGAAAGCACGTGAATAACTTGTGTGTGCATCGAAGAGCGTGTGTTGTGAATGCCAGGCATGGCACCGCTAGAACTTGCCAGCAGCCTTGTGCGTGAGCTTCACGCGCTTGATCTGCTGCACCGGCTTCTCAATCTCGGGTTTCTGCTCCCACTCAGTCTCATCAGGGTCGACCGCCGAATCCGTTTCATATGGGTCATTTTCCGTATCATAGCCCGGGTACTTCGAGTCCTTAGGCGCAACAGCAACCATGCCGTACTGTCGGCGCTTGCGAGGGTGATTTGGAGTCGCGTCAGATGCAGAGGACTGCTCACGAAGGGCGGACGGAGAGGAACTGAGATTGAGGCGACCGAGGGGGGAGGATTGGCCAGCGTGAGAAGACGGGAGGACACTAAATGACCCAGAGGCTTGGGGGGAGTCATTGCCATTGCTTGATGCAGGATCAGCGGTGCTATCACTTGAGGGTCCGGCTTGGCTCGATGGGTCCCATTGGCTTCGAGTTCTGTGGGTGGTGCGAGGACGATGGATGCGGTTGAGTTGTGCATCGAGTTCTGGAAGAAATTCAACTCCATCAAATGCCTTAAGGATTCGGCACTTGATCATCCGGGCGATGAGATTGCAGATCATGAGGCACGTGTCAGGGTGCACATGTTCGGTCGTGTGATATTCGTTTATCAGAAAGTTCGCGTAGTGGTCTTTCATAGTTGTGAATGCTTCTTCGCGGGCCTCGGAGTTCAGAAGGAGGGTGCACTTCTGGTCATTGATGAGGAAATCATCAATGAGCGGGACGAAGGTTTCGTCCATGATCGCTTGACGAATGTCACCAAGGCGGGCATGAATCGCCTGAAGGTTGGCATAAACACGTTCCAACTCACGAAGCTTGGTGGAACGAAGCTGCACGCGGAAGCGAATGGTCGGACGGTCATAATGGAGCATCTCAATCTGTCGCTTGACCATCTCGACACGGTGTTTTAACCAACGTCCCTTCCGGTAAGACACTTTCTGGTAGTGCTTGCGGCAGTACCGAAGCTTTCGGGGAATGGCCTTTGTCTCCACCTTGTTGCGCCCAAAGCAATCGGCAACACAAGTCCTCTCAATGTCGTAGTTGTGGTCGCGAAGCTGGATGTCGCACGGCGTATTCTCGTCGTTGTCCGGATGATCGCAAAAGAACCGGTAATTGTGGTACCTGATTGCCTCGCGCGAGCCAGGAGGGAAGGTGTCCGCGCCCCGTGGAGAAGGATCATAACCAGTGTGCAAGCTGATGCACGATGGCAAGAGTTCATCAAGGTCGGCGGGATGAAGATTAGTCCGCGGGTTGCGGATCGCCGTAATATTGCGGCGGACAACGGGCAAGACAGGGCTCGGCTGATTATCCTCATCTTCAGTATCGTCTCGGCTCCGGTTGATAGGAGTGAAAGTTGATCCACTAGTGCCGGTGGGGTTGATAGGAGTGAATGCCAAGCCACTGGTGAGGTGGTGACCTGGTCGATAGGAGGCATTTCGATGAGACGTGGCTGACATCTGGTCGACGGCGTTTGTTGACGATCCGGTCTGGTCGACGGAACCAAAGTAGCCACCTGATGTGAGGTCATGAAGTTGTGGAAGGTCAGCATCGCACTCAGTGACATCCGAACGACCACTGGCCCGACCGGCGGAGTTCCTTGCTCCATTAAGCGATGGCGAGAACGCTCCAATAGGGCCGCTCATCTGAGTCCTGGTGGCGAGGTTCACACGATTCAATGCTAGAAGCTCATCGGCATAGAGCGGCAATGCCAGCACTAGGACCCTGAGCAGGGATGCTTGAGTCTCTGGTTGAGGAATGAATTGGTCCCCATTCAGTAGGCGGAGAGTCAACCCGGTCTGTCGCAGTGAGATGGTGATGGTGGACACATCACTCATTGACATGAGAGCTAAGGCTCCTCGCTCGCCGGCACTGTCAGTGCTCGTCGATCGCAAAGTATCTCGACGATTATCACCTAGGGACGAGTGATGAGCGCTGGTCGAGACAGGCCAGGCAACACCGTGACTGAGACGACCACAACCGACTTCGTTGACATCATCGGACTGTTGGCGGTGAGGTACACCGGAGCGGCCGCTCTGGTCATTATCTTGCCCCCTAGAATTCATTAGTATATGTAGGCGATAATCATCAGCGAGAACGGCTTACTCTCTGGCCAGTGGGGGCGCCATATCAGAATCACATCGAAGTGGCGGCGGCGATGATGGCGGGTCTCTTGGCTCCGGGACACTAGAGATGTCAAGATCAGCTCATGATACAGGTTGAGTAATAAAGAACGGTTGACTTACGAGCTGGCCTCGGGGTCGTTGAGTATTCCTTCGATTGCCATCCGACGATGACCGTTATCCATCTCACCTGAAGCGACCAGTCAAGAGGATATCCGGTGATAGTCGAATATCTAAACCCGATGCCCTGCTTGGAATGGATGAATCTTGATATTGATCTTCGGGAGGACTGGGGGTTTGAGGATACTATCCAAGTGCAGAATTGGGTTGTGTGTGAGATGTAAAAAAGAAGAAAAAGGAATGAGTGAGAGATGACAGCTTTTAAAGAATTTAAACATGTGTGAGCTGTTCGAGTTCACATGCCAGTGAGTCTACGAGCTTGCATGCTACCTGCTGGGCGACTTCACATATTCGAGCCAACTCCCTTCACTGATATCACCGGGCTATCGGGTGTTAGCGTGACCTTCACCATCTCGATCTCCAGCATTCCTGATGACTTGTTTAGGTGAATGGGGCCAATGTCCTTGTGATGCTCGCCAATAGCCCGTAATTGAGCCATGGATAGTGGGAGGCAACTGATGAGGGATAGCTTCTCTACTACCAGGCGCCATTCTGCTATGAGACACATAACTTCCCTTCGAAGCAACTTTCTTCACTAGGTATTGAGACCATGGGGATGCTCTACTCTTCAATCCACGATGTTGTTACTCACTTTGATCCCATGTATACCATATTGAGCCGAATAGCAATATTGACCAGACTCGTGACTGAATAAAATCATTAAGGGCGGAGGATTTTGGCGGCAAATGCCGTCACGCCTTGTCCCGTGCTCGAGGCAAGGATGACTAACACTGTTATCATATGCTCTGATATAGTATTCTGGTGTTAGAAACCAATTTCGAGCTTAAATTTTCGTCAGAGTCCGCTTCTTAAACAATGTAGCGATTGTTATACTTCGTTCTTCTTGATGTTCTTTCAGGCATATTAACATGGACTGATATATTTTTGGATCTTGTTCTTCTTCTGCATGAAATAAGATATATATGAGGTGAGTGACTTCGCCCATATAGGACAGCGCTCCATCTTGAACGCAATGGCAAGAGCAAGGACTGAAGGGGCATATATATTCCTGACTCTATATCTAGGATATGTTCGCTGTGGTCCAATGCCATAGCCAGGATTCAATTCATCCACAAGATCGCTAGAACATCGACATGTAGAAACGCAAAGACAACGCAAAGCCAACGCACTGCAGTTCATCGCGCCTCTCAAAAACGCACAGTACTATGAAAAGCAAAGGAGACTCCAGTATACTTCCCGAACAAACTCAGACACGGCAGATAACACGAGGACATATAATATAGGGATATCCGCTACAATTTCTATGGCCGCATCATTTAGTTCAAGAGAAAAGCGAGGCGCTGTTGGGAGTTTGAGCGTTGTTGTTTATGTCGAAAGCGAGGGGATGAGGCGTCGTCGACTTAAGGTTGCAGAAACGGACGGGGGTGGCTGCAGTACCCAACCGAACCGCAGCAGGTGCGAAATGTCGCAGCTTCTGCATGGATTTTCCTTGGCTTGGTCCACGGCGGACGCAGCGTCAATAGTTGCTGTGGCATTCCACGCTCTCCATCTCGTCTCTACGCTTGGGAGATCGACCCTCAGCCGGGGACTCTGGCTAGGAGGACGATGGTCCCTGATGAGAAGGGCCAGGCAGAGGGGATTGAAGGGCGGAGAGACGTATTGAAGACAACGATGATGGTATCTGGAAACGTGCAGATGATCCTCGTCGTTTAGTCGTTGTTTAGTCGTCGACCTCATCTTAAAAGGGGTCCGAAGAGAGTCACGACAGCGTGGAATATGCCGAGGACATATGGGAGGCCGCATCTGAGATATGGCACCTTCCTCGCGTCCTTTCAATGGGTTCACTGTCAATCCGGACTGCTACAGTATGGGGAACTTCAAAGAATACCGTAAGCAATGGACGAACAACAGGGGAAGTTGAGCTACCACGATCATTTTAAGGTTAGATTACGGAGCAGGGGCTGATGGGGTGGATCCAGAAGGCTGTGGATAGCCCAAGAGCTGGCGCTGTTAGCGGCGGGAGGGACCGACTGGTCCCAGCGATGATCATTGTGGGACATCGAAGTTGCCGGTATTACAGACACAGCACCTGTATGGAGTAGGGTGGAATACGTGGAATTCGGGATCCGACGACATGCACAAAATTCGGAACAGACGGTATAGTTGCCGAAGAATCACAAAGTCATACAATATGCAGCCTATGCGTCACCGGGAATAATCTAATCCTCTAGTTCGCCAAGACAACAAGTCAAAAGACAACAACTGATAGGGATGCACGGCTTCTTAATCCTGGTCAAGTCGCTCCAGTTACCTCATACCTGTGCATTTAGCTAATCTCATGGACTCTACGGATAAGACTCATCCCAGGTTACAGCAAGTTTTGTCTGTGAATATTCATTACCAGCGGCGAAGGACTGATAGAGATGCATCTCAAGTACTACACTCCACAACAGACGCTGATACTACGCTACCAAAATTCGTGTATATTCGCAGGCTGAATAAATGTTAACTACGATTGATTTAAGCCGACCTTGGTACTTGTTCTAGGCTGTGGGTCGAAAGTATTTGGCTTGAAGGTGAATGGAATTGGTAACTGCAAGAAACTGCCCATCTCTATTATGAAGCATCACCGACACTGCAATAAGTCTCCTGTCCGCCGCCTTTGACCCAACTTTATGTCTCCTATGAAGTGGAGGAGAATTGGATTACTCAATTGCTTCTGTAGCCTCAGCTCCTATTCAAGTCTTGAAAGAGTTTTCTATTCTCCTCCATTAGTTTGCTTTCAGTCCATTTGGCATGACACGACCCATTTGGTCACACAAAGGAGCTTTATATGGGTCGAAATAGCATCCTGGTGATGGCAGTAACTGTGGCCATGACCATTACAAGCCAGCTTTCTCTAGCAACAGCCAGCGCTCTTCTACATCCTCAATTTCAGATGCCTTACAAGGGGATTGGAGTCAAATGCGATGCATTGAGCGACGATTTACTGCAAGAGAGGAATATTAAATGTACCACAGATGGTATTCCATTCATTGTATTGCAGAGCATCCATCCCACAACCTTGGCCAAATTGGCGGACAACCATCGCTTACCAATGCTACGAATGGGCCATGGGGCTGACGACAACTTACCGGCCCAGATCGCCTAAAACATGACGTGCCAACAACACCAGACTTTCTCATCACTACGGCCTGCAAGCTGGGCGCAGTCAAATACGCACCCGAGCTAGCCGGGCCGCTAGCGAAGGAGGGAACGGACCGGTTCTACCGTGTCTGCCATAACTGATCAATAGATGCCTGAGGAGCTGATGCGGGCGGTCCTGCCGTGAGTTGAAAAGTCGCGTGTGGCACTCCTGGCTATGAGTCTATACACAGTAGACCATTTCACCGCGAGCGCCGTCGCAAATTGGCACAAACAGAGAAACCTACGCTGCGTTACCTGGCCCAGGTGTTCCCGTGCAGACTCGGTAACCGAAAAGGTCGTCGCGGAGGCTGTCCTTTGCACTACAGGGCGAGTTAAGCCCGTATCGTCGAGATTATACGCCCAATTTTCAGCACATGAGCAGGTTTCTGAACAAGAGTCGAGTCCATGGCACGAAAGAAATGAGGATTCACATCCTAGGCCATAGTCCCCATCCCGAGGTGCTACACATTGTAAAAACCACGTGTTTCAAAAAGGGCTTGTCATATATTACTACTACGCCCTCACATCCCCGATATTTGCGCTGCTGTCGGTGTTCGAGACAGAAGAGCACCAGGATGGAAACCCGGTTCATCGGCGCCGGCGGCATCGATAGCAGAGACAGCACTAGCGCCGACCAAGGCGATATTGAAGAGCTACGTATAGCTGTCCGAGGATTTAGAGTGCATTTCGAAGAGGGCGGAGACGGATTTCGATTTGTCGGGAGGACATCGGCAATGAAATTGGGCGAGAGGCGGGAAATGCTAGTGTGGGAGGTGGGTCGGGTATCGTTGGAAATTTGCGGCTTGCAGAGGTGTGGCCTTCAGCGGTATAACCGCTGGAGGATCGTTAACTCGGATGTTTATTCGGCTCATGGCTGACTGTTTTTTTAGCATCCATGTTAGAGGCTTGATGGGTCATATGGGTTTTAGATATTGCTGGAAAGACAGGGGAATGGCACCACAGCAGAGATGGAGTGACGAATCCGAGAGTATTGGGATCTCAGGTCATATTAGGGACGGATATGATTCAAAAACTGTGACGAGCAGCCTCTGTGACTATATATTTATCACCATCGCGTTCCTCGTCACTATTCTAGAGGTTGGTGTTTTTGTTCGGGTTTGATTTGTGACCCTGCCGTCTCCAGGCTCTAACACCGCTTATCTCCGATGTCGTAATCGACCCTAGCCATCACGAGTTGACGATGGGCCTAATCTTCAACTTCTACTTCATAGTGAACCTTTCGCGTCATCTTCGCTTCACGTTCATTCAACAACTCTATCCCGACACCACAGCCACCATGGCGCCCGACAGGGGATCCTCCTCCCCTTCTCCCTCGACTAGTCATATCGCGCGCTCTGACTCTCACCTCTCCCGCTCCCGGTTACGCTCCTCCCAATATGGCTCAACCCCCCACCTCCGCCGCACCCGCTCTTCCGCCGCCGCCTCCCTCGCCGCCCGCAGCACCGCGCCGCAGAACTTCACATTACGCGCCCTCCTCGTCGGTCTCGGAATCGGCGTGATCATCTGCTTCAGCAACACCTACTTCGGCCTACAGACCGGCTGGGTGTCCAGCATGGCGATGCCGTCGGCGCTGATCGGCTTCGCGTTCTTCCGTAGCATCCAGAAGGCGCTGCCGGTGGAGCTACCGTTTACGCCGGTGGAGAACGTGCTGGTGCAGACGGTCGCGGGGAGCGTGGGGACGATGCCACTGGGGTGCGGGTTCGTGGGGGTGATGCCTGCATTGAATTTCTTGCTGAAAGACGAGGAGGGCGGACCGTTGCGGTTGGGGCTGTGGAAGCTGATCGTGTGGGCGGTGGGGATTTGTTTTTTTGGGGTGGTGTTCGCGGTGCCGTTGAGGCGGCAGGTGATTATTCGGGAGAAGTTGAAGTTTCCGAGTGGGACGGCGACGGCGCATATGATTGCGCTGCTCCATGGGAAGAGTGAGGAGAAGGCAATTATCGAGCAGGAGGGGCGGAAAACAGATGCAGATGAGGAAGAGACGGAGCAGCTGGTCCTATCGGAGTCGCATGGGAGAGATTCGCTGGAAGAAGCAGAAGAAGAGAGCGATCTTGAGGCGGATGATAGCCGACGAGACGACTGGAAAGCCAAGATCAATCTTCTCGTCGTGTCATTCGGTATATCTGCTCTCTATACAGTCATCTCCTACTTCATCCCTCGACTCCGCGATATCCCTATCTTCGGGACGTATCTGGAGTCTCAATGGCTTTGGACGCTTAATCCCTCTCCTGCATATATTGGACAGGGCATCATCATGGGTCCGGAAACAACCATACATATGCTGCTAGGGGCAATCCTCGGCTGGGGGATCTTGTCCCCTTTAGCTAAAGCCAAGAACTGGGCACCTGGTCCGGTCAGAGATTGGGAACGCGGAAGTAAAGGCTGGATCGTGTGGATCAGTCTTGCAATAATGCTGGCTGACTCACTGGTCAGCCTCGCTTGGCTGATCCTCCAACCAGTCGTGCACTTCTTCCAGGCCTATCTCTCCGACCTTCGGGCCCGCAACCCCGAGATCACCTGGTCCGACATCCTTCTCCTCCGCTTCTCCTCCGCAAAAGGCTACACCGCTCTCCCCTCCACCACCGACATCACCACGAAACTCGCCTCCCACTACTCGCCCCCCGAAGCTGACGCCCCTCCCTCCGCCCTTATCTCCACCCGCGTCACCCTCATCTCTCTCTTCTTCAGCCTCCTCGTCTGCATCCTTGCCATCCACTACTCCTTCCCCGGCCTCATTCCCTTCCGCCTCACCATCCTCTCCCTTGTCCTCGCCCTCCTCCTCTCCGTCATGGGCGTCCGCGCCCTAGGAGAAACGGACCTGAACCCCGTCTCCGGCATCTCGAAGCTCACGCAGCTGCTCATCGCCCTTGCCGTCCCTTCCGGCTCCAAGAACGCCATCATGATCAACCTGGTCGCCGGTGCCGTGTCCGAGTCCGGCGCATTGCAGGCGGGCGACTTGATGCAGGATTTGAAGACCGGGCACTTGTTGGGGGCGGCGCCGAAGGCGCAGTTCTGGGGCCAGATTATTGGGAGCGGGGTCGGTGCGGTTGTGTCGGCGCTGGTGTATCGGTTGTATGTATCGGTGTATGATGTGCCTGGAGGGCTGTTCGAAGTGCCAACTGCGTATGTGTGGGTGTTCACGGCGCGGTTGGTCACGGGGAAGGGGTTGCCGGAGATGGTGCCAGAGTGGGCAGTGGGTGCTGGTGTACTCTGGGCTGTAGCAACGGTTGTGAGGATGTGGGGGAGGACAAGGAAAGACGGCAGAGGATGGACGACTTGGGTGCCGGGTGGGATTGCCGTGGCTGTTGGTGAGTGCCACACATTGACGAGATTGACAATGAGCTAACACCTTGCTAACAGGCATGTATAATACCCCGTCTTTTACTCTTGCGCGGACTATTGGCGGTCTTGTTGATTGGTATTGGAGGAGCTATCTCAAACGAGAAGACTCGCCGGTCATTGTCTTGGCTAGTGGGCTCATTCTTGGAGAAGGCTTGTTCAGCATCGTCAACTTGATACTAGCGAGTGCAAAGGTTCCGCATCTTTAGTCGCAGAATAGATGGGTATTATTACTCAATTAATGAAACAGCGGACGCGCACTACCGTCACTCAGCATCAATTCGTCTAATTTTTCCAGACAACTCCTTATTTCTGAGATTCAGCTATGAAAACATAATCCGTTAGCAGACTTTTCGTGCAAGGAAATTGGTCGACTTCAGTTAACATCCGCTAGGAGCATTTCAGTTAGTTCCACGCTACTAGGGGAGAGCGGCATGTCGTTGGGTCCCCGGCAAGATTCGCCACCTTACACAACCTCTTCCAATTTATATTGTCAAGGCCTTGCTTCCCTCAGCAGTACTCATTTTGCAGGTCATACAGCGATTCGCTGCTCGGGACTTGCTTCCCTCAGCAGTACTCATTCTCCAGGCCTTGCAGCGAATCACCGCCGAGGACTTTATTCCCTCAGCAGGACCCAACTTGCATGTCTCACGGCGAATCGCAGTAGATCCCCCAGATCTCCCCATACCGCCCTCAGAGGCGCGACAACGAGCATGGCATTTCCCCACATCCTTCTCATAGAATTTGGGGCAACCGACCCGCTTGCATGCCCCCACGCCTTCCTCAAAGGTGCCACAACGACGATGGCATTTTCCGACACCCTCCTCAACGCTACGATAACGCCGACAGCGCGGCCAGTCCAGCGGTGTCTGGCTAGAGGACGCCTTGCTCCGTTCCGCACTCTCTGCATCGACCTGCGCCGGGTGCGAACAGTGGCAGCAGCACTGCGCGAAGTCCAGAAGCACCGGCACGTTCGCGTTGCGGCGCCGCTGGTTCTCCGCGTCGATCAGATGATCGAGCAAGGACTGGTCTTTGGCGAGCAGGCCTTTCTTGCCGCCGGCCCGGTCATGTTCGCAGTACCAGCTATTGCATTCGAGGTATGCGGCGCCGGTCGCGGACTTGTACGCTTCTTGCGCCTTTTCGAATCCTTCCTCGAGCTTGGGAGTTTCGGCACGGTCGTCGTGGTTGATGAGGGGGCCGTGGGTCTCTTTGCAGTATGCCAGGTAGCGGCTCGGGGAGACCTGGTGCGTGTGCCAGACCGGGTCGATGTCCATGGTTGGGGCCGCGCCCGCTGTGTCCTTCATCATAGTGAAGAACGTCGTTTACCTCCCCACGGCGAAGCGAAGAGTCGAATCCAGGGTCGGGCTATGGAGCCAGCCAAAGTGGGCCATCTTTTCGGTAAACCCGAGCTGGCGAGTGACGGCCGCGATGGGGTCGAATTCGATGCTTTTGAAGGTGAAGTTCGCTTCCGCCATAAGGTCGTAGGCTCCCAAGAGCAAGTTTTGCTTGACGTCGACGACAACTTTCTCAGTGTCTGCGCCCGCGTGCTCGGGCTTCTCCGCCTGTACATCAGGTTTTTTCATGATGGCCATGAAATGGCTCTTCGCCGCGTCCGCCTTATTTTCCTCCTCCAGGAACTTCAATGGATCGACATGGAGGTTCAAGCTATTCAGTATCTCCTCCTGGGATGCAGAAAGATTGAATTTCCCAGAAACAGGGTCAATACAGGAGCGCTAAGAGCAATGTCAGTCGTAATATGATTGGGCGGGTCTCCCGGCTTACCAAAGCCTCCCAAGGGATACCTGCCACCCGAATCGTCTCGCGTGTCTCCCCAATCACAGGGCCGCAGGTTTTGAAATAATCCGCCGGGTTCAGCATGAAAGCATGCCAAACCAAGAGGATATCTGACAGGGATTGGATTTAATGCCGTGGAATGGAAAACTTATTCCCAGAAGCTTACCAAGAGATGGTACCTGCGATATCTCGCCCGACTCTCGTACATAACGCAACCAGGTCGAAAATCGAGCCGTGGCTAGAGCCATATACTGCTGCCAGCAGCTTTCAGAGGGAACACCAGCTTCTTGGCCCCATGCCTCAAAGCTTGCCTTCAGCACAATAAACGCGTTCAAAAGCTTGAGATGGGCAGCACATTCAGCGACTGATGGCACTCGAGGACTATCAGCCATCTCAGTGTCCAATTGAAAAAGATCCTTTGGCCTTTCCTCAACCTTCTTAGCCGTTTCTGGCTGAATGGAAATGACAGGGGCTTCGACCTTCTTCGGCGCAGGACTATTGATGATCAGTGATGTTGGCGTTGTATCAATGAAGTTGTTCCTCTACCTACTGAAAGATCATTTTGTGCAACATTGTGAGCTTAGTATTACTAAAAGTGTGATTACTATTGCTGTTCTGGGTTCAGAGTATTTTTGTAGCTGCCGAAAAGCACCATCAGATGTTGCAAAGCAACTGCTTCTTATATCCATACACCTTTCCCCTTGTCGCTTCAAGATAAAGATGATGGAATATAGGTTGAGCGAGATATCGACTAGAAGGTTAACTTAGGTAAGTTATAATCACATAAATAGCAAAATCTTCCATGTGTGCCATGGTGTGAAAGCAAATTTTTTTGTGAGCTACCGCGCAATTGTGTACGCGGTCCAAGATACCTGATTCTGCGACGATTCAACCTAGCGACCTTGGGTTGCAAGTTCCCCGTTAATCAATTAGCATATGGAATGTGTTCAACAGTCCCGTGCTTAAAAACTGTGTACCGCGAACGTGGACCAGGAGATAAACAGAAGATGGGTTGGCCGGTGAAGCAAGAATACATAGGACTATAACTTGTATGAGATGATATATATGAGGTGGCATATATGAAGAGAAGCGAAGACTGAATGAAGAGTAACGACTACTAACCTTTAGAGACTGAAATTGACGATGCTCACCAGTCACAGGAGGGAAACACATATGGCTATATCGCCCAGTAAATTATAGACCAGTGCCGAAACCGAGACCGTCAGGGCAATAACACTAAGAAATATCGCACAGCCTGATACAACCATCATACACACTCAACAAGGTAGTACAGCAGCTCAATGTCGATCCAGTATTAGATACCTACCTAATTCAGTCCTGTTAGACCTGAACGTAAAACTCCTGGCTCCGGACAGGCCGCAAGAATGGCTCTGGCAGAGGAACACTAGACTCGGCCTAGCATCTCATTTTCGGATCTGTATGCCATCGACTGGATCATTCTATGACCCTGTGAATCACCACTAGGAGCATTGTCCGATTTGCCGACCTACTGGATCTTCGTCCATATATTGGGGCTGGGAGGACGCATCAACCTAAGAGGGGGGATTCTAATTACCACATTGAGGCTCTACCAGACGTACGGGCCGGCTCCGATGATTGGAGACAGCCGATGGTGGTCGCCGAGAAGGAAAATTTGCGGGCTAGTTGCTCGGTGCGGGCCGTGTCGAAGGCCAGTCCGAACGTGTGGTGTCGATCATCCGGAACTCAACAATGCACCGTGCTACTGCTGAGGTAATAGTTGTTGAGGAATTAGTCACCCTCTCTCGGATTGTAATTTTTATAGCTCGCTAGGAGACAGGGGAGATGAATATTGGAGATGGCAGTATAAATATGAGTGTCATTAGGTTACAACGCTGTAGGATCGGTGTTACATGTTGGACTCGATAGGCATACGATGCTTGTGTTCAAATACTTGGTAAAAGTAAATGTTCGAGGAAATTCAACGCACGACATCAGAATTGAGCCCAAGAACCGATAGAATGGAGATAATGCAACAGACATCGCGTGTATTGTTACGATGGATAACTGCGAATCCAGACGCGATAAAAACAACCGAAATTCGATAGCTGCCGCCGGAGGAGCGAACATGCCCTGTTCCGGTTAGCGTCTTCCAGGGGTCTCGTCCGAACTTGTTGACATCAACTTTGTCTTCCTTTACCAACCAAGCTCGTATATAGAGTTTTGCCCGGCCTTCGACATTAGATCCTAACAACAGTAACTACAACAGTCGCAGCCTTTAGTTCTCTCGTCCTCAAAAATCAGCCTCGGCGAGATCATAGGTATACACATGATATCTGAACGACGGGACACATGACTGGGTCACATGACCTAAACCACGTACCCCTCATCTACTGTTCCAGGAAGAGTTGTATCCTGATCCCTTATTAAGGATAAGTCTCGTCGTAACGGGCTGTGAAGGATCGAAGACTGAATTCAGTTTGATGCCTTGGGGTGTAGGTGCCTTATGGCCTTACGATGTGTTGTTGTTGACTTGTTGTGTTCACCCCAAGGCCAACTTATCACTCCCTCACACAGCGGCTTGTATTTTAGATCTTCCTTCCTCTGTAGATTGATTCTCGTATATCACGAATTACAGAGTTTTACCTCATCCTTTCGTACCATGACACGGGCGTCATAACCGTAGTGTACGACAATATAGAACCTGTTATCCTTCCGCGATCCGCTTGCGAATCGGAAGAGACACGCCGTTTTCCATGTTGCTAGCTCGCCCAACGCACGTTGTGACGCCTCGGAACGTCCTGTTTCGAGACAGGAGCGCACGGAAGAAAGCATGTTTAATTGTCTTTTATCTCGAGCCGAGTACGAGAGCTCCTTAGTTCCTAGTACCGTACGGGAAGTTCGCATGAAATTGAAACTCCATGATTTTTAAATTTCGCTCCAACTGGAGGTGGAACTTATATACAGATTTCAGTCGTGTCAGACTTCATTCATATTATAACCCCCATCTCTGCGTTTTATATTTCCAGGTAAAGAGCCGGTGTTCCTTTATCCAATGCCCCATCTTCTTGCCATACAGCCGCTGGGGTTCGATTTGATACGCTAGCCAGCCATGACTATAAAAAAGATCGGGAAATTTGCAGTGGTCTCGTACGCAGCGGTCTCATTTGCAGCGATCTCGTATGCAGCGGTGAGCGGAGCGACTGAAATGAAAACTCTATATCTATCAGAGCCTCCCCCAAAAAACTTCCTCCATCGACATCGTTGCCCGGCAGACCATAGACAGGCACTTCGACAGGATGAGGCTTCTCACAATTTTTATGGCGTTTGCCACGCTCGGTATCTGCCAGTTGCAACAAGTCAGAGACTTCAGTGCCGGCCCTACCAAGGTAGGAATGTATTCCTACGTTCCAAAGAATATCAAGGCTCCGGCACCTATCATCGAGGGTGTACATCACTGCCAGGGATCCGCCCAGGGATACTCTAGTGAGTCCCAGTTTTGCCACTTGCGGACAGACATGGCATCACCCTGATCTTTCCAAACTCAAAATCCGGTGGTGGCTGCTTTGATGTCGCTTCGAAGGCTAGTAAGTGTGCCCCCCCGTCCTATTCTGTTGTATCATCTCCTGGACCGTCTTCTGACTGCTGGTACGACCTTAATGGAGACACGGCACTAATGGGATTTGATATAGCTTTAACCCACAACGGTGGTGGCGAAGCTAAACAGTCGCGAACATGGTCAAATACGCGGTAGACAAGTACGGTGGAGACGCGAACAGAACATTTGTTATTGGAACCAGTTCTGGTGCGATGTATGTTAAGAAGTGGTTACTTCCTCTTACTGAAAACACCATGAGAGCACGATAGCTGACTCTTGATGTTAAAAGGATGGCGAATGTGCTTGCTGGTGTCTACCCAGACGTCTTTAAGGCAGCCTCCGTCTACTCGGGGGTTCCAGACGGATGCTTCTACATCCAGGGTGCGACCGCTACTCAGGAACCACCCGGCTAAGCCAACGCATGCGTAAATGGTCAGCTCACTCAGACCGCACAGGCGTGGGGTGACTTGGTGCGGTCGTATTATCCGGGCTATACAGGCCCTCGAACTAGGATGCAAATGTGAGTTAATCCTGCAACGTCAACTTTCAGCCGTAAAACCCTTCCAAACCAATACTGTCTGATACAGCTTCCACGGAACAGCCGATAGTACACTCCGCTATCCAAACTGTGAGCTCCCTCCCTCCCTACTTTTAGAGCAGCGCATGATGCTAACTTTGGCATGTCAGGTCAGGAGTAGTTGAAGTAATGGTCGAACGTCCTAGGACTCACTACGAAGAAGGACCCCGCCAATATACCCCAGAGTGGGTATACCCAGACCATCTATGGAGACGGCACATCGACGACGGCGCAGATTGTGGGATACAGCGCTCAAGGTGTCGGCCACACTGTGCCACAGCACCCGAACTTGGACATCGCATTTTTTTGGCATCGCGTAGGGGAACCGGGTGGAAAGGCGATGAATAGTAGTCTCGGAGCCGCGGCCTATCTAAAGCTTCAGTCTCGTACGGATCGTACCCCGTTGCCAGGTCTGTTAGAATGTAAATCATGTTCTCGCAGGTGGGACAACTTGATCTCGTTTGATATTTGATATTGCGAATCAATGTATGTATAATTTCTATGGAGGAAGGCGATGTGAGTCCTCATTGGGATTGTAATGCCATGCTTCGAACACTGGTGCTACAGCACAGAGCGGCGAGTAGCAAGGGAGTAACTAGGGATGCTTGATTAATAGGAACTATGCTGCTCTGGATAAAGGCCTTTAGAGAGACTGGCTGTGACTGTTCTTATGGATGTCTGATACCATAATAACCCTATACCCATAACACTAACAACGGATAACCGGCAATTAATAGTGTACCTACCAAAGCCAGGGGTGAGCTTGGTACCAAAGCGAAGCGCCAAAGGAAAATAACTTGTAGAACCCCTCTCGAAACCTGAGCAATGCCAGGACATTTTCGCTACAGATTTATTTAGACAGGAGATCTACACGACATGCAAGCTACAGCAGCACAAGGCCAATGAGATATCGAGAAAGTGAATGGTACCAGAGCAGTGCACTTTTCACCATCGACATAGATTTCACCTTCGTGCAATCGCATCCTTCACCAGATCCTAACATGGAAGTCTAGAAGTCGACGCTGCACTTATCCTTGGCATCTCATTCAGTGTCATCAGCGCTTTTACTTTCTCATCTCTAGTCTTTTCAATTCTTCGTCTATATTGCAAGACTCTGTTCCTTTGCGATTGTTGCACTAGACCGGTATCGGAAGTGCTTGTACCTGGATGTGACTGGTCGTAGCTCTCACCAGCTTCAAGACACTATGCGTTCTCTTCCGTTGTCCAACACGACGCGCCTGTCGATTGTTATTGGGATCTCGCTGTGCTTCTTCATTGCGGAGATTTCTGGTATTATTACCTTCCTTTTGTTAAGTTTAACGGTCTAATTGCGAATAGTGGGCTTCTACACGCACTCCTTGGCTCTTATCGCTGATGCGTTCCACTACGTATGGTACCTTTCCCAACTTTGAAGAGGGTGTTTAACAGGGGTCATCGTAGCTCAATGACCTTATTGGTTTTGTCGTAGCTCTTATAGCTATCCGGGTATGTTCCGTCGCCTATGTTATCCTCCCTAAGCTAACACTGTCCAAGGTCTCCAAGCAAGGGAAGTCTCCTAGGGGGTTCTCCTTCGGATGGCAGCGCGCACAGATGTTGGGTGCCTTCTTCAACGGCGTCTTTCTGGCAGCTCTGAGTCTCAGCATCTTTCTTCAAGCCTTAGAGCGATTCATTTCGATTGAGAGTATGCATGTCTTTGCGTGTCGCAGTCCAGATGACTGATGGAATACAGAGGTCGAGCATCCGAAGCTTGTGTTGATCGTCGGGTCGATTGGACTTGGCTTGAACATCATTAGCGTTCTGTTTCTTCATGGTTGATTCATCTTCATATTCTGTTAGTTCCTATAGCTAACAAGCCTAGGTCATGGACATGACCACGGACATGGACATGGACATCCCCACGGGGACACCCCAAACGAAGATCAGCCAGACATCCATCTTTCCATCAATGTCTCCGTACGTTATACCTAAAATATACACCAGCTTCCAACTAACCACGATAGGGCGTTGGCATCCACGCCGACCACGCCCACCAAAACGTCTCCACCAGCCACCACCACCGCGATCTCGGCATGATGGGCGTCCTCATCCACGTCATCGGCGACGCCATCAACAACATCGGGGTCATCATCTCCGCCCTGATCATCTGGTTCGTGAAGTCCGAGGCCCGCTACTACGCCGACCCCGCCGTCTCCATGGCCATCGCCTTCATGATCTTCGCCTCCTGCGTCCCGCTCCTCAACGCCTCCAGCAAGATCCTCCTGCAAGGCTCCCCCCCCACCATCGACCTTCCCGCCCTCTCCGCCGACCTCAGCAGCCTCCCCGGCATCCTGAGCGTCCACGAGCTGCACGTCTGGCGGCTCAACGAGACCAAGACGATCGCGTCGGTGCACGTGGTAACCAACGACGACAGCCTCGAGCGGTTCATGGAGCGCGCGACCGAGATGGGGGAGTGTTTTCATGCATGGGGTGTGCATAGCTGGACGATGCAGCCGGAACTGGCGAGGAGGAGCATCTCGGAGACGACGGGGAGTACCGCAGTGGAGGCGAAGAGTACGGAACCCACCGTCTCAGGCGATGAGCCGCAGGAGGAGGTTAGACAGAGGCAGGCGTCGAGCGATGAGTCGATGTGCCGTGTCAAGTGCGCCGAGACATGCGGAGCGCTGCAGTGCTGTGATTGAGTTTCGGAGCCCTCTAGAAATTTGTCCAGAACCTGTACGGGGATGGGTAGAAAGGGTGTTGTCAATACCATTCGAAACTGAAGGTATAGATAGACTATTAGCATAGTATGTATATCCCACAGTCCATTGTCTCATCCGACAACGCCATTGTAAATGAGACATCCGAAGATACGATGCAGCCACCCACCAGAGCCTTTGAAACTCCACGCGACCTACTCCCCGCAACCATCTGACTTGCGATTCCCACCCGCTGTCTTCGATCTCCTTCACCACTTTGTTCAGCGCTCCTACCCATGTCCCGCCCTCCGACACGCCAACAACGTGGCCCTCAGACCATCGTCCTCGCCGCCTGTCTTACATCAGCCTCAGAGTGACCCCGCGCCAACAGACAATGGCCGGACCCGAAACATCGGGACGATGCATTCATCAGAAGTGTCGCGGAGTCGACGATGGTCTTCGATAAGCGATAGAAGGGGAATATCCTGTCTTGGGGGCGATGGTTCCTCTGCATGGCAAAGTTCGAGAGAGCGCAGCCGCAGATATATAAACCCTCAAAGTATCGTTATTTTGGGTCTGCTCTTCGTCACTCGACACAACCCCAATTCTATTGATCACAACAGCACACAACGACACTTCTCCATTCATCCTCACTACTCTTCCAACAAACCCAACCCTCCACCCCCACCACCACCATGACCCCCCGCACCTCCCGCATTACCCCGCGCTTAGACGATGGGCAACTTCCCAAGCAGGGCGCAAAGGGTGCCTTCGGTGAGGCGGTGAAGTGTGGCAAGTGCCGAAGATGGGCGACGAAGCGATGCTGGAAGCACGGGCATCTGACGCGTTGCCGGTTGTGCATGCGGTTAGTGTGGGCGCAGCGGCATCGGTGCCTGCGTCGACCAGGAGGCAAGGGGAAGCAGTGAATAAAGTACCAAAAACGACGGAAACGACGGCTTGATTGGAAGCGCAGGAAGTGAAGAATAGAGCTTGAGAAGATGGCCGATGACTCCAATTACGGCCGGGAAGGACTGTTGGGGGGGTAAAGAGGGGAAGATAGGGGATGGCGGATAGAATTGATCTCGACGGGAGAGATGAGCGGATAGAAAACAGAATGTATCAGAATGTATAACTGGCGGATCATGCACTGCAATAAATGCTCCCACACTTGAAATCAACTTTCCACAGCCCCCATCTCATCCCGCGATCTCTCTTCCCTCTCCTCCCGTGCCCTCTCCTCCCTCCGCCCCTTCACCCACTCCCCAAACGGCCTCCAAATCTCCTCTTTCTGCGCCGGCTTCAACGACGCCGCCACCCCACTCGTACTCGCCGCCACAAACACCCTCGCCCCATCCCACCCCTCTTCCCCCTCCACCTTCCCCATATTCTCCCCCACCTCCTGCCACCCATACGCAAACTCCCCCGCCCTCGGATACCGCCCATGCCGATACCGCCATACCGCCTCCCAAATCCCCTTACCCACAATACACACCGCCTCGGGCCTCCACCTCGCCACTTTTTCCTCCAACACCGCCGTCCCCGCCACCATCTCTGCCTTCGATAGCTCCCCCACGTCGCGCGTCGGCCGCTCCACGATGTTCGTGTTCCCCATCGCGTACAGCCGCGGGAGCTCGGCGTCTTCCTCCGGCCGACAGCGGCGGTCCGTGCATCCGGAGGAGTGGAGGAGCTTCCAGAAGAGGTTGGACGGGTGCGCGTAGGCGTGCCCGGACGTGGCAGTTTGGATACCGGGGTTGGCGCCGATGAAGATGCAGATGAGGTGGGGGGCGAGGATGTCGCGGAGAGGGGAGAGGTGCGCGTATTTGGAGGGGGCGGCGTATTTGCTGGAAGGGCGGGAGCGTTTGGATGGGGAGGAGGAGGCGGAGCGGGAGGGAGATTTGGTGGATTCGCTCACGACATCGACGCGGCCTCGTTTGAGGGGCGAGCGAGTTCGGGATAGAGGTTCCTGGTCTGCCGCATTTTTTGCTCTGGTTCCTGGCTCTTTGGCGGCGTCCGCGAATTGAAACTGCTCTAATTTCCCTTGGAACGAGGATTCGGGTCTTCCCTCGGACTTCTCAAGCAGAGGGGGCTTCCCGTTAGTCTCTCCAGCTCTTTTCGACAGTTGACTGAGTGCAGTGTCACTTAACACTCTGGCCGAGGCTCTTGTTTGACGTGTTACGGCCATGTCTGCTTAAATATTTTCGGACACAGAGCAGATTTTAGAAGGGATTGGTTATTTAGAGAACATTGACGGTACTTATAAGTTATATGTCCTGGTACTACGGTGTACTAAAAGATGTAAAGTTTGCATGGCCTTCGATTCGCCTCTGCCTTGTATTGGAGGCAACAGGGGCCAGGCAGAGGCAACAATCAGGCAACAAGGGGCGATTTCAGTGGATGCACGTGACCTTGCCAGTTGTTTGAGGTCTCTGAATCAAGTTCGAGACAGAATAATATGATTCAAGCATTCATTTTTCATTTCCTAGTTAGGATACCAGCTGTCCTACGAGAAGGAAGACTTGACAGAGTTCTGAACGGTTGCATCGGGTTCCCAGCTCCTCGTGATGCTACTGGTGATGCCACTACTGTACCGAGGAGAATTGATAACAACAGATGCAGCTCACGCGATGTTCCTTAGCCTTCAGAAACGTGTGAAAAAACATCGGAATTATCGAGGACGATGAAAAGCATTTTTAAGTGCAAAGCATCGAGGATCGAGTTGCCAGGGTGGGATTTGGTAACTGCTACTAATTACTAAGCAGAGGGTGATACTCCGGAAGCGCTAGGCAGTCCTGTGGCCAATAAGAATCCATGCCCGCCACTGCATTGAATTGTGGCCTGAGGCATGAGTATATCCTAGGCTGAGCACCACTTTTCTTCTCCCTCTTCACCACCACCCTGAATCACTCACATCTCACCCTCACCCCTCTATCTTATCTCTCTCTCCTTCGTCCAGTCCGACAGTCCCCCTTGTCGACTTCAAACATGCGAATCGGTTCCGCGGACGCGACTCCAAGCGGACCCTATACCACACCGATCGCCCAGTAGCACTGAAAACCTGCGTCAGCGTATCACCAGAAATCTTTTCGCAGCACCTGTCATCGTGCTGGACGATCAGGTCGAAGATCTGGACCTCTCCACTCCCACCACATCAGTTGCGTTGCTTTTCTCAATCCCTTTTATACATAACTCTTCGCATCGGCGTTCTTCGTGCGACGTCGCAGGCCTTCCACCCTTCTCCGAGCGCTTCCGCAGTCGAGTGGAAGAACTCCGCGCCACCGCTGCCTTCGCCGACGACATGTCTTCGCATATCCCGTCCACTCCCCGAATCATATCCCCCTCCCCCAGTCCTCGCGGGTCGTTCTCCTCATCATCCGGCTCCTACCTTGGGCCCGTCACCAGATCAATAGCACGCACCAATCGGGTCACTTCGCCTCCTCCGATCCATGAAGATAGGCAGACACCGAGCGGCGGCAGCGTCTCGGATGCGGAGATGTCCCGAGCACGCAGTCGATCGCCGTTGGAGAGTCGACGGCGGAGGTTAAGCGGATTGTCGAAACCGACCGACGGGACAAGTAAAGCAGCGGAGGCAGCGGTGAAAGGGCGCGCCACCGGGCACCTGAAGCCACCCGGCTACAGCTACTGGCGCGAACTAAGCCGTAGCCCGAGTCCGCTGGGGCTAATTCCCATTCATAAAGAATGGCGAAGCTTCGTACGTGGGATCCAGTTGCGCGTGCACAACCACCTCACCGTCGCATGCAGCCTGACCATGACGCAGGTCCACAAGCACGAGATCCCGCGCAAAGCCCTGCATGTGTCCATCGGCTTCCTCGTCTTGCACTTCTACTCCCGCGGCTACCAACCCACGCACATCACCCCCTTCCTCCTGTCCGCCTTCCTCCCCATCACCTGCGCCGACCTCCTCCGCCACCGCATCCCCGCTTTCAACGCCTTCTACATCCGCGTTCTCGGCGCCCTCATGCGCGAGTCCGAGGTCGACAGCTACAACGGTACCATCTTCTTTCTCGCTGGGACGTATCTCGTCCTCCGCGTCTTCCCCAAGGATATTGGCGTCCTCGGCGTCTTGCTGCTCAGCTGGTGCGACACCGCTGCGAGCACCTTCGGCCGCCTCTGGGGGAGGTATACCCCGCACATCCGTAAGGGCAAGTCGCTCGCCGGCACTGCCGCCGCGATGTTCACTGGCGTGGCCTCCGCGGCGGTGTTCTGGGGGTATATTGGGCCGAAACTTGGCACCCCATTTGGATATGATGTCGGGGTGAACGCATTCGCTTTTAAGGGTATGCTGCAGCTTCCTGGGGCGGTCTGCGGATATCTTGGATGGAACCCAGAGACCGCGAAGGTCACCGGTGGAGTTGCAGTCGGCATTGCCAGCGTGGTTGCCGGGACGGTGGCGGCTGCGGCGGAGGCGGTGGATTTGTGGGGTTGGGATGATAATCTGACGATTCCGGTGCTGTGCGGGGTCGGGCTGTGGGGGTTCTTGAAGACGTTCGGGTAGAGGATTCTCGAGAGGTCCGAGACTGGTCGGATATGAGGACTTGGGTTTGGTTACGGTGCTAGAGTAGACGAATTGCGGCAAGGCGTTTGGGGTCCTGGTAGACAGCATGGCGTCAGTCGCTATATGGACACTGATGGCTTTTGTGAGGGATACCTTTTGGTATTCGTGTTGGCCCTCTATGTATGATAGATAGTCAATAGAAGATGTATCATGTTCCAATTTCTTGTCACGTCTGTATTTCTTTGCAAGGTGAACGTTCGATTATGGCTATCTACCCACTTCCACGTAGTCCATCGCTAGGAAGAGACCGATGGAACCCTCATCTCAGAATAACATTAGCAAGTGTTATCAATGTCTGGTACATTGCTGGCACTCATCATCCCATGTATCAAAATATTCGGCGTTTGCCGTACTACAGCTCTCTCCAGCTCAATTGCTCAGTTTCATCCGACTCCTCCAACCTAAGCGATTTCGTGGACTCTGCTATATCATAGTCATCCGCCTTCCGCTTAACTCCACGATTCTCCCCTCCTTTATTTCGAAGGAAACTGCCATAAAGACCTGGCCGCTCGTCATGTGTAGACCGTGGAGGTCGATTTGGAATTGGATGTGTGGATGGAATCCGCATGGACTTCGACGTGCCAGCCGGCGGCCATGTATGGGTTGCCTGTAAAGATGACTGGACTTGTCCAGGGCTCTGAGGAGCTGGGACATGTGGGGAATCGGCATGAGAGTCGAAAGGTGTCCCTGATGTTGTCGGTCGTTGGACAAAAGTGTTGGAGGTTGCGTCAACAAAGCTCAGTGGCTCGCTCGTGCTGAAGGATTCGGGCACCAAAGGAGGGCGTGGAGCAATGACAGGGCGTGGATCAATGGCAGGGCCGACATAGTGGTGCCTCTTGTCGTAGAAACCATCATAATCCTGTGGCTTAAGAGACCCAGATTTGAGACCGTCCATAACGTGTTTCACAAACAGTCTGTCGCAGAACCCTGTCGGAAGTACGGAGTTCCAGCTGCCGTTCCGAACCTCAGCAAGCAGGGCTTCCCTCTTCTCTCTGTTCACTGGCCCGGTTTCGATGCTGAGCGTGCCATATGTGACGTTGTCGTTCCCAATGATGGCGTGGCCATGGAGTGCGCGCATCGCGTCTTGGGCAGATTCCAGGTCCCGATATGCGGCCAAGAAATATGGTCCGGCCCAGAACCGGAAATTCGCCAACCCTTTCTTCGCGCCGTAAACTATGGACGTCAAGACTACTTCTGCGGCTTTGGCAGTGCCTCCTGCAGTGAGTGCGAAGGGGAAATCATAGAGGGTTATGTAGACCAAGGTCGAATTGTCCAACGCAGTGAGAAACGGCGAGCCCTTGCCACTCTTGCGGTTGTTGATCTGCTCGGAGCGGTTCTTCTCCTTATTGCTGATTCTATTCATCTGATCCGGAGTAAGCTTGAACTGGTCGCCGTTATGCACTGCTTGAGTGGTATCTGGCTTCGTCACAGGTAATGCACCTGCATCCACCACAGACATGAGCCTGCCATTGATTTTCCTTTTGTTCAACTCAGTGGCAGCTAGGGTGTAGTCTTTCTGAGACCGGAAGGACATAAGCGCGATCCCGACATTACCCTTTTGGTCTTTGGGAATGAAAAGGATATTGCTAAAGAGCCTTTCAGTTAGCACATTCAGAGGGATTCTACATCCTCAATGATCTGGACGGACTCACAACTCGATGTCTTTCAAGAACGACTTCATGTCAGCTTGGGTACCATTAGGATTGAAATTCGTCACTTGGAGGACTCCTCCACGGCCATTCAGCAGTGTGGCAAAGGCCTGTTCCCAAGACCCCTGAATAACTCTCCGTTGATCAGCGATCGGTGGTGATAGGCGAGGCCCAGGCGATGGCTTAACAGCCTGCTTGCCGCTCTTCTTTGCCATCTCAAACGCTCTTAAAGTAGGACACGAATTCCAAGAATGCTGCTGCTTCTCTTGTGTGTTGGTTGAAGGAAATCAGAAGAGTGATTGAAGTGGGTTGTCATCAGTGTGAAAAACAAAACACCAATAGTGAAGGAAACTCGGTTCATAGGAAGAGAATATACGAAATTGAATGCGACTCATTTCAGTATTCACATGTGCGCCCTTGCCAATTCGACCTTCCCCGCATGTGAATGGTGTTGCGGCTAAATCCTCAGCTCATTCTTTCTATCGGCGCCTGGCGACTGGAATTGAGTTCAATGGCATATACTTAGGTCGAAAGAAAACATATATATCATTTGGAGATGGCATGTCTGCGACTCGAAGCTTGCCAGCTCGTCACCAAGGCAGCTGAAATGAGGGACTGTCGCCATCATGTTCCACAGGCACACAAAGCATTCAAAAACCAGACATAAAAGATAGAGAGAAGGCATGGAGTCGCTGTTAGGTTCCAGCTGTTTGGTCAAAGGGCGGAAGAAATGGTGATATCTACCAGGTATCACCACTTTGGTGGTGTCATAAGTCGGAGGGTTTGGACAGAAGAGCACTGGTATCATTTGGTCTCATACCATTGTCATGTTGCCGACCCCTACAGCACCACCACGACACATAGTATACCGGATAGCAGCATCCTTGCATTCAATTATTTGAAACCATTGGAATGGATTAGACTCAAATCAAGACACTGTTGCGTGTTAGACGTTGGTTGATGGTTCATGGTTCATGCCTTCAGGGGGTGCTGACTAATGCTCAAACTCCAGCCTTCTGAGTGTGGCTGGAATGGAGGACCCTTGCCGCAATTTACCTCTCAGCCACCCAACTTTCTGTAAATCGGACTTCAACTCGCGTCGCAGCGCGTCTTGGGCACGCCTCTAGTCATCTCAACTGCATCCCCCATATACCGTAACCATGACGAATCTCGACCTTCTCCTTCTGAAAGGTCCGCCTGGTGGCGATGTTTGCCGTGGTCTAGACGACCTCCGATACAATGTCCTTGTCAATGGCATCCCGGCGAACAGCGACGGCATGGTAAACATCAACCACCCCGCACGATCTCCGATCTTGTCCCAACTCGAACAGACATTCTAACTGCCCCTCCCAGTCCGAACTCCGCATCTACATTTGGCTCGTCTTCCTCTCCTCTCCACCTCTCAAAACCGACACCTACCTCGACCTCGTCCGCCAGGGCCCCTCCCCCGCCTACAACAAAATCCGCAACGACACCTTCCGCACCCTCGCTACCGACCCCCTCTTTCGCCGCCGCGTCACTGAAAACAGCCTCACCCGTGTCCTCAACGCCATCGCTTGGCGCCTCCACGATGCGCACGAAGCGAAAGTCAACGGCTGGCAGTCGCCGCCCACCATGTCCACCGCCGGGAGCATCGACGGGTCCCTCGGCAACATCAAGGGGGGGGGGTCGCCCGATTCGCGGTTTAAGCGTGATCTTAGCGACATGCTGAATAGCCCGGACCCGGATCGGAAAGACCCTGCCAGCCAGCCGACCAACGATAGCGCAAGGCCGCCACGCACCTCGATGTCCGCGCACTCTGTCTCCGGCGACACCACTGCATCCCACGGCACGTCCACCACCATCGGCTACGTCCAAGGCATGAACGTCCTCGCTGCGCCCCTCCTCTATGCTGCGCGCTCGGAAACTCAAGCCTTCGCCGCCTTCTCCACCCTCATCTCCAACGAACTCCCCTCGTACATCCTTCCGTCCATGGACGGCGTGCACCGCGGGCTGCGGCTGGTCGACGAGATCCTCATGATCGTGGACCCCAAGCTCGCGGCGTATCTGCAGAGCAAGGGGATGAGCGCGGAGATCTACGGGTTCGCAAGCGTGTTGACCATGTGCGCGTGCACGCCGCCATTGCCGGAGGTGTTGGCGCTGTGGGATTTTTTGTTCGCGTACGGGACGCATTTGAATCTGTTGTGTATTGTAGCGCAACTGGTGTTGATTCGGGATCAGCTTATGGAGGCGGCGAGGTGAGTTGTCTGTCTTTGTGTGGAACATTGAGTTGTGGCTGATGAAAGCAGTCCAAACCAGATTTTAAGGTCGTTCCCTCCGTTGCAAGCGGCGAAGGTTAAGGCTATTGCAATTAGCTTCGTCCCGAAAATCCCGGAGGAGCTTTACGGAAGGATCGTCAGCCATGCAAGGTAGTTGAAAGAGTACATGTGTCTAATGAGTTACGACTTGGATGCGGCGAATTGGAGATTTGGAATGTGCGAATGAACCATGGGGGATGATTGTATGAATAGTTATGCCGGTCAAAAGATGAGGTTACATGAGATTTACTATTGGCTGAATGAACAGACAGAAAGACTTTTCAACGCTTAAATGGCTGAGATTCAAGACCAATACATGATCGATAAAATGTACAGCTGTGGCGTGATATCGTTCATGTCGCCAACTTACTCTCGCTATGCAAATGCCACCGATACCGACCCAACGCCGAAGTGCCTAAGGATCGACAGTGAACGTCCCGAACAATGTAAGCAGAAATATCAGACTGTCCACCCCCCGTATTATTAACAACTTAATCGCCCCCCCTCTTGTGCATTTCCTCATCATTCTTCACCTCCTGATGTGCGAACCCCTGGTCCGTCTCCAGCGCACGATCAAGCGGTAAGGCCTTCGTGAACAGGCTGGTGAGCAAGCCCACGCCTGACAACGCACACATAACGATCCACACCCACATGAGCGCCTTGACGTACGACGCCTTCAGCTGATCCTTCTCGAGCCCATCTTCCATAGTCTTGATAGTGCCCGCCAGGCTCGAGGAGTCCCGCGCGTACTCATGTGCGCGATCCGCCAGCAACGGGTAGCTCTGCAACTCCACCAACATACGGTTCTGGAAGATGACACCGCCGACGGCGACGCCAACGGTCTGCCCGAGGGCGCGGAAGAAGGCGAACATGGTGACGGCGTAGCCCATGTCTTTGTTGGGGGTGGAGGCTTGGATGGCCATGGAGAGGACGGTGAAGAGAATGCCGATGCCCAGGCCGGAGACGAGGTTGATGAAGATCCAGGCGACGGTGCTGGTGCCTTCGCGGAGGAGGATGAGGATGCCCATGCCGGCGCAGGTGAAGACCCAACCGAGCCAGCTGTGAGAGAGTCAGTGGTAGGAATCGAGAGTGGGGGATGTGTGGACTCACATTGCCTCGACGTAGCGTCCTGTGACTGCGGAGTAGACTCCCGAAGCAATGGCGGCTGGAGAGACGGTGAACATCTGTGGGAACATGGCGACCCCAGTGATGATAGGAGAGAACCCCTTGACTGCTTCAAAGTACAATGGCATATAGTAAAGTATAGCGTACAGAGCGACACCGTCTATAAACAGTTAGTGGCTAATGAAGCAAGGCAGAGCAGGTTGCACCTACGAAGGAAAGTTCCAAGGAATGAAACAGCAGAGGTACGGTTCTTGAAAATTGACATCCGGATAAGGGGCTCCTTGGCGACCTTCTCCTCGTACACAACAAACCCAACCAGACCAGCGAGGGACACAATGAGTGGCACAAGAGTCCTCCAGCTTGTCCAAGGATATTGAGTGCCGCCCCACGACAGCGGGATCAAAAAGCCGGTGGTGGAAGCGATGAATATGACGGTACCGATCCAGTCAATACGGCTCAACTTGTCAAAGAAAGTGGTCGTCTTAAAGTTCAACTGCAAGAAGAAGAACACCAAAACAGCCGCAAAGGCAAGGAGCGGAAGATTGATCCAGAAGATCCAGGTCCAGTTGACATTCTGCGCGAAACCGCCGCCGACGATAGGCCCAAGCACGGTACCGACGCAGTAGACAGTGTGGATAATGCTGAACCATTCACCTCGAAGACGTAGTGGGATAAGATCCGTGACAATGATCTCTGTCAGTGCGATCAGACCACCACCCCCGATACCCTGGATTGAGCGACCAAGAAGGATGATGGTGAAGTTCTTCGCTACGGCAATAACGATGGAACCGACACCAAAGAACACGAAGACGACGTAAAGAACGGGCTTGCGGCCAAAGATATGGCTGAAAGAGCCGATGACGGGTTGGAAGACGGTGCAAGTGAGCAAGAAACTGGTCCCTGCCCAGAAGGCTTCAATGGCAGTTCCATTCAGCAATCGAGACATTATCTGCGATAGTCAGTAGCTGCGAGCCATTCGCGAGCGGTAACATCAACGTACAGGAAGAGCAACGGAAAGAGATGTCGCGTCAACGGCCGCCATAAGCGTGACGACTGATAAAGCCGCGAACGCAAGATGAAGCCGCCATCCTGCCTTGAAATTGTCCGCCGTGACATCCTCCGCGGGTTTTGGCGCCGTTACGTCTTCGTCGAACCGGATGTGGAACTCCTCCTGTCCCTCGTAAGGGATTTCAAGAGTTTCCTGGGAGACTTTGTAGGGGTTTTCGTAGTCATCTTTGTTAGCGTCGATGGGGTTGAGGATAAGCTCGTGCGAGCCGGAGAAGGGGTCGGAGGGGTCGGTGAAGAACTCTTGCTGGAAGACCTGGTCGTTGTAGATGGAGGCGCGGACGTGTCGAGAGCGTCGCTCGTCTTGGAACCACGACGTAGGCCGCGAAAGGCGGTACGCAGGCGGAGGTCGGGATATACGGTAGAAGGATGGGTACATGGTGCCGCAGGGTATGGAGTGAGCATGTGGAGGATGAGTGTAGTTGTTAATGTAGTTGTTGAACGAGACTCTAAAGACAGACAATAATATGAAGATTGGATGAAGACTGAATGGAGATTGAAATGATGAACAGATATGGCGTTAGATATTAACATTTGTCCAACCTGAAAGAAAGCCATTCCGAGTGTAGTCGGATTCCGTCCTGGTGGAGATGGGCTTGGATACGAGAAAATATGACATCTGCTAAGCTACCAAGAGAATACACTCAGGCACTCCAGATGGAGACCAGAAATTCAGCCAGCACCTAGACTCTGAATTTTTGAAATGTCGACTGTGAAACCGGACGGAGCGTGCCTGTATGGAGGCTCATCATGGAACCAGGACGATTGTCGGCCTGGATTCCGCATCCTTCCAGGCACGCCTCAATCGCAATCGACGGGAGCCATGGATCTCTCGCCTATCATTGTCTGGAGAAGTGCCAGTTACGTCCCAGCGAAGATTTCCGCTGGTTGTCGGAGTGACCATGTCGCGTGGCAATTGTGTGCTTCAGGTGGTGGATGTGGTTGCTGATATGAAGATCCTCCGTCAGGGTGCGGCTTCGACATCAGGTCACGTGGGAGCTGCAACCATTTTATGGAGGACTTCATGGAACGGAAACCAAATCCGTCCGACGGCCAATTAGTCGCCTGGAAACGTTTATTCAAGGAATTAGGCGCATAATAGCCAAGGTCCTGCGAAGAGTACCAAGAAAAGGCGCTATGTCGATTTTATCACGACTGCAGACCAGCGTGGCTCACGGCATCAAGCCACTCCACAGAAACCTTCGGACTCCTATGAGATGATCACCACTATTATTGGATAATATCTGAAACTTGATGGTAGTACGGTATCAGCCCTATCGAGCGGAGTACTCCGTCATCTGGCTTTTCTACCCTCAATCTCGGCCTCACAGCGGACCACCAGTTTCTTAACCCCCGCCCACTCCTCGCTCTTCTGCCCTTCCGTCCCCCCAAACTCATTCCCAACCTCAAATACGCTCACCACCCCATCCAGCCCCCCTGTGGCGATTCGTTTGCCTTCTGTCCCCTCCCAAGCCACCTTATTCAAACTATTCCGGGCCCCCATTCCCATCCCCCCGAGCGCCATTCCTGCAAACTTGCCACTCTTCGCCCGTAGCTCACTCGGCTTAACCTTGGCGGACGGGATCTCCACGTCGTTGTTCACGTCCCAGATCTCCAGGCTTCCGGCTCCATCGACCAGCGCGAAGATTCCAGGGCGGATGGGCGACCACTTTGCGTCATAGACGAGGTCTTCACGCGGGAATTCCATGAGCGGGCTGGTCGCGCTGGCGTTGGCGGCGGCAGATGGCGCTGGGGTCACGCCGGCTGCGGCAGCAGCGGTCGCGGACGGTGGCCGGGCGCGCCAGAGACGGACGGTCCAGTCGAGTGAGGATGATAGAACGAGATCGCCTAGATCGACGGGACCGCGTGCGGGGTGGAAGTCGAGGGACATGACTGGTGCAGAGTGCGCACGGTAGCTTAGGCGTGGGTCGAGCCCGGCTTTGGCTCCCGCTCGGTCATATCGATGGCAGGGGAATATGACGCCTTCCTCGCTTCCGGCTAGGAAGTAGGTGGGGTCTGATGCCGGGAATGCAATGCAAGTCGGTGCGAATTCGTCGGTTTTGGTGCCGTGCGGGTTGGTGAGTTCGAGGTATTCTTGGGGTTGTGACAGCATGTCCACACTCCAGGAGCAGACGACACCGTCGGTTGATGCGGAGATGATGTTATTGGCATTTTGCGTACCAACTATGTCGAGGGCGTACACAGGGTGAGTATGGCCGGAACCGGTTAGGGGGGTCTTTTGAACTGGTGACGAGCGGTTGGTTCGTGTGTCCCACAGTAAAACTTGGCCAGAGTAACACCCCCCAAGGATAAGATGAGGATGAAACGGGGAGAACTTGGCGGTAAGGATGTCGGATTGCGCGTGGAATATATATTCCGGCCTGTCGTGCATATGCAGGTTCCATACTTGGACGACGCCGTCTGGGTCGTGAGGTGCGGATGGGTTTTTGGTGTAGGACGCCAGCACTAATTCTGGGAACTGGGGTAATGTCAGACTTGGTGCACAATACATCTTGATTGCGTCCCCTTACCTTTGGTGAGAAGCCTATATCGCTAATAACTCGCTTCTTACTCCACCGATCGTCCCAAAAATGTGCAATATCCTTCACCCGCCTCGACTTCTTTCGCGGTGCTCCGTACCCATCTTCTTCTTCGTCTAGGGCATTTCCCCCCCCGAGAGCATAGTCCGCCAAGATGTCGTACTCTTGATCGAGCGCTCGCTCGAGGACCTTACTCGACCGTTCCACGAAGTCCAAGAATTCATCCGAGCCGGTCACCGCGTTCAATTCCTCATCCGTAAGCGCCCTTGCGGGGAAGTTTTGTTTTCCATCGACATCCCTCTGTGATATCGCGTCCGCGCCACTAGCCTCTGCAGCTCGCAATTCCGCTTCCATCTCCTTCCGAACCTGTTGTCGTAGCTCCTCGTCTCGCATCTGTTCGCGTAGGCTCGGCCGTTTCTTTGAAGGAGAACCTTCGACGTCGGCATTTCCAGGGTCATCATCCTGCCGCAGTGGAGTCCACTCCTCGGAAGTCTGAACAGACTTGGTGTAGGTGACGTACTCGGGTTTAGGTTTCGGTGGAGGCGCGGTCACGCCTGGATCGACGTCGTAAACGGTAACCGAGGGCGCGAAGGATAATCGTTGTGGTGGTGCCGCTGATGTCTGCGACTTTGGAGATCTGGACACATCGAGTTGATCACCGCTGAGCTGACTGCCGCTCACTACCGATGTCGGACGGCTTCTGAGTGCTGGTGACGATGGGTCTCGGGGCCCGGTTGACGAAGGTCTGCTTTCTCCCACAAGACTAGATATGAGAGAATCCAATTCCTTCCTACTATCTACTCGACTTGGGCTCGGCGATATGACCTACGAGCACTGTTAGTCTCTGGGCCCTGTTGTGGAGTCGGTAAGGGGTACCGACATCTGAAGTATCTCCGATGCTTTGTCTGGTGGCTGAGAACTCTCTCGCTCGCAATTCTCGCTGGCGCTTCAACTCTGCCAGTTTCGCCTTCTTTGCCAATATTTCATCCTTCCGTTGTTGGACAGATGTAGGATGATCCATCTTGCATGAATCGGGCGGGTTCCGCTTCAATTCATAGAAGTTGTGATAGGCGGAAAAGAGAGCGACGCGTTTGTTTCCAAGCCAATATAAACCCGTAGACTCCAAATAGCAAAGGGGTATCTTAACAGTAGAAAAACGCGTTGGCCACTTTGACTGCAATAACCCAAGGAATATCAAGACGATGATGAATTGCATGAAGCAACAAGGAGGGCGACAATGGAATTCAATATCACGTGACACTCATTCCGGGTGCAACAGGCATCTTTGGCGCAGCGGAAAATTGGCCGACAACCTGATTATCTGAGTGACCGAGAGATCTACTTTCATCCAACAACGACTCCATCCAACCCCCTCGAATTCCATCTCCCCGATCCTCCTCTCATTGCGCCGCTCTTTTCTCGGTCTTGCGCGATCGATTGCCTCCCCATACCCTCCGTAAACCTCCAATTGGAACTTCCCTGGGTGGCTGGAACAGATGGCATCAGAAGCAGTCAATGTATGATCATCCGCCTATTCCTACAATCCAAGCGGCGCAATGGCTCTTTGCAACCATTGCAATGGCGACTAGTTGGATACCTCATTGATTGAACTGGCGACTGACAACGGAGCAGGTGTTGCGGTGGTTAGCCGGAGGGCTCGGTGTTTTCTACGGGTTCACCCATCAGCGATCGCTATCCGCACAAGATAGAGCCGCGGCTCTTCAGCGGGAATACCAGAAGAAGGAGCAGTTGATATCACAGGCCAAACAGGAATACGCGGTTCACACCGGAAAGGCACCAAGGAGTATGTTTTCGGTTATCGAACAACCTTGGTATCTATCGGTTGCTTACGTTCATGCAGATAACAAACCGAAAATGGACGAGATCGAGGCATATTTGACCGGGCAGTTAGAATGAGCGGCCCCGTGAGGAAGAAGGGAAAGGAGACAGGGACGGTCACATTAGTCGAAGGGGAAGGGGATTGACAAGATCACGGGAATTGGGGAACAACCAACTCCGATACCTTGAAGAGCAAGCTTTGCATTTCTCCTGTGATTATTGTGTATGTATAACTCCTGGCTGCGGTCATAGAAAGCTTTTCATCGCAACGGAACCATTTCAATTTTCTATCCTATCGTAGTCGTCATTGATGTTTTCCTCCGTACAATCATTTTGCCTCCCTCTCGACACCCGAAGTCCATCTAGCCCAACTATTTCATCCATGCGGGTTCTGTGGCTTGACAACCCCGAGAGAACAGCCCTTGCATCGCTTGTGCAAGCATCCCGTAAAGTGCCCTCCATGAAGGACGTCGACATCGCAGATATGGACGCCCATCATGCTCGGCTTTCTGCAGCGGCAACACTTCCACGCCCTCACTGGCCCTGGCGAAAGGACGTCGGCGTGCTAGCTCTCTCTCTCGGGCGAATTCCGGACGCTGGAATTGACTGAGGATGAGGCCTGAGTGTCGTTCTTTAGTCGACTGGTGTTTGGCTTCGTCTCTTGTGGCTTGCGGGAATTATCTGACTTGGTGAAATCCACACAGTTCCCAACTTCATCAAGATCACCATTCACCAGCCGACAAAATTCACTGAGATCCGATGAAGAAAACAGCAGATACCACGATGATTATCTATCATCTGGTGAATCCATATCCACGGCGACTAAGCGCGTGGTGGACAATATCAATGTGACTGGGCATTGAACAAAGCGCCGAGCAGTTATCAAGCTCGAGTCAACACGGCACAATGAAGAAGAGGAGTGGAAATAAAACAAAGGTCTCGGATGCGAAAGAACGATTCAAACTCGATCGTTTAGATTCTGTGTACTAGGTCCGAACGCTTCATGTCTGCTCAAGGAAATATCAACAAGCTAAGGAGTAAATCCGTTCCAAACAACTTTTGACTACCCCCGATCGGCCCCGTACTCCCCCATCTCCGTATCCCTCATTTCCAAAGCCTCCACCCACCCCTCTTCCTCTCCCCCTCCTCAAACCCCCCCTTCCCATAAAACTCACTCTCCCTCTCCCTCGCCCCACCATACGGACTCTCCACCTCCCCTAACCGCGGCGTCTCCTCCCCCTCCTCATCCGTGTCCTCAATCCCCGCATCGTACGCATCCCCCCGATAACTCCTCCTAATCGGCCTCCCATCCGGCCCCACCCTCGCGGTAGCCGACATCCCTCGCGGAACCTCAACCGGCTGCGGCGCCCGTCGTGTCCCCGTCCCACGATACTCATCCACCCTCCCCGCCACCCGCTCGTCCCGATCCTCCTCAAAACTATACCCATCCTCACGCCCGCCAGGCGTATACGGCGGCGGCGGCCCCACGATCCGCTTACTTCCAAACCGCCCGGTCAACGAGCGAAATAACCCCCCCGCCTTCTTCGGCGGCCGTGACGCCGGCTCCGACTCCTCACCGTATCTCTCCCGCCCGTATCCCTCGCTGATGTCCTCACTAGCACCCGCACGCGACACGCCCCGCGGCGTGGTGGCCCGCGAATCAAACGCCCCGTCCTCCAGCCCGCTTGTGCGGCTGTGCTCCGCACGGCGGCGGCCAAGGCTCGCGAAGAGGGTTTTTAGGCGGCCATTGCGGCTAGCGGGGTTGATGTCGGGGGGACCGGAGTACCAGAGGGCGGGGACGAGGAGGCGATAGGGGTGGGTGATGCCGGCGGGGTCGCCGCGAGAGACTTCGACGTTGAGGGTGATGTCGAGGCCAGATTGGAGGTTGATGTGGTCGCCTGGGGGGGAAGGGGGGAGACCATCGCCGTGGTTGGTGAAGGGGTGGCTATCGCGGCGGGCGAGGTTGTTGCGCCGGCCGGACTTTTCGGAGAGGTTGGTGGGGCGGCGGTGGAAGGGCCCCGGGTGGAAAGGTTCTTCGGGGAAGTAGGAGTTGGAGGCGTCGGAGGGGCGGCGTGGGGGGAGCTGTTCAGCAGAGTGGGCACGATCGTGGGAGGACACTGGGTGGTTCTCGGATTCGCGCACGGAGGGGTGGTTGAAGAATGCGCGGGGAGGCGCAACGCTACGGGTGGGTCGCTCTGTTTGCGGCTCGCGGTCAGCGGGTGCGCGTTTGCGGGAGCCGGAGAGACGGCGGACGAGGCTCCCGGCTCCACGGGTCAGAGATAGGGATCGAGTAATGCCCCGACCACGACTTTCGCTGCGCGACCGGCTTGGGGACTGGTCGGCAGGTGATATTGGAGGCGGAGTGGGCGGGGGCGTCGAGCCTGGCTGATATTCGCGGATTGCGCACCAGTTCCTTCGCGGTAGCAAGGTTTTGTTATTTCGCGGCTTGCCGTCGCTGTCATGCGGGAACAGAGGTATCATATCCTCATCGGTGTCCGGATCCAGGTGGTGGATCTTGTTCCGACGATTCAGCACATCGGCCAGGAGGTCCGGTGGCGGCGTGTTGACGATGGAAGAGCTGACGATGTTGGGCATGTATCGATGGTCCTTGTCTTTCGGGATTCCGAGCTTCTTGTTGGAGTAGAACTGCCCGACCGCCGCGAGATGCACATCGCCGCCGAGAATTGTGATGCGAATGGAGTTTTCGGCGGCAAACTCTTGCAGTTCTTGGATGAGCCAGTTCCGCTCGTGCTTGTGGTGCTTTGCCGTCCAGTGGTCGTCTAAATCATCTAAGATTTCCACTCCACCATCGAACTTATTCACAAAGTTTCCAAGCTTACCAGTTCGCCCTAAGGCTTTGACGGGGTCCATCACCCGGGATGTTAGGACGTTCTCAAGGAAGTTGAGACGCGGGTACGCAATGGGCTATTCCGAAGTTAGTTTTCGCTACTTTGATCCCTTCCCTACGGGAGTACTTACCACTCCTAACAAAACGATCAAATGTTTCGTCTCACCCCGCACAATTTCCTTGTCAAGCCGGTCGAACACCAGATCATAAGTCTCCTGGGTTAAGACTGAATCCCGCATCCTCTCAGTCCTGCAGTCAAGCCCCAGGAACGCGATCTGCTTCCCGAAAGACAGGAACAAGTTCCGGCTCAGCTCCTGGATATAAGGACCAGGTTCTGCTCCGAGGATCCATGACGGCTCGTCTTTCTCTAGCTCTTGGGGAAGACTATGATGCTGGAAAAGCATGTAGTATTTGTAAGCGACGTTTCCGATGCCGGAAAACACTGGAGAGCTCATGAAATGGTGCGGATATGAACCGAACCCCTAGCCAACGTCAGTATCGTGAAACTTACCTAGGAGAAGTATGTCTCCAACTTACGTCGATTATGTCATGGTCATCCCAAATGTTCACCATAGGAATCATCCCCGCGGCCATCCCGAACAGCCCCTGCGAAAACCACATCGCATACCGATTCAGATAAAACTCCTCCAACTCCTCCTGCATCTCCGCACTAAACGGCCAATCCTCCTTCGCCCCCGGCCGCTTCACCGCGCACCACTCCGCCAACCGCTCCGTCTCCACCGTCGCCCGATCATTATACACCTGGTCCCCACCTCCCACCATCACGTGGAACGGCCGCAGCGTATGCGCATTCAACACGTCCCGCCATAGTGGATCCGGCCCGCCGAACTCCCGTGGATCCACCGAGACGCTAAACCCGTTGCACGAAGAGAACATGATGTTCATCGACTCACCGCGCGCCGGCACCCAGAATGGGATCGCTGGCCCGCGGTTGATGCGATACGCCACGCGCGCCGCCCGCGTTCCGAGCTCAACGCCGAGGTGGAACCGCCAGAACGTGACGCCGCGCTCCGCGTGCAGGCGCACGGCTCTGACTTCGCGGTATCTGCCGAGGTGGTCGCCGTCGCGGGTGCGTTTTTGGGTGCGGGTGGCGCCGGGGGTGGCTTGGCCGTGGGGGGGAGGGGAGGGGGTTTCTTCGAAAAGGCCGGAATCGTCTTCGACGCGGGAGAGGTCGATGCCTTCCGGGAGGTATTCGACGGGGCGGACGTAGAGGGTTTTGCCGATGCGGCTGCCTTTGATGGCGCCGGCGATAGGGTCGACGTATTCGGGGGCGAGTTGTTGCCCGTTGGTGGCGTCGAGGTGGGTTGGGGGTGGTGGGGGGAGTTCGGTTGGGGAGCTAAAGAGCCGGAGGGTGGGAGGGGTGGTGTAGGTGGACTGGTTGTCGATCGTGACGATCATGATGGTGCCGCGCCATGTCTCATGTTCGAGAAGTTCTCCATTTCGAGCTGTTGTCTGTTCCCGTTGGATGCCACAATATCTTAGCAGTGGGCCACTCTTGAGGTACAGCGGAGGGTTGAACAGTGTTCTTCCCGTTTCGTCTTTATACGGTCCTTCGTAAGTGTCGTAGGGTGCTGCGGCAGCCTGACCGGAGTGCCGACGGCGTTGTGATCCAGTGCTCTTCTCCCACCACGGGTCATTATCAACTCCAGCTTTTGGAGCGGCATTGTCCAGGCGGAAGTCATCGATGACCAGCGTTGCGGTTCCCGCTCTCCGAAATTCTTCAATGGTCGGGGTTTTCTGGTACCGTCTCTCTGGCTCATCATGACGGTGGAGGAAGTGATGATGGTGTTGTCCAGGTTGCTTGGGAGGCACAAGATGGTTGTCTCGTGCCATTGGTGCCGGGAGCGGTGCGTCCCGATGTTTCGACTGACTCATTTCATGTAGTGGACCGGTTCGTGTGCTTGTCACGCTAGGTTTAGGAGGATATGCAGGGTCATAGCCCTGGGATACAGTTCTCTGGGGTGGAGGTGCAGTTGGGGCAGATGACGGTCCCGGATCTCGAGATACATAACTATTCGGGCGGGGAGGCTGCTTCTGCAATTTCTTGCTTCCGCTTCGTGCGACTGTTACGTTCGGTGATTCGTGGGCGTGATATTGATTTGGCGAGTCCTGGGATGCGTAGAGACCTAATCCTGTGGCACCTGCCGCTCCAGTTGCAAGAGCACCTTGCGGAGGGGTTCGCGGTTCTTTGTGCTCGTAATCGTGTCTTCCACTGCTTGGGCGCGGCTTTGTAGAGACACTCTTTCTTGGTTGCGGCGCATATTGATCAACAGGCTCCACAGCATAAGGGACTTGTTGACTAGGCCCACTAACCGACCTTTGGGTTTGGGATCGCCTCGGAGGAGGAAGCACGGTCTGATCATGGTGGCTTGGAGCATGCTCCCTTTCAGGATCACGAACTGGTCCTGGATCCATATTTCCTCTCACTGGCATCGTAGCGGCCCGTCTGGGTTTATCGCTTCGGGAAGGCACTAAATTTTGTTGTTCACTGCCTCCCGTTGTCCTCTCAAGGGCGTCTCGTGTAGCTTGCCTCGACCTTTGTTTCTTCGCGTCGGACCGTTCTCTAGCCTCCCTCGCTCGTATTTCCGCTTCGGCAATCCGAGCACGCTTCTCTTCCTTACTGATGTCCCCAAGTTTGCCCTCTAGCTTTTGCAGCGGCGATCTGTCGGGGACGGATCCCCTTCTCGCGACGGTTTCGCCGCTCGCAACGCGGTCTTTTGGGTTCGCTAAACGCATACTAGAGGATGTCGCTTGTCCTTCCGGGGAAACCGGTTCGAACGGAGGATCTCGGTGTCGCGTGGCGCCAGTATCGATGTTCGGAGGTTGCGTTGCGATACGTGAGGAATACGATTTAGGATCACTGCGCCGTCGAACCGGCGCAGATGCAGATGGGCCAACAGAGTCTTTGTACGACAATGGCGGTCCTCCTCGAGGAGCATCGGGTGCAGCGGGCAGTTCTTCTAGAGCATAGTAGAGTTGGCTATCCCTTCGACGATGCGAATTGGAGCGAGCCGGAACATAAGACATTTCTTCACCGCCGGTCGCAGGTGCCTTTCCATGGTAGCGAGGCTCCTCTTGGTGTTGATATGCATTCTTTCGGACTTGCGCGGGTACAGGCACTCGCTCCGGGCGAGATCCACTGCTTCTCCGTTGGTCCATAACGAGTAGATGGATATGTGCAGCTTTCGGGTATCAATTAAACCAAGGGAATAAACTACTTCAATTACTATGAATAGCAGGGTCAGATATTTTCAAGGAATCAATAAGCGGGGGACATGCAAAGATGCCGTTCACAATATCAGTGTCTTCAAAGGGTGAGATTCAAGTCGTTGGTAGACGGGTTGCGACAGTGACGCTCAACTCATTGCGAAGACGAAAAATCGGGACAGAAAGACATCGGAAGGGGAAGCCAGGTATAGCAAAGATCATAACATCGTAAAATTCATTATTGAGTGGCTGGTAAATGGAGATGCGCCAGGTAGCGCAGTGATGAAGTGATGGATGGCCAGGAAATGCCAGGAAATGCCCCATAAACTCCAAAATGCACGATGAGATGGCGGGAAGGAGGACAGGGGGTGGAGAGATCTAGGATATGATTGGACTGTTTGGACGGCTAGAACTTGGCATTGATCAAGCCACATTGCCCACTTGCACCGCCACATAGCCACATAAACATGACACATCATATGATCATACACCGATACACCGAAGTGAGTGACCGTCACTGACCGACCACCGTAGTACCGTACACCGGTACACGAGTTGAGTGCTGAGTCAGCCCAATCTATTTGAGTCCATTGTGGCGTCTATTGTGGCGCCCCTTCTTGCTGGTCCGGCAGGTTAATGGACTCCCTCTTAAAGGACACTTGACTTCCATCATGATACTGGCTGAGTATCAATAAGAATCCCAGCCAAATCCGCATTGCTCCTGGAAAATTCCTCAATGCGGTGTCTTCCTATTCCATATTTTGTTGCTTCCACTTAAAGATTGTAATAATTCTACCCCTCTCTCTTCTCCCAGCTGATCTGATATCGCCGAGAATCGTCTTTCTGCTGCCTGCACTGGGTGCAATACCTTTGCTCAACCCCCTAGCCATCCGATCTATTCATCTGTCGAGGTGACATATCGGGATATATTCCACCTCGCGGGTTCTCTCGACTTCGACACATATCAACACCGATGCATCCTAAACGGATATGATTCCTCGGATATTCCTGGCGCTCTCCCTTTGGGTGACGGCCGTCCCTTCCATTGCCTCAGCGCATCAGGTACGCAATACGCGGGACCATGAACAAAACGATTATTATGCCGTCCATCTGGATGGCTCAACATCGCCCCGAGATTTCGCGTCACACTTGAACCTGCGCTATGAGGGGGAGGTTGGCGCCTTGGATGGACACCACGTTTTCAGTGCGCCACGGCACATTGCGGACGTGGTCGATGATGCGGTCGAAGAATTAAAGTGGAGGAGGAGGAAGCGGGAAGTGGATACGGAACGACATATCTTGGACGGAGTGCTATTAAACCAGAAACAAGCGCTGCGCCAACGGCTATTCAAGAGATCAGCGCTCCCCGTCGTGGAAAGCCCATCGAAGCGTGTGATCGTGGACTACGCAGGCAGCCTCGGGATTAAGGATCCCATCTTCGGAGATCAATGGCATCTACATAACCCTATCCAAGTGGGCAACGACCTCAATGTGACCGGAGTCTGGATGGAAGGCATCACGGGCAAGAATGCGACGGTGTGCATTATCGACGACGGGCTGGACCTGGATTCGGACGACTTGAAAGACAATTATTTCGCGGCGGGCTCTTACGACTTTAACGACAAAAGCGACGAACCGAAACCGCGCCTTTCCGACGATCGGCACGGGACCAGGTGTGCAGGCGAGGTGGCGGCGGTCCGGAACAATGTCTGTGGTGTTGGCGTGGCCTACGAATCGAGGGTGTCGGGGGTCCGCATCCTCAGCAAGCCCATTTCCGATATCGATGAAGCGGAGTCGGTTACGTTTGGATTTCAAGATAATGACATTTATTCATGTTCATGGGGTCCTCCGGATGATGGGAGGACAATGGAAGGTCCGGGAATCCTGATCAGAAGGGCTTTTGTCACCGCCGTTCAAAAGGGCCGCCAAGGCAAGGGCACCATATATGTCTTTGCCGCTGGCAACGGCGCCTCAAATGGCGACAACTGCAACTTCGACGGCTATACAAACAGTATCTATAGCATCACCGTCGGAGCCATCGATAAGATGAACCAACATCCCTATTACTCCGAACAATGCAGCGCGCAGCTCGTCGTCACCTACAGCTCCGGCGCCGGAGAAGCCATCCACACCACCGACGTCGGAAAAGACACCTGTACACGAGGTCACGGAGGCACATCGGCCGCCGGCCCTCTCGCAGCGGGAGTGTACGCCCTCGTCCTCGAACAGCGACCCGACCTCACCTGGCGCGACATGCAATACCTCACCATCCTCACCGCACAACCCTTCTACGACGGCAGCCAGCCGGAAGAATGGCAAGACACCGCGCTCGGGCGCCGCTTCCACCACCAATACGGCTACGGCCGCCTCGACGCCTACGCCATCGTCGACCTCGCCAAGTCCTGGGAGGTCGTCAACCCGCAAGCTTGGTTCCACAGCCCATGGATCCACGTCCGCCACGGGCTCCCACAGGGCGACCAAGGCCTCGCGTCGTCCTTCGACGTCACCGAAGACATGCTGAAGGACGCGAACTTCGAGCGCGTCGAGCACATCACTGTCACCATGAACGTCCCCCACCAACGCCGCGGCGACCTCTCCGTCGAGCTCCACTCCCCTACCGGCCTCGTCTCCTACCTCTCCGTCGACCGCCCCCGCGACGACGCCGCCGTTGGCTACGTCGACTGGACCTTCATGAGCGTCGTACACTGGGGCGAATCCGGCGTCGGCACCTGGACCATCATCGTGAAAGACCGCCACGTCAACGAGTTCGCCGGCACCTTCCAGGACTGGAAACTCCGACTCTGGGGCGAATCTATCGACGCCGACAAGCAGGGTCTCCTCCCGATGCCCCTCCCGGGCGATGACAGCGACCACGACGACGACCCATCCACCGTCACCGCGTCCCCCGACACCACGTCTGTCGGCGGGTCGCCCGTCACCTCGGTCCCAGGGAACCCCACTGACCACATCGACCGACCCAGCAAGCCCTCCTCCGCCGGCGCTCCTCCAAGCGACGCGCCCGAGGCGTCCGGCATCATCGGCGCGGACCCATCCGCCAGCCCCAGCGCCGTGCCCGACAGTTCCTTCCTCCCCTCCCCCTTTCCCACCTTCGGCGTGTCCAAGAAAACGCAGATCTGGATCTACGCCGCGATGGGGCTGATCGTGGCGTTCGTGATTGGGCTGTGCATCGCGCTGGTGGTCATCCGGTGGCGGAAGCGGCGGAATCCACGGGATGTGTATGAGTTTGACGTGTTGCCGGATGAGGAGGAGAGTGGGGAGCGGGAGGGGATGATTGCGCGGAGGGGGAAGGGGAGGAGGAGGAGGGCGGGGGAGCTGTATGATGCGTTTGCGGGGGAGAGTGAGGAGGAGTTGTTTAGTGAGGAGGATGAGGAGCCGTACCAGGATGAGAAGGTCGAGTTGAGCGACGCGGAGGAGGATAGCAGCGAGGGGAGTGGGAGCAGGGCACGAGGGTGAGATATTCCGGTTGGTTATTAGTTTCCTTGCTGTACTAGATTACTTGGAGTCAAGGGCATGCATGCATGTAGGTTATGCAAGACAATGCGTACCTGCGTCTCAGCGGCGCGGAAAGTTGTATTTATATACGATGTGGAAATTTCACGCGTCTTCCCCGATGATTTTTAAACACCCCCCAACCAACCCTCTCCCTCTCTCATCGAAATCTCATAATATCAATCAATCAAACGTCGTCTTCCTCCCCGCCCCCTCCACAATTGCCACGGACGCCCTCATCGGCGCCTCCGCGACATGCGGAGCTCTGGACTTCCGATTCTTCTTCTCGTGAGGCTTCCCGGCATACGAGTTCTCCGCTCGCGCCACATCGCCGCCCTCCTGCTCGCCTGAGCCCGCCTCACGGGCACCACCACCATTGGCCGCGAACGGCTTCCGCTCCCCTTTCGGTCCGCCATACCGCTTCTTATACCGCGTCTCCGCGTCCTCCGCGAACTCGCACCGCATCGGCCGGCCGGCGATCCGTTTGATATTCTTCCGGCGCATCTTCTTCGCCACCTTGACCTTCGCCTCTCCCTCCTTTTCTTCGTCCTCTTCTTCCTCCTCAGACTCTTCGCCCTCCTCGGGCACCAGCACCCACCCCTTCACCGCCGCCTCCGCGCCCTCCAGCTCCTCGAACGTCACCCACGCATACCCCTTACACTTCCCTGAGTCCTCGAACGTCGCGACATGTACCATCGCCACCTCCCCACACTGCCCAAAATGCTCCAACAGATCCTCCCTCGTCACATCAAACGACAGATTCCCGACAAACACCCGCTTATTCGGCTTCTTCCCTGGATCCGCAGCACTCTGCGCCCCCCCCTCGGCCCCATTCTCCGTTTTCACCACCGCCGGCCGCCCCTCGAAGTTCGTCGCATTCTTAATCAGCACGTTCCGCCCGTCCAGCTCCTTCTCCGACAGCGCCAGCGCGGCGTCGAGGGCCTCCTGCGACGAGAAATCGACGTACGCGAACCCCTTGTTCTGCGGCGGCGGCCGCACGGAGTTCGGGTGCGGTAGGTCGGCTTTCTTGGGGGGTGGGAGGTGCACGCGGGTGATGACCGCGTCGAGGACGCCGTTGTCGTTAAAGAAAGCGCGGAGGAGCGGCTTGGTGGTGGTCCAGGGGAGGTTGCCGATCCAGATGCCGTAGGGGGAGCGGGTGTGGTTGGGGTTCTTAGGTTCAGGGGCGGAGGGGTCGGTAGTTTCGAGGGTTGTGGAGGATGTGGTGGGGGCGGACTTCTTGCCTTTGCGGGCGGCCTTTTTGGAGGAGGGGGTGGGGAGGGAGAGGTCGACTTCGATGGGTTCGAAGTCTTCATCGCGCTTGCGTTTGAGGGTGGTGTCGGGTTCGGCCATTGTATCTTGAGACTGAATACAGCCTTGGGATTGATACAGTTGTGAATTTATAGAAATATTGGTTCGGATACAGGTGGTGTTCGTAGTCAAAGTTGGTTGAGATGGTGCAGATGAAGTTTGAATTTTAATGAATTTTTGTTTTTCCGATTCGGGACTAGCGCGATGGACAGGGTTCGCCCAAGCCGATTGAAGCAGCACAGTCAACCAGCCGGTTGGATTCGTCCAGGGGGTGAAATTACGTACTGCTTAAAAATTCGTAGGAATGAAAGTCAAGCAATTAGATAACAATGCTTGGTGCGTAGAGACGCCTACTGGTCTACAAGATTTGCAGCGGTGGGCACAGGAACAGGCAGCCTCGAAGGTTCCATCCAAAGGAATGGACAACTCAGGAACAATGGAAGCGATCACTGTCTACACACTTGAACATGCAGTGATACTCTACAGAAATCGGAGCACAAAGGCATGCTAGGACAATTATAATTTCCTGCGTGAAGAAACGGAATCCACAGCCGTTATCTGCGTATCATCCAGAGGTATCTCAAAGTAAATTAAAATAAGCATCTCCCCCATCTACACCGTCTTCCCCTCTATATTCGCGATCGCCGCCTGCAACGCGCTCGTCAAATCCATATGGAACAGTGGCCGATTCAACCCATGCACCACCGCGACTTTCCGATCCGTCGTCTTCACCGTCCCATACGCCTTCGTCGAGCTCAGCGTCTTCTCCAACGCCTCCGTCACCGCGTCGTCCTCCGAGCTCGACTGCCGCGTCACCGCATCCGCCGGCAGCGCCGCCACCACCGACGCCCGCCGCTGGTTCTCCTCGTCCTCGCGGTTCCGGTAATCCGCTGCCACCGCCGCCGAATCCGATCCACCGATCTCCGCCACCGAGAAGATCGGCTTCCAGTGTCCCGCGCTGCCGTCCTTGAACGCCGAGGTCGGGAGACCGAACCCGGCGGCGGCAAGGGCGCGCTTCGTCCAGCGGTTGTTAATGCAGGCAAAGTGCCAGTCCACGAGGTCGGGGGTGGCGTAGCGGTCGAGCTGGTTGCGGACGTCGATGAGATTTTGGACCGAGGTCACGTCGACGTTGTTGACGGAGGAGAAGTCGAGGATGATAGCTTTGAGGGTGGGGCGCTCGTCTTCGACGACACCGCCGGCGGCGTCGATTCGCTTCATTTCGCTGCGGGATGGGCCGGGGTCGTTCCATGGACGGTCCTGTGATGATGTTAGTTGACTGGATAAAGGGTTGGGAGTTGAAACAACGTACTCCGAGGCGGCCATAGGAATGTGGGTCGGTCCTTCGGGTCTCCTTGAAGATCGAGGCAACGAGATAGTCGAGATAATGATTTGCGTTGGGATAGTTGTATCCCTCAGAGAATCGATAGATGAAGATCCCTGGGTAGGGCGCGCTGACTTCAACGGTCGGATTGCTGCCGTCTTTGTGGTCGAGCGGTAAGAAAATGTTTCGGGTGTTCTCCTCCGGATCGCCTTTGGGAAGTTGCTTCAGTCGAGGCTTTCCTGACGACTGATCCGGGTTCAGAAGATGGTCTCCGATCACGGAGTGGACCTTGACCTTGCCGAGGAATCGACCTTTGGCCTTGAACATCCGGAAGAGCAACATGGCAGCAGAAATCGCGATGGTCGTGTAGATACCATTCTCAATGGAGGTAAAGATTGTGACGAAAACACCAGCGAAGAAGATCGGAACTTCCAGTGGGGATATCCGCCAGAATTGATAGACAGTATTGGGTGGGGTGATGAGGTCGCCAACAGCGTGGATGATGACAGCTGAAAGGGAGGCATTTGGGATGTAGAAGAAGACCGCAGGAAGTGCATAGATGGCCAACAAGACGATTATCGCGGTAATAACACCGGCAAATGGAGTTCGCACGCCAGATTTGCTCTTGATTGCCGTTCGACTAAACGAACCAGTGGCCGGGTAACCACCTAAAAATGGACCCAGCAGGTTGGTGACGCCGATGGCGACTAGTTCCTGGCTCGGGTCAATGGTATAATTGTTGATGCGGCCGAAGGATTTGGAGATGGAAATGTGCTCGATCAGCAAAACGATGACTGCGGCGGGAATTTCATTGGTAAAGGTGCGGATGATGGTAGAATTAAGCTCGGGAACCTTCGCGTGTTGGAAACCTATAATGTGATTAGCGTCTTTCCTTCTTAGTAGTTTGCCGACATCACTTACCTCTAGGCACATTCCCGAGGATTCTGAACCGAGGGTTATCCCTCCTGTGTAGATTCGTCGCTGCGCTGATCATCGTGTAAAAGAGGATGACGAACGCAGTTCGAAGAGTCGACAGGAAGAAGTATAGCTTCGCACGATGCGGCTGCTTGCGTGCGGCGTAGCCGCATGTAAAGCGGATCAGATATAGCAAGAATAATGCACTCAATCCCATGGCGGCATTGATGTTCGTCCGGGGCAAACCCTTCAGCGTATTGATGATCACCTGATAGGTGGCATCTCGAGTGGAGAAGCCGGAGATGCCCATCATCGCAGGGACTTGACCTGCTGCGATACTGATGGCGGATCCGGTCATGAACGCAGTGATAGCGGTGAGAGAAATGAACTCAACCAACCATCCCATACGCACCAGTCCGAGGAAGGTGACAATCCCACCGCAAATGATTGCGAGGGCGGATGTGACGATCCATGGCGGCATATCTGGGATTTGCTCCTGAGCTTTAATGACAACGTTGCCGGTGACGGTAGACAGGACTGCGACTGGTCCGATGGTGATGTCCTTCGAGGTCGCGAAGAACCAATAGATCAAGACTCCCATGAAAGAAGAGTAGAGTCCGAATTCGACTGGTAGTTTGGCCAATTCTGCGTATGCCATACTTTGCGGAACGACGACAGCGCCGACAGTAATGCCTAAAACATGTTAGCCAAGTCAACCTTTGAGAATCCCAGCGATCCTTACCAGCAATAAGATCTCCAATGAGCCATTGTAAATTGTACCGGCCGATCCATTTCAGGAAGGGGAAGAGGTTGATGAAATACTGGACGACAGTTTGGCCGGTAGGAGCAACTTGTCGAAGCCACTCGGCGACGGTTGGTTCTTCTTCAACATATGTATCGGCGCTGGTGACCGAGAAGACTGATTCACCACGCGTCACCCTCTCATTGTGGACAGGGTCCTCCAACTCGATTCCTAAACCCTTCGCCAGCCCACGGCCGACTTTGGTCCAGGTATCGGTGGACTTAGTTCCATCTTGAGACATCGTTGTCGATGTTTCGAAATCAGATGTCAATGGAGTCGCATAAGATGTAGATCATAAAAATGATTGAAATGATTCGGGGAAGGCCAGGTTTATAGCGGATCGACGTGATCAATGCTCAAGACCAGACCTAAGAACCAAGGGTCTCCGATGCAGGCCTCAGTCGCGTGCGGCGGACTGGGTAAGGATATTGCACCTGCTCGATGGGACGGGCTAGATCGTGGGGCGTAGTTACGTGAGAGCCTCCAAGTGGGGGGATATGCTTTTCAGGGTGAGGCTATTACGATTCCATTTCGTAAGATTCCAAGCCACATATAATATCCTGCAGAGGAGGCTTGATGGCGAGCTATTGCGACTCGGCAAATCCCGAGGAGAAGCGAGCTGTTCGGGGATTGATGAAGGCTGAGATTCAGGGGATTCGTTTGGAAAGAGAGAGGATGGCGCAAATCTCGAGGTCAAATCGATGATAGAAATGAGTTAAGGTCGACGCGTCGCAGACGTCATAAGGACAAGCATATAGCGTTTAGTGCCAATTCAAGCGGCGAAAGATAAGCAAACTTGTAAATCTCTTGACTTCCTAGACGTCTTGGAGGGATCTAGTGAGAGAGAAAAGATCATGCAAAGGACATGCAATCCAACACGAGAAAGAAACAGAAATCCCACGAGCCAGGTCTAGCGAACTTTGAATCGGACCAGTGAATTGGAACCGCACGGTCTGCACCCTAAACTAGGCCACAAGATATGTCTTACCTCAGTTACAGGTGGTCATACCGTGGTACAATCTTAGTACATAGTGATAAATTGTACCTGATGACATTTGAAAGATGGGCCAATGAACGGGAATGAATGGGGTGGGAGAAAAACAAAGCATGAAGCGAACAGGGGTTTTGGCGGGCCTCCCGCGAGCACGACATTTCGCATCATCGCGCTGGACAGAACGATCGACCACAGTCACCACACATTTGACCTGATTCCTCCTGGTTCACCGGAGAACGAAACTTTGGAGTATCTTGAGGCGAAAGTTGTGTTGAGCAATGATACGCCACTGGTCCAAAAACTGGGGAACTTACGCTTCAATCGGTGCGAATCCGCGTATCGCTTCGATGCATCTCTTGACCATCTTGAACAGTGCATATCCCCTGGCTACATCTGCAATGGCCAAGGGAAGCACGCCAGGGCCAAGCGCGGGCGTTTCCATTGGCATTGCATAAGAGCTGAAGGGCCGCCATTGTTGCGAACGAAAGAAATTAAACCCCCAAAAGGCTATTGAGGAATAATGATCTCTTTGTCTGATGTTTCGACTTTGAGGTTGAAAGAGACGCTTGGAAGGTCCACTCCCATGGCCCAAGGATCCAATCGCAGGCACGTGACTAACTTGTTTTCTTTCATGCCTGAGGCATCAAGTCCCTAAGGCTCTAAGGCAAACAGGGTATTGTTCGGACAGGGCATGGAGACTTTGGAGAGACCAGCCGATGACGTACCTGTCCCCAGATCTGATGTTTGTGCTTTGTGGTATTGTGCTGCTAACCATGACTGGTGTCTTTTGGCCAAGTGCTCCTCAATCCTGGCAGTGTAAGGGAAGTATGAGAGTTGATGACGAAATATCTGTACCTCTCAAAATTCTGTCGTATCCTTTGATGCTGACGGAACAGTACCATGGCGACCACCGCATGTGGTTCAATTTCGCTTTGAGTACTTGTCAAAACTGTGCTACTCGACATTGAGAGCATAATTCGACGCTCCGTCCGTCCAAGTGAGAACCTCTTTGTTAAGGTTCAAACAATTGTCCATTGTATACGCTTGTTGATTCGAGGCATTCCTCTCCTTTCACACCAGTTTACCAGGCGACTCGAACAAAACGTGTCAACTTGCGTCATTCGCCCACAGAGTGGCATCTTGCTCTTCGTTCCATGTCGGTAACAATGAGGTTCGGATCCGAGACATCCGGCCCGATATTGCCTCGTTCCCGTAATAGCAAATACGATGAGATTGATTTCAGCGTCACCTTCCATTCGTGGAGCCGAACACACCGTCCACGGGGTCAGTGGCTCGCTTGAGACGACCAAACTTCTTCCGAGGAGCTTCAAATTGATCACGGCATTTGATATGCGCCGAGAAATCTTGGAGGTGCTTAATTTGGGCGGGGAACACCTTCGTCCCAGGGATTCGAAGGTGGCATTGGAAGCGGTGCGGAATAGAGTATGGTACGATAGAGTTGGAGTCCGACTGAAGATGTGAGTTCGGAGATTATAGTTAAATTTAACGTTAATTTCGGAGCTTATACGAACAGGGATATTATTGCCTTGTGGTGACGGGGATGCGGTCCGCCCTCGTCAAATATATTGTCAGCTTCATGCCGATTCGTCCATACACAATATCGCGACTAGTGCCTCGGTCAGATTGTACGATGATATGCCAGATAGCCCCAGATAAAGACCAGATGGTCGCATGGCTTTATTGCACTCAAGCTTTGAGCCGCCCGATGGACGCGTTCGAAATGTCACACGAGGATGGCATTTGTCATGCCACGAGTTCTAGCGTACCCGGTATGAATCAGATGCAGGTCGATATTACAAAGATAGAAGAAAAGAGAGCTATATTGTGGTTTGATAAGGGCAAGCGCCCCATGACACGATGGTGATAACGCCGCTGAGATGTTGCCATGCAGTCCAAGACTTGAAGAATTTGACTTGAAAAGAAAGACACTGGTAACACGATGGTGTGAAATTCATCTCCGGTTACTATACCAGTCACCAAATGATACGAAATCATTCCCCTAGGCATCACACTGCTTTGGCCGCTGGAATGTACAGAAGATCTGATGCCATCGCCATAGCCTCATCGCCACGAAATGCGCATTGTGGCAAGTGTGAAATCGCAGCAGCATGTCCACGCATATTGTAGCCAATTTCTCGTTCGTTCCAGCCCAATGTATGTATACTTATGTATATTCCGCCAAGTACAGGACCACGAGGTTGAAAGGAAGGTGGGGAGAGTTCATCTATTCGAAAGGTGGCAAGGAGACAAGCAAGGGGACAAGCAAGGGTGGAACCTGGGGAAAGGGCTTAACTAGCCAATCAGAAACCCGTATTCCAAGACAAGCATTGCTAAGGGCAGCGTCTTCCATCAACGTCACTCCAACTCGAATCTATCCTCGACAACCTTCCCCCCTCCTGTGTAACAAGATTTAATATCTATCCCTGATTGGCATTTACCCGTCATGGCCGCTGCTGCTTCGGACTCGGCACCAACGCCGTTGATAATGGAAGATTCCAGCGCCTGCCGTTGGGTGGAAAGCTGTCCGTCTAGGCCGCCATGACGTTTGCGAGATTTATGCGAGAGGCGGATGGGAAAAGGCGTGCAAATTTCTTACGTTTTGACTCATGCAGGCAGATTCTGTCAATGAAAATACATCGCACAATACACGCAGACCGTATTAAACCCAGTGACAGTGTTTCTTTCGGAGTCTCAAACATTCTATCGCATCGGTGAATCACGCGGAGGAAGTTCATTGGCATGTCAATTTCTCCATACAGCCCGATATTAAGTCTCACTTTATCCCTCCCACCATCTGTCTCCGCTTCCATATAAGCCGCACTTTATTGTATTACTGCCCTGTCACCGCGGAAGCATTCCTCAATCTCCATTCTAGTTGCCAATCTATGACAGGGACGCCCCGTTTGATCAACTCACGCCACGGTTCCCAATTTTGCCATGGCAGATTCTAAGCATTCCGGGCCTTTGAAGCCGGGGTCACAGCAATCAAATAGTAACGGGGACGCTGCCAATATGATAAAACATCGCCGTGGTCAATCTGTCCCTGAACGGATGCCTGCAGAAACGGTTTCTTGCAGTCCTACATCACCGTTCCGGTCCGCCACACCTTTGAAAAAGCCCTCTCCGGCCGTGGACGACAAGGCAGAGGACCTCACTACTACTCTCTATATCACGAACCTGCACTGTCCTTCCTGTGTTGTGAATATCAAGGACACGCTCGGGTTACTCGAACCAGCGCCGACTGGAGTCTCCACATCCATCATTTCTCATTCCGTAATCGTCCATCACTCCTCCTTGCTTCGGACGCAAGACATTTCGACCTCCCTCGAAAACGAAGGGTTCGACATCCATAGCATCTTTCAGCGGACCCCACGAGGCCAGGAAGAAGTCCAGGTTGTCTCCTCGGCCAACACTGGCGACGACTGGGAAAATAGCTTTACCGAAGCGGTAGCTCGATGGAGACGCTCATTCCGCGAGCATAAAGGACTTCGCTCGCCGCGGTCGAGTTACTTGGACGAGTACTCGATTACCTCATACTACGGCCGAAACGAACAGCTGGACAGGATGGGAAAAGAAATGAAACACTCCGAGAACTGCGCTGAGTGCCGGCAGGAACGGGGGCTGGAGAAAGCGTCGAACCAACCGACCGATATCGTGCCGTTGCGGCAGGTCGCCAGCTTCAATGACCGACCTCGTGGGCTTGCGCCACAGGCGTCGTTTGATACTCAACATTACCGGCCATCGACGGATACAACATACCTTCCTTCGGGGGAAGAGGCGAGGGCCAAGGCCTTGGCCAAAAAGGAGATTTCAGTTATCGTTGACCCGACCTCAGCAGCAGGGACGTTCAAGGCCGACATCAGCATCGTTGGTATGACCTGCTCTGCATGTGTCGGAGCCATTACGAATGCTGTGGAGGAGCTTCCGTTCGTTCGAACCATCAACGTCTCGCTCCTCACCCATAGCGCCACCGTGGTCTTCGAGGGTAACGATCATGCTGAACAGGTCAGGTCAACCATTGAAGATGCAGGATTCGACGCAACCATCGAGGGGCTGGAAGAGATCGGTGGAGCGAAAAAGCGGAGGACGCTGGTGCTCGAAGGCGGCGGCGATGTTTGGAAAGCGACCTATATGATTGGCGGCATGACGTGTGCTGCATGTGTCGGCAATGTCAGCACTGTCGTTAAGCAGCTTGACTTCGTCAACCAGGTCGATATCAACTTGATCCAGAACAGTGGCGTCGTCGAATTCAAAGGAAAGGACAATGTGGGGGCGATCACCGAAGCGATCGAGGACGCGGGCTTCGACGCGACGCTGGAGAACATGGTCAACGCAGCGGCAGCCGAGCAAGAAGAGACATATCGAACCGTTTCCTTCCGAGTCGACGGCATGTTCTGCCATCACTGCCCCACGCACATAGTCGACGCGCTCGAGCAGGAGTTCAAGGGCAAGATATCGCTCGAGAAGATCGCGACCACCGCCGATCCGATTTTCGAGGTTCAATACGCTCCACACGCCCCGCACTTCACGATCCGAACCATCTTCGACCTTGTCGCATCCGTCAACCCGGAATTCAAACCAACCCCCTATCATGCTCCCACCTTAGAAGACAGGAGTCGCGCATTGCATGCAAGAGAGAGGCGTACCATCCTCTTACGCCTCGCATTGTGCGTCACGGCGGGCATCCCAGCCTTCATAATCGGGATCGTTTGTATGAGTCTGCTCCATCACGACAACGCCGTTCGAACATTCATGATGGCGCCGATGTGGACCGGCACCGTTTCTCGATCCGAATGGGCGCTATTCATCCTCGCGACGCCGGTATATTTCTTCGGAGCCGACATCTTCCACCGCAAAGCCATAAAAGAAGTCAAAGCGATGTGGCGACCGGGAAGCAAGACGCCGATGTGGAAGCGGTTCGTCCGGTTCGGAAGCATGAACATGCTGATGTGCTTAGGGACGTCGATCGCCTACTTCAGTAGCATCGCGGAGCTGATCATCGGCGCGCTGGAAAAGCCGAAACATGGTGGTCACGATATGAAGGATATGAAGAGAGCTGTGTTAGCCGTCTTCAAACGTCAGGATGATATGCCCGCTGGACATTCGCATCCAACAGAGGGAGATGCAACAGAACCTGAACCAGCAGCGGCTCAACCACCGGCGGAATCGCCTGCCCAGCAACCACCGGCGGAATCACCAGCTCCGCAACCAGCAGCGGAATCACCAGTCCCACAACCACCAGCAGCGGAATCACCAGCGCCGATGCCAACGGACATGGATATGATATGGACCTCGATAGGACTCTCAACACTAACGTCTGGTCCCACCGCTGCCCCCACACCGGTCCTAGGGATTGACGATATGTCTTCCCATTCAGGTCATTTAATTGAGACCGACACTGCTCCAAGTCCCTTTGCTGCAACAGCCACAACTATCGACACCCTTTCCTCCCAAATGCACAGCGGTCACAACATGCTTCCGACCGCCTCTGCTCTTCCCGGTATGGGCGGCATGGCCAACTCCACCCTTCCCAATGCCTCCGGAGGCACCCACAGCATGGACGGCTCCGGTATCTACTTCGACTCCGTCATCTTCCTCACCATGTTCCTCCTCATGGGCCGCTTTCTCGAGGCATACAGCAAAGCGAAAACCGGCGACGCCGTGACCAACCTCGGCAACCTCCGTCCCTCCGAAGCCATCCTCGTCGAATCGACCAACGTCAGCGGCCGAAAGATCCCCGTTGCGCTGCTGGATGTCGGTGATGTGGTGCGCGTGCAGGCCGGTGGCTCGCCTCCGTTCGATGGCATCATCATTGACGGCTCGTCACGCTTTGACGAGAGTAGCCTAACGGGCGAAAGCCGACCAGTACAGAAGGAGATCGGCGACACCGTGTACAGCGGTACGGTGAACCGGACGGGGCCGGTGAGCATGAAGCTCACGACAACGGACGGGTCGAGCATGTTGGATCAGATCATCAAAGTGGTGCGGGAAGGGCAGACACATCGCGCGCCGGTGGAGCGCGCGGCCGACATCATCACGTCGCATTTCGTGCCATTCGTAATCTTGGTGGCGATCGTCACCTGGACGGTCTGGCTCGCGACGGGCATGGCGGGCTTGTTGCCGGATTCCTATCTGGACAACAGTCAGGGCGGCTACCCGCTCTGGAGTCTGCGGTTCGCCATCGCGGTCTTCGTCGTCGCGTGCCCGTGCGGCATCGGACTCGCGGCGCCGACGGCCATGTTTGTGGGCGGTGGGCTGGCGGCTAAGTTCGGCATCCTGGTCAAGGGCGGCGGCGAGGCATTCCAGGAAGCCAGCGATCTCGACGTGGTGGTGTTCGACAAGACGGGGACGCTGACGGAGGGCGGGGACCCAAAAGTTACGGGATGGAAAATGACCAGCGACGATGACGCCGACGAGGTGTTGGCGATGGTGAGGCAGGTTGAGAGTGGGAGTGGGCATCCGGTGGCGAAAGCGGTGATGGACTTCTGTGAGGAGCGACTCGGTATAAAGAGCCCGAGTAAGGATACGGATGGGGAAGCAGATAAAGAGATGGACATCTCGGATTCCAAACCAGGTGCGAAAGCCGCACTGGATGAATTGGAAGTGAGGGATGCTGAGGAGGTGCCGGGGATGGGAATGACCGCATCATTCGCCCTTCCGCTGGGAGGCCTCGCATCAGATGGAGCGCAGAAGTCAGGGGCCTTGCTTGACGTCGATGTCTTGGTCGGCAATGAGAGACTACTTGAAGAACACGATGTCGGCATCGACGAGCACAGCTATGGTATTCTTCAGGGCTGGAAGAGGCAAGGCAGGAGTGTTGTCCTGGTGGCGTTGCGTGCAGCTTATACCACGCCTGAGGAATTAAGGGTGAAGTCGGAGGCCAAACGGCAGTCCATCAGCGAGAAGCCATCGACAGAAAACCGTCGGTTTCGATCGAGCAACAACCCTTTCAAGGCGGATGCAGATCATGGTGCGCCTCTGCGACCCCCGAGGCCTTCATACTTACGAGAATCTCGCGGGCCGGAAACTTACTCGATGAGCGACTACGGTGACGAGCTCCAGCCTGGGTTAGGTAGCCTACCAGGGAACCGCAGTGGCACATTCTACCCCTCTGGTGCCGACCTCCCTCAAGGCGACCCGTCCATCGGCACGGGTAGCTACATGCCTCAATCCACCTATTGGGACGCTCACGACACCTATAACTTCCCCCTCCCTCCCACCAACAACTCCAAAACCGAGCGCTACTCTCGCAACCCGCCTCAATCCATCCGCTCATCCATCCATTCCACCGTGGGCACCGGCACCTACATCCTCACATCCCTCTTCGCCATCTCCGACCCTCTCCGCGACGAGGCGCCCGGCATCGTGTCCGCCTTAACCAAGCGCGGAATCGAAGTCTGGATGCTCAGCGGCGACAACCCCACAACCGCGCAGGCTGTCGCGGCGCAGGTCGGCATCAAGCCCACGAACGTCATCGCCGGTGTCCTCCCGGAACAGAAGGCCGAGAAGATTAAGTGGCTCCAGAAGACGGTACCGGCGCGGAAAAAGAACAAGAAGAAGCAGCGGAGCCAACGGAAACGCAGCAATGAGTCAACAGATGCCGAGGAATCCTATCCCGCTGGCCGCGCCACCGTCGCGATGGTCGGTGACGGCATCAACGACTCCCCCGCCCTCACCATGGCGGACGTGGGCATCGCCATTGGCTCCGGCAGCGACATCGCGATCTCCTCCGCGGACTTCATCCTGATCCACTCGAAGCTGTCGTCGGTCCTCACACTGATCGATCTGTCGCGCAAGGTGTTCCGACGGGTGTGGTTCAACTTCGGGTGGGCCTGTGTGTACAATCTAATCGCGATGCCGGTGGCGGCGGGGGTGCTGTATCCGGTGGAGAGCAACGGAGCGCACGTGCGGTTAGATCCGGTGTGGGCGAGTTTGGCGATGGCGTGCTCGAGTTTGAGCGTCGTAGGAAGTAGTTTGGCGTTGCGGTCGAGGCTGCCGGGGTTGGGGTTCAGGTATAAGAAGTGAGGAAGGGATAGGTATTCGGGTTGGGAATAGGGTTTCTTTGATTATGATACTACCGGGTTGAGGGGCCGAGTGTATCATTGGCAGGGAGTACAAACGATTTTGCTAGGTGCATTTCGGCAAGGCGTCAGAGCATCAGATACCATCAGCACTCGGGATGTCGAGGTCGATCATGCGATAAAGGAGTTGCATCCGCATGATGAAACCTGGAGTTTCGTTCGGGATTTCTAGTCTGTCATCACGGAAGAATGAATCTTTTTTGTATCTCAATGTCGCTTAATTCCCGTCTCCGCATGGTTGATCCAGTGATACACATGCACGTCGAGGGTGTCGCACGTGGAAATAGATTCATATTAACTCAGCCATGGACTCGGCACCGGACATGCGGGGAAAATATATTAACATTTCACCCATATTTTCCCGTACATATCTGTTGCTATGCCAATTTCCGCGTACCTTACACATAGATACGATACCGTGATAGGAATCTCGAAACGGAATAAGCAACACGGAGCCTCTCGGCCTTCAGGGACGAGCCGTTGAAACTTGAAACTAAGATTACGAAACGCCACAGCAACCCAGAGCGTCGCAAAAGTGTCCAAAACATCCGTCTTGCCGCTTGCGTCTTCCAGAAGCCAAGGAGGCCGAGATCCTGGTCGACGATCGGCGACGCCTGCGAGTTCATTCCCTTATTCCGAGTCGTAGGCGCAGGAATTCATCATCACCTGCATCCTCCGTCTTCCATCGCAGTTCACCTTGTTTGTGCTGTGATTCTTCGACCATATACATCCGCTCCTTCAGTCATAGATTCCATCTCAAACTGATTCTGGACAACCGACTTTTGAAAGATTTCGGGAACTTCAAAATCGTGGTTTGTTGAGTGTATATCAGGACACAGTATCGGTTCGGAACTGGACAGACGAGACTACGTGGTGCAGTCGGGCGCACTTGGACGTTCACAAACAAATACCGTCACGAGGTATATGGTGGATGAGTCGCCAGGAGAGTGCAAGAAGTTCCGGTGGTGATGGAGTCAGTTGTGCAGCATGGCTCGCCGCTTGCTGCCTATCTTGAAGGTATGTTGGGAATATGAAAAGTGATATATCCAACCACGAGACCAAAGTGAATCTCACACCGTTGGTTTCGTTGACAAAATCACCCTCCGGTTCAATTTCACTTCCTATCGCAAATACTGACCCTTCGCAAACAGACTATTCCACCAACTCGCCACATCCCTCCACCTCGTCAGATGTGACGCCTACATCCGTCACCTCCCACCTCCAAACCCTCCTTGCCCACCTCTCTCCACATCTCCACCTCTCCATCCCTTCACTCTCCCAACTAGCCGACTCCCTCCCGACCAACATGTCCCTCCTCAACCAACTCCGCGCCGCCATCCGCGAGGCCGAAGGCGCCAAGTTCCTCGAACAATTCCGCTACATCCTCGCGACGTCGCCGTTGCTCGCCGCGGATGGAGCGGCTTCCACGTTTCCGGTGGAGATACCAGGATGGGTGAAGGAGGTAGGCGGAGCGAATGGGAAGAATCAGTTGGAAAGACTATCCAGTGGCCAGGTGCTGGCGAGGGGCCTGGATGTGCATGAAGTGGCGGCCGTTCCGGTCGTCGCGTGCGTGATCGCGGCGGCGGTTAAATGGGCGCATACGGCACAGGGTTGGAGTTTGGCACGGTTATGCTTCGCGATGGTGTTGTCGTGGGCCCTCGTCACGGTGGGATATCTCTACATTCGACAACAATGGCTAGAACATGTTCGGAGGCGGGCGGTCGAAATTGCCCAACAGATGCTCTCGGCTATGACGGTGTTTGATGAGGCTGGGAGAGAGACGCTGGGCATATTGAATGACGTGGAGGAGATCGCTGCAGACAGAGATGACCAGAAACCCCGACTGCTGTCGTTGAGAAGATGCTTGAACAAAGATCTTGGCGGACTGCTAACGATGTTGCTCGATATGACGGATGATTTCAAGCGGTATGCGGATCACGAGAAAGAGGTGGATAAGTACCTCGAAATCTACGAGGTGCATGAGCAGGATATCAGCGAAGCGCGATTCGGTTCACAAGTCCGCGAGTCATGGAGTTCCGAAGATGAAGGCTCGGGTTCATCACCCGATGAGGAAGTTCCTTCAGTCCGCGATCTCGCAACTCTCTGGTACCGACACGTCACCCTTCGTCGAGTTCTACTCTGCATCCTGCTCGCGATGCCATGCTCGGGTTCCTCACCCACGGAATCGAAGCGCTGGGGCCGCATCTCCGAATGCATTCAATCCCTCACCAGTCTCCTTACGAACGACGCGAGCAACCTGCGCTCCACGCTTCAGTCCCTCAACGGCGCTATCCCATCGCGTCCCAGCAGCGTCGCTTCGCCATTACGACCGATTTCCGAATCCGCTTCTCCCGGTGCAATTCCCACCACACCGACCAGCCGCCTTCGACCCGCGTCCATGAACTTCCTACTCTCTTCCCAGCCAACCAATATCCCACCCCTCCCCACCACACCCTTCCGCACGCTCAACCCCATAACCACCTCCCTCCGTACCGCCCTCGCCCGCATCGCCGTCATCAAAGACGACGCCAACACCCTTTCTACCCCATCCACCATCCCATCACTCTCCCCAACCTCGCCCTCCACATCCACCCACCCCACCGACCCCACCCTTTCCACAGCCCTCACCCTCCTCTCCCACTTCCAACACCTCCACTCCGACCTCGCAGACCTCCAATCCCTCACCACCGCCGCCACCCAATCCCTCAAAGACTACGTCGACCGCCTCTCCCCCCCCTCCATCCGCCGCGCCTCTTCCCTCCGCAGCACCTCCTCCCTCCGCTGTCCCCGCCGCCCAACCCGCGTCGTCAGCCTCGGCGTGCCGACCACCATTAACCCCACCATCTCGCCCCCTTCGTCCACGAATCCCGGCAATTCCCCCGCGTCGACCATCCCCGCCCCGCAATCCGCCATGGACCGCAACCTCCGGCGCCGCAGCACCATGACCAACCCTAGCCAGCGCTGGAGCCTCGGCAGTGTCCCCGACCGCGGGCTGATCCCCGGCCTCGACCCTGGCCACCGCGCGCGGTACCGAGTAAGCTTATCTGGCGTGACAGCAGTCGAGTCGGACTTCGCGTCGTCGTCGGCCGCGTCGGATGCGCCGAGTCGGTGCGTGAGTGGTGGGAGCGCGGATGGGAGTAGTGTCGGGGAGGTGGTGGAGTGGGAAGATGTGGAGGGGGAGGGGCCACGGGAGGCGTTAAGGCGGTTGGAGGGGATGGTGGAGGCGCGGATGTTGTTGGGAGAAAAGGAGGAGGTAGGGAAGGAAGAGGAGGTGTTCGAGGGGATGGCAGCGACGCCGGCGGATAGCAAGTATGTGAGTGTGGTGGGTATGAGTCGGGAGGAGAGGATGAGGAAGGCGGAAGAGGGGAGAAAGAGGAGGGAGGTGGAGGAGGGGGAGAGGGGAGTGGAGAGGGAGAGGATGAGGAGGGAGAGGAGTATGGTGGTGGAGTTGGAGGGGGTGATTGGTGGACGACGGAGGGGATGAAGAGTGATGACCATGGATGATGATGCTCGATATGAAGATGGCGTATGGTTTACTTGAGTATCTATTTTGAGCGGAATCGGCAATTAGCCCTCTGTTTTCGAGGATGATAATGCTACTGTACATTACTGACGTTAGTCGGAATATTCGCTGCATTTCAACTGTGGATTGGCCTAGCCGTGGACTGTTGCTTGTGATTCAATTCGCTGTCTTGCGGCTATCACCCTAAGTAGTTCGAGCACTCAGATCACCCAAAAACCCGAATCAACCAGAGCGCCACAACAATCCGTGTACGGACCTTGCGTCCATATCCCGATTCCTACGGTATCAAGTATTACTCCGCTCTCTGGGTAGGTTGCCCTGATATCCCAACCCAGCCAATCCACTCTAACCGCTGAATTCAACCCAACCCCAAACTCCAGCGCAATGACGCGAGTCACGCAATTCTACCAAATCTAACCCCCCATCTCCCGCACCACCGCCACCACCGTACAAATATCATCCGGCTTCCCCCCCATCCACTGCTCCCCCGGAAAATGCCTCCGCACCTCCCGCGCAAACGGCCCCTCCCGCATCCCGTTCAGACTCGCCTCCTTCGCCTCCCGCGTTACTGCCACCGCCAACGCGCTGCACAACTGACACTCTCCTCCCCCATCTTTCGTCCCCTGTCCGCCGCGCAGGTTTCCAATCGTCACCCCCTCCTCGCCGACCACCCACGCCCCGTTCGCCTGCATTGTCCGCCCGACCAACTTCAGCGTGTCCTCAGGGCTGAGGTTATCCCAGACGCCGTCGGTGGCGAAGATGAGGACGTCGCCCGGGTGGAGTTGGTGGTGGGAGAGGTGGGCGTCAGCGGGGGTTTCGGCGTGGGCTTCGGCTGGGCCGAAGAGGCGCATTTGGAGTTGCATGAAGGGGGGGATTTTGGAGAGTTGGTAGGGAGTGTTGAAGGCGTGGGTTTGGGGCTTGGAGAAGTGGCGGACGTGGTTGGGGCCGAGGTGGATGAAGCCGGAGTCGCCAAGACTGTCAAGACGGTTAGTCGGCTGCTACCTGGGAAAAAGGAGGAGTTGAGACTTACTTGGCTACATTCAACCGTCCATTGGGTTCAATCGACGCGACACACGCCGTACTCCCACCCGCGACTATCTCGTCCGTCGACATCACCTGGTCGTACCCATACTGCAGCAACTCCCGCGGCCTCAGCGGACCGGCGCGAAACTCCGCCGGATACCTCGCCGCGCCCATCGCCATATGGTCGCATAGCCCATGCGCGAAGTGCGCCGGGTCGACGCCCGAAGACTCCCATCCTCCGACCCCATCCACGACGCCGAATGCTACCGTCCCGGTCTCCCCGACATCGCTCACGAAAAACGAGTCCTGGCCGCTCTGTGGGCGAATTCCAGGTCTCGGGCGCAGGGTGCTGAGTTTGGAGCGGACGGAGGGGTCGTATTTGAAGAGGTCGCGGTGGGGGTCGAAGGGGTGGTTTTTAGCGGAGTAGGAGGCGGCGATGCAGAAGGAGAGGGGGGGAGGATTCGTGAGAGGGCGGACAGGGGTGGTGGCGGATTGGAGGAAGCGGCGTTGAGGGGAGCGAAGGGGGTATGGGAGGAGAGGGTGGTGTGGTCGTCGGCGGAGGATGGCGGAGTAGGGGAGCGGAGGGGTGGCGGCGAGAGGGCGAGTGGGAACGGAGGATTGGATGAAACGGCGTTGAGGGGTTCGGAGGATATGTCGGAGGAGGACACGATACGGTTTATTACGGAGGACGCCTGAGGGGGAGGAAGTTAGGTATGTGGAAAGGAGATACCGGGCGGCTCCCAGCCATTCATGGCTCATCGCGGCGGAGAAGTGGTGGATGTGGAGGAGAAGGCCAACCACATCATAACATTTCTAGGAACATAATCAGACAGGATGAAGAAGTGGAAGAGAAGACTAGGGAAGCGGAAAGAATAATAATAAAGGATAAGAGAGCAACGAGGCAAACCAGAAACTTTGATTATTTGTGAAAATGCGATGCGATAATAACCGTTGAACTCCACTGCATGTGTGGCGTTGTGGCGGTGCAGCTGAAGACATTAATGTCATGTGACATATTGTTCCCCGGCCGACGAATATGACGCCTTGATGCCTTGATGCCTGAAATTGAATCTCTGGATGAAAGCGAAGGAGAGCTCTCCTGCTTCATGTTTTTTTGTTTGGGAACTGAAACAGCTCTTCGAAGAATCCTGACATTAATCCACGGTCAGGGCCATGTGGGAGGGCAAGAGCCCATCCTCTTTAGACATACTTCTACCACGTCACAAAGTTGTGAAAATGGCAAAATCGCGTCTGGATTCCGAGGGTCACGGAGGGATATACCTGATTGAAGAGACAAGTTAATAGCGGATGTCTCCCTTTAAGAGCTCGGGATATATCGAACGGATTGAGTCCCGATTGACAGTCAACCCTTGAAAGAAACTCCCAATCCGTCCAATTCATCAGGTGAGATTTTTGATTCTCAGGGACGGTTGTCCGGGCTGTCCCATACATGCGGAACCTAGTGCCGCCCTCCCGACAGGCGACAAGGGCATCTCATCCATTGGCTTGCGGCTTGCACTCTGCATCGCCAATGGCACATTGATGGAGGTGGTATGTGTCGTTCTAGACTCCGTTAATATGCAGTTCAATCCTCGAATTAAGGCTCTAAACCATTGCGAAGGATTAAATTCCTCGCGATGGCGCGCTTTCAATCTGGTAGGTGTCTCCGCTTGGTGCCAGCCTTTTCGAACAATGCCAGTCATCCCGCGTACAGGAGGGCGTCTCATAGCAGAAACTGACCATACTGCCACTAATACTTGATGAACGGAACGGAAATTATCAGTTCCGAGGCTTTGTCGCCTGTATTCTTTCTTGGAGGAGAAGGGATGATTGGCAGGTATGAATCTATCTTCTCCCTGGAGAGGGAGATCGAAATCGTAAAATGGAATGGGATAACGCTTGGGAGTTGGGATTATCGTCTTGTTCGGGAATTGGACTTCCCCGAGGGTGCCTAGGATGGGTAGTCATGGAGAGCGTGATGAGTAGGTATTTGGCAACCGCTTGTATATATTTCCAATGGCAGAGTAGGATGGGTTCAAATACTCGAATATACACAGCACCTAGATGTAATGTCTATCATAATATACTTGCTTTCCCATGATCTGTGTTGACTCATGACTGTTGAGCCACATGAGTGAATGACTGGGTATGAACTTCGATCCCACAGTGATCAATCATCAACGGAGGCTGGGGGACGGGAAGGACAGGGATCAGCCACAGTCAGCCACAATATCTCTTGGCATCAAAGTTCCCAACTTCTTCAGTTCAGTTCAGATGGACAATCCGGAAATACTTATTCACATCCATTCAGCTTCCCATAATTACACCAATACCTCTTAAACCCCCAGAAACCTAGAAATCGCTTGACTCCAACCCCCTCAAGACTCAAACCAACGTTCTCTACCTCAAATGAAGGTCTAAACTCTAAACTCCACCCCACCCATTTCTCTACCACTCGTCCTCTCATCTACTCCCACCCTCACAACAACCCACCCACCATGCATCCCTCTCGCCAAGCCTTCGTCGAAGATGACCCCCCCTCCCCCCCCGGCCTTTCTCTATCCGAAATCCCCACCGACCGCGACTACAACATCAGCACCGCCGGCGGCACCGTGCAAACCTCCGCGCTCCTCGAGCAATTCAACCGCAAGCGCCTTGCCGCGCGGCTCGTAGTCCCGACCGATGACAAGCGCGTGCGACTACGCCTGCGCGAGCTCGGGGAGCCGATTACGCTGTTCGGCGAGGGGCTGGCAGATCGGCGGGAGCGGCTAAGGGAGTTATTGGTGGAGGCGGAGTTAGGGGAGGAGGGGGATGTGGTGATGGGGGAAGCGGGGGATGGGTTAGTGGGGGAGGAGGCGCTGGAAGAAGAGGAGCAGGAGGAAGAGTTCTACACCGAGGGGAGCGAGGAGCTGCAGAAGGTGCGGCGGGAGATCGCGCGATATTCGCTGCCGCGCGCGGCGCGGCGGGTGGGGTTTCAGAAGGTGGAGGCGGGGATAGCGGTACGAACGCACGTGCGGCACCGGCGGGAGCTGAAGGAGAAGTTGGCGCGGTTCGAGCTGGTGGGGAGCCAGATCGGCGGGGACCGGCCGATCGCCGTGACGAAGTTCGCGCCAAACGATCGGCTCATTGCGATTGGGAGCTGGGGCGGCAGCGTCAAGGTGCTCGACCGGGACACATTGTCGGAAAAAAAAGTGCTGCGCGGCCATACGGATCGCATCGGCGGCATCGCGTGGAACCCGAACGTCCCCGACCCCGACCCGGACACCTCCCTTGACACTCTCACCCTCGCGTCCGGCGCTGGTGACGCGAACATCCACCTCTGGTCCCTCGCGTCAGACACCCCCATCGGCACGCTCTCCGGCCACTCCGCGCGCGTCTGCCGTGTGGAGTTCCACCCGTCCTCGCGCTTCCTCGCATCCGCCAGCTACGACACCACCTGGCGGCTGTGGGACGTGACGACGACGCAAGAACTACAGCTGCAAGAAGGACATTCACGAGAGGTGTACACAGTCGCGTTCAACAGCGACGGATCCCTGCTCGCGAGCGGCGGGCTGGATTCGATCGGCCGCATCTGGGATCTCCGCACAGGGCGGACAGTTATGTTGTTGGATGGACATATCCAGCCGGTGTACGCGCTCGACTGGGCTGTGGACGCACACCGCGTGCTGAGCGGGAGCGCGGACGGATTCGTGAAGTGCTGGGATCTGCGGGCGGTGCGGGAGGTGGGGGCGATCGGGGCACACACGGGGGGCGTGACAGATCTAAAAGTGTTCAAGGGGACGGACGGGCCGGCGAGCGGGGTGCCGTTGACGATGGGGGTGGGGGAGAAGGGGGGCGAGGAACCGCGGCCGAAGAAGGCGGGGTCGTTCTTCGTGAGTTGCGGTTTCGATCGGAATGTGAAGGTTTTTTCGGCGGATGATTGGGCGTTGGGGAGGACGTTGAGTGGACATGCGGGGAATGTGTTGGGGGTGGATGTTAGTACGGATGGGAGGTGGATTACGAGCTGTGGGTATGACCGGACGGTGAAGTTGTGGGAGATGGAGGGGGTGGAGGAGTATTGAGTATACCATATTAACCTCGAAGATCGAAACCGGAGGGACGAAGACGAATATGGCATTGGAAACGGCAAAAGCATGATACCCCTGTCAGCAAGACACCATCCCAGAATCGAAGTATCTTATAGTATTAAAGCTGAGAATCCGCTAGACTACCAACTTGGATATCAGACACAAAAGGAACAGCTTCAAAGCGCGTCGTCAATCTGTCGATCCGTCATCATACATCATAATGCTTCATCGATACGCTTTGAAACCCATAGAGAACAATTTCCCTCCCCTACCGACTCACTTCAGAACTCCCAGAAGTCCTTCGTCGACTGCTCCCCCGGAGCCGCTGCTCTTCCCCTCCCCCCTCTCCCCTTTCTTTCTCCCGCCCTCACATTCTCAGCCTCCCCTTCGCTCTCATCACCGATGCCCCAGCTCCGTCCTCCCTTCTTCCCACCCATCCCGTCGCCCCCGGTCTTGTAGATCTGCCGGGTCGGCTCGGGAGACTGGTCGGTCATCTCCCAGGTGGCGTCGAGGCCCTTGATGACCTTCTTCCTGTCTTCCGACACATTCTTCCGCGCCGTCGGGCCGACGTTCTCCCCCGTATGCGTCACCTCCGGGCTCTCGTCCGTCATGTCCCAGTGCGCGCCGAAGTCCTTGGTGCGCGCCACGTTGTTGGGGTTCGTCGTGATGGACGTGAGCGGGCCTTTCTTGGCGCCGGCACCCGCGTTCTTGACGGGCGTGTCGCTGTCGTCGCCAAGGATCTGGTCCTTGTAGAGTCCCTGACCATTGTTGGCCGTACGGCCCTTGGCGCCGCCGATGATGCGTCGTTCGGCGCCTGGGGTGCCGTCGTCGACGAACTCGAAGTGCGTTTCGGCATCGGGTCGGGCGCGATGGACGATCGGGCGGCGGACGGGCGACTTTTCTTCGTCGTCGCTCCAGCCGAAGTGGCGCTCCTCGTTGGGACGCACCCTGGTCTTGGGGGCCTGCGGCGTCGCGAAGTCCTCGAAACCCCACTGGCTGCCGTGCTTGGCCTTATGCTTGGCATCTCGCTCGGCCTGGTTTACGTGCACCTCCTCGCCTTCTCCGAATTCGAAGTGGTTGTATTTCTTGGCATTGGTCTTGATGCCCTTCTCTATCGGGGCCTCCTCCTCTTCGAATAGCCGGGTCGGCTGGAAGTTCTTGCCTGCGCCGGATTTAGGGGCAATACCCATCCTCTTGTGCGGAGACGGGCTTCGGACTGATGCGCCAGGGGACGATTGCGCGGGAGGGTCTTCGCTGCCGCCTAGTATGGCTTCCAGATCCCGAGTGGGAGGGCGGGCAGACGCGCGGGGAGTGGGCCCTGGACCGAAAGACCGCTCATCTTCATCTACACTGCGCGGACCGAACAACGACAGAGTTGCATGCGGATCGTTGGTCGCGCTAGTCGTGCTGCCGGCATGAGAACGGGATTTCAGGGGCCTGTGATCGGAATCGCGAGACGCGGTGGTGCGTCGGGACGCAGTGGGAGGCGCAGACGGGCCGGGACCACCGGTCAAGGCAGCAGCGTAGGTGCTGATCAGGCGGACTTGATCTTTACCATCTCGAAGAGGCCAATTTCGGGCGCGGGCGCCGATGACTTCGATGGACTTGAGAAGCGAGCCTTGGTCCCAGTATTTCCTGATTTGGCGTATCTTCTGCTGCTCGTCGAAGTGGACAATGTGGATCTGTGGGGTAACGATGTCAGAAAATTGGAATTTGTCGAAAGAATGCGAATCAATGAACCTACCGATGGCAGAACCACGACTTTCTCGGTAAGGAAATTGTCATCGAGCCCCGGGAGGTAGGCACCTCCTCCTGTCTGGAACTCAATCGTGGTCTCGACGTCGATGCTCAGGGCATTGCTTCCCTCGACGACCGAGACGAACTTCTCTGCCTTCTTGGAGAGCTGCTTTGCTTGCGAAGTGTAGTGCTTGATCACAGCGGTGGCATTGTTTATGGTGACCAGCGTTGGCACGTAGCACAACGACGCATCATCGGCCAGGAACGAAGCGTTCGGCGACGCCAGAAACTGTTTGTACAACTGGGACAGCGACATGGTTCCGTATAAATCAAGTTGGGACAGGATGGGAGCTTGTTGCCCGGGGAGGTGTTTTGTTTATACTCAGTTGGTAGTGAGTGCGGGGTGCTGTATCACAGCAGATGCAGCAGATCAGGGTACACAAGCGGTAACAAAGAGCAATCACTGAAGAAAGGGGAATATCAAAAGAGGGCTTCAAGAAGGGGATTTGCAAGAAAAAGGGAGTGTCGGATGTTTTGGGAGAAGCGCAATACAACAACCCTGGAGAGAATGTTGGGGGGATGTTTTGGTTGTTGACACTGGGATGAAACATGAAACATAGGGAAGGCGGGCGCGATGTGCCACATATGCCATTGTGCTTAGTCATATATTCACCTGCATTTCAGATGGCTTCTTTGTTATAATCTTGCGACCTTTTTCAGTTTCTATTCCTATCGTACCGTCCACTGGTCAATTCATCAAAAGGCTTCACGCTGTATGGAATTTGTGCGCTCTAGCCATGTCTCTCGTCTCACCAAGAGTTCTTGGTATTTGGTACTTCCGACACTCATGCCAGAATACCATGTCCTACTTGCCCGGAGCAAGGTTGTAGACGCCGACGCACTCCAACGTGCGATATTCCGCGCTCGGGATGTTCGCCGTGACATCCGGCTTTCCCCTGTGCTTCAATCCATGAACCGTCAGATACATGTCTTTTGCGGATTTAGGGCCAACTAGCCTAAACGACTCCTGAGCGGGATTACGAGTTGATACCAAGACGGAATGAGTATGTGGATGCGGGATGACCAGAGCTGAAGTCTTAACTTCCTTGGGGATGCTGTCGCTTCTCGGCGCAAGTCAGCTCTTCGTTTATTGCAGATGTTGTTGCCTCCAGCTTCTTTATCGAAGTTTAGATAGCCTAGAGAGGATTCATGATAGATACCGAGAGCGGACTAATTCTTTATTCCTATGTTTCGAATTGGTCTGTGCCGGGTTTGAGTGTTGGATTAGAGAAGTAGAGTGTTTGTGATCTGATGAGTAGAAAATAAGAGCTTGGATATGTGCTGAACTCCATCTATTTATATTGATAGAGCGGCAGGTATGGACAAAGACATTTTCCATTTCTTCCTGAAAAAGGCGCTCTTGCTGAACAATGGACTTCTACTAATAATATCCGCTTGCTAACCAATGCTGGCGAGCTAGACAATGAGCCGATCAAAGCCAGGGTGAGGTATTATTGTACCACATTCTGGCAGGTCTAGTGTATATCAGTCTTGGGAACAAGGGAGGAGCCAGACTCAGAAGTGTGACTAAATATGCACTAATTACAGATAGCTACGCGAAATTAGCTTCCGGTTTTGGCAGCTCCTGAGCTCCAGGAACTTTCAGAGTACAACCTCCTTGCAGATCTTGGCGTAAACTATATGTATCGATTCTTAGTGATCGGTACTCCGCAGTATTGTTGTCGCAGGCCAAGGCATGAGCTCTAGGAGTCCAAGGCTACAAACTGCATTAATAATCTTGCCGTGACTCTCGTATATCTGTAGGGCCGGGGGACCAGGCATTCAGCTAGAACACACAACTTACACACAACTTACACAATACAACAACTTCGCTGCTGTAACAACAGCACCTCACTCCCAAGTCCCAACTATTTTAGCACATCACGTGCGACAATTGTTCCTGCCGGTACCTAAATGTTTTCCAAACTGGTGTATGGATACAAATTGCATCACGTGAACCAGAAATTTCCCAGTCTACAACCACGTTCCAATCATGTTTCATTTGCTTCTTGACAAGAAACGATGTTTGTGTCTATCGAGAAACTGATTTAGTGGAATACTTCCCGATTCAAGCAAAAACCATGCGTCTATTGAAGCGCAGTGGTAGTGGGGAACTAAGCCTAACAGACGACCTGGTTGACGACGATATCCCTCGAAAATACGCCATCCTCTCGCATACATGGATCCGTGGCGAGGAGGTCACATTCGAAGAATTTAGAAAAGGGATGCGAAAGCACACAGTTGGGTATAATAAGATTGAATTTTGTGGAGAGCAGACCGCTCGCGATGGCTTGGAGTACTTCTGGGTAGATACTTGCTGCATCGACAAGTCAAACAGCACCGAGCTATCGAAGGCTATCAACTCTATGTTTCGGTGGTATCATAATGCGACACGATGCTACGTCTATCTGTCGGATGTTTCGGGATCAGCCTCTGGCGCAAACAACCCGCATTCACAACGTTGGGAGACGGATTTTCGGAAGAGCCGATGGTTCCGGAGAGGCTGGGCGCTTCAGGAGCTGATCGCTCCTGAGTCGGTCGAGTTTTTCTCTAAAGACCGAGTATTGTTAGGAAGTAAGAAATTTCTCGAGCGGCAGATTCGCGAAATTACCGGAATTCCTGCAACTGCTCTTCGAGGAGGCGCTCTATCTCAATATGGCGTAGCAGAACGACTGTCGTGGGCCGAAGATCGCGAGACTACAGAAGTGGAAGACAAGGCCTACTCATTGCTGGGTATTTTTGGCGCACATATGCCTCTGATCTATGGCGAAGGGGGAGACAATGCACTCCGGCGGCTCCATTTCGAGATTGAAAGAGCATCGACGGGTAGGTCATCCTCCTAGTTCTTTTCTAATTACTTCAGTGAATATAGGGATTAGGAAAGCGTTGACAGGATTAGGTGACCATTTCGAAGACTTTTCCGTCGGCTTTAGTCTCGCTGATGCCTCGGAGACGGAGCGCTTTGTTGCGCGAAAGTCAGAGCTTAAGGAAATACAACAAACACTCAGTAGCGATGGCAGCCGTCGCATCACTGTTCTTCACGGGTTGGGAGGAATCGGTAAGACACAACTGACGGTTGAATATACGAAGCGTTATCGAGATAGCTACTCGGCAGTGCTCTGGCTCAACGCCAAAGATGAGGATTCTCTAAGGCAGAGCTTTGGCAATGCAGCTAGGAGGATACTACAAGAACATCCGTCTGCTCAACGTCTTAGTGGTGTGGATTTGAAAGGGAGCTTGGGGGAGGTGGTAGAGGCCGTCAAAGGGTGGTTGAGTCTCCCCAAGAACACAAGATGGCTGGTCGTCTATGACAACTATGACAATCCAAAAGTAGCGGGTAACACGGATGCCGCGGCATTGGATATCCGGAAGTACCTGCCCGAATCACATCAAGGATCAGTTATTATCACTACGCGGTCGTCTCGGGTCACTATTGGCCATCGTATCCCAGTCCGAAAGCTAGAGAATATGCAGGATTGTCTTGAAATACTGTCGAATACATCAAAACGCGAAGGCTTGATAAGAGGTAGGAAATTTCTTGACTTATAGAAATTATTCTAACTTAACCGACAGATCCCGACGCAGTTAAGCTTGTGAACGAGTTAGACGGACTCCCTCTTGCACTTGCAACAGCTGGAGCATACCTTGAACAAATGACGACCAGTTTGGCGGAGTATCTTCGTCTATATACGGAATCATGGTTAAAACTACAAAAGAGAAGTCCGGAGCTCAGCTCATACGAAGATCGAACACTCTACTCCACATGGGACATCTCCTTCAAGCATGTTCAAAAACAGAACCGACTTTCGGCCCAGCTCCTACAACTGTGGGCGTACTTCGACAATCAAGACCTCTGGTTCGAACTTCTTTGCCACGGCGATTTAGGTGATCCGGAGTGGGTTCGCGAGCTTACCGAAGATCGAGTAAATTTCGACGACGCAGTTCGGCTATTATGTAACTACGGGCTTGTGGAAGCAAACTCGACTTCGCAGGAGATGGTAGAGTCTCAAGGGTACAGTATGCACAGCTGTGTATACTCGTGGACTCGGCACGTTCTAAATCTAGACGGGAGTAAGGAGATGGTGAGATTCGCGCTGAAATGTATTGGGTCACATGTTCCTGGAACTTTAAGTGATTGGTGGTGGATTACGCAGCGACGGCTTCTGGCGCATGCTGCTGGCTGTTCATCGATACTGAAAGGCGCAAATGGCGGGATGGAGTGGGCATTACAC